ATTGGCGCCGATGCACCAACAGCCCAACTCGCTCTCGATGATGTGGGAACGTAGCCTCATGACTGACCTTTCTGATGTCTATGGCAGTTTTTCTGAGGGAGCTTTATGCCCTTTATGTTGGATTGGTATTCCCGAGTTAGTAAATTAATAATTTTTAAGCATTTCAGGAAAAGGTCTTTGGGTGAATAATGACGTTACATGTAAAATGTGGTGGATGATATAGCTGAATAAATGCCTTATTATTCCAGGGTCTGGATATGCAGATGGGGCAATGGTGTCGAGTTAGGTAGCATTAACAGGGTTCTTATGCGCGTAGCTGACGCGATGCATATGGTGTTGTCTCCTTTGACTGTCCATTTGTTAATGAAGCGAAAGTTAATAAAACTTTCTCAAATATAAGCACTTAAGCGCTAGAACTTTGAAAGAAATTAAAAGACCTTTTAAAACAATGTTGAAATAATTTTTCCAAAAAACATCATTTTTTCTAATCATGAAACATATTTTTTAACTTTTCAAAGAGTTGTGTGATAAGTTTTCAGTAATTGTTTATCTTGTAAAAATAAAGAAGGTTTATTAAGAATATCACGAATTATTGACCGTAATTCTGAAGGAGTATAGCTGAATTGGTGGTAAGTTTCAAAAGCCTTTGCCGTGCAGTCTCGTTTCAATCTAGCAAACCCTGAATGAGGTCGCAGTTAACGAAATCCATTTTTGATGTTGTTTCCACTTTTTGAACTGATATGTAAACTCTTCTGACAAAAATTGAAAATAGCTTTCCACTTGTGAAGCCTTGACAACCTCAAAAATATTTTGCTTAGTCAAAGAACCATAAATGTTTTGAACATTCAATGTCTTTCTTAATAATAAGCTGATTCAAAATCAGAACCGACCTACACTTTTAGTTTGTTGACTAACTTATCCTAAACGAACACTGTTCTATCTTATCTAATGTTTCTTTCATACTTTCGTAATAAGAATAAGTGGTTTTCGAATAAATATCATTCGTTTAATGCTCGAAGTTCTGTATTCTAATTTTTTAATTATGCAGCAATGTAGTTTGAACAATTTTTATATAACGTAGAATGCACTGTAGAAAGGAATCACCAGTTTTGATTTTATTCATTCTTGAAGAGAGACTTCACAAAAACTGTACTTTGGAAGTGCGACACTCAGTCACACATTAAAACGGAGTTTGAAATATTCAGATACCTTTGGGTATTTCCCATTAACACTGACCACTGTATTAATCGGCGCAACGGATCCAATGCAACGGATCCACTGCAACAGATCCACAGCAACGGAATCAAGTTATCTTCCGGCGTTATCCGTTAAAATACACAGTTGAGTACACTACAAAGAGACGCTGAAAACTAAACAATGCCGAAATAACATTAGAACATTTAACATCTTTTGGTGATATTTAAAGCAACTTTCACATTGTACAGTTGGTGTTGTGACGAATTCCGTTCTGCAAGTTGGTGACAATCGTTCGGCTACTATTTAAGTGGGATATGGAGAATACGCCAGGAAACGATTTACTCTAAAAAGAATACGTTTAGGACACAAATAACAGCCGTATGAATTAAAAGGAGCGCACTAACAGCAGCCTAGCAGAAAAATCTTATATTCACATGTGAACTTCTTAAAGGGAAAAAAAGAAGCCGCCGATCAAAATGCAACCATTCCCCAAAACAGCTGAGAAGCAACCTATTTTGTTTTGAAATTTCAATCAGCATTGCTTAGCTCTTTCTTCCACTTTTGCAAGATTTCTTTCCAAAACTAGTGCACATTGTAAACTCAATGATACAGAAGAAAATGAAAAATAAACAAGAATTTGATATGAACTTAAAAAGGTTAGAATTTTCTTTACTTACTATTAAACTATGTTCGTAAAGCATTGTTTAAATTTCATAACTACATATATAATTCATAATTTCCATGTTAATAAGGAGACCTCTTAGTGGCTGTTTTTTGGACAATGAGAAGTCTTGGTTCCTTCACTCTAAGTTCGCTAAGTTCAAGTCTGGTCTGGTCTGGTCATGTCAGGGTCTGGAACCCCAGACTCGTAGGTCTTTAGTCCGCAACTCAAACAACCGAGTCGAGTCATCCTCACATTTCATAATATGTTCTGAATTGAATGTGCTAAAGAGCATTTTTTAGCCATATTCAAGCATTTTTTCTTGCCTTATTTTCAAGTTTTGACGCTCAGTAGTTTCTAGAAAAGTTTAGACAACCCTTTGCTGCGAGAGTCTTTCAAGATTGACTTTACTGTATTGATTGGAACCAGATTGGATCCAGGAAAATTTTGGTCTTTTCCAGGAACCCGGTAACACTAATCCTGTCATAGGTTACTCTAAATAATTTGATCGTTTCTTTATCAACCTTCCCGATTTTTGTAACGCTTTATTAGTTTTCGAGCCAAATTCTTCAAGTGTTTGAGGCATCCCTTCGTCCAAGATTTAATAAACATGAATAATAATTACTTCGTTCAGAGGGCTTTACTCATTAAAAGACTCTCTCTTGTTCGTTTTTTAGAGAAAAGAATAAAGGTGACATAGATGCCATAGAAAGAGGGTCTTTCTAAGTCGGAATTTGACAAAGTTTTGCATAATACAGAATATGTATAAGATATTTATTATAAATAAAATCATGCTAACTGTCAGAAAAGACTCATCTTGTTATCTCTCGTAAAATTTTGTTTAAGCTAGCAGGTCTTCCCTTTCTTCAGTTATGCAGCTTTTATATCAAGATTCTTTTTCTTATTTAAAGAGGCACGTCCAAGAATTTACATTATTCTTTCTGTTGTTTATGTCATGCTACTAATATTTGTTGTTAAGATGCTATTTAGATATCCAAGGCAAAAAGAACCCTCCCAGTTATATCTTATTTAATCAACAAGTAAATGTTTGCAATTATTTAAACCAGGGGTGCCGTCTTAAAAAAAAAGGAAGGGGGGCTCTGCTGGAAGCAAATTCAATTCAAGAAGCCACATCCACAGCCAAACCCTTTCTACACGCAATATACTTGCAGTTAAGACTCTTTGGTGTGTATATTGAATCATTCAAATTATTCAATGACACAATCTTTCTAAATGGTTATCTAAATATTTCCTTTCTGTCTTTTCTTTCTATCTTTGTTTCTCTTTGATGTTTCAGTGGCTACCAGCATGATTGCCTGTTCGATGATCATACAGCCACTCTCATCTTTTCTATTTTTTCATAGCTGAATGAGGTCAGCTAAATAAGCTGTTTCTATTCCGTGCTGCAGCGCTTATATTAAGTGAGTTTCCAATGTTTCTAAGCGAAAACCCCGATCAGTGAATTCCATCTAAGAAATGTATTATCATCTGCCTCCTCAAGAACTTATTTCTGCTTGTTATTCCCCTATATTCATCAAATGATACCTTGCTTTCAATGCTGAGGAGAGGGGGGTCAGGGGGGTCCAGACCCGGGGGCCCATAGCTATAGAGACCCATAACTGAGCTTAACAATTGAACTGTCAATAAAAGTAACAATAATAATGTCTAGTATGAATGATACACGGTAGATGGAAGCAGAAACAGAATTGACCCCTTTATGTTATCTCAAACAGAGCTAGCAGTTTTAGGTAAATTTCTAATAAATTTCTATCTATCAGTATATGGAAGCAATGCCTTTCTTGCCTTTACATCTGCAGAATGGTTTATTATGTGGCTATCGTCAAGTTTTTCGGCAATATCAGTTTCTATGGACAATAAAGTCAGTGAGCTAGGCCTGTTTTGGCCAATGTTAGAGCGAAGGTAATTCTTTATGAATCTGAGCATACTAAATCATCTTTCAGCTGATACAACACTTTCAGGCAAAATCAGAAGAATCCTTAATGCAATGAAATAACTGTGTCTTTTCAGGCTGTGCAGAGTTCGGCAATTTGTTACCTAGGTCATATTCCTTCATCCTTTAGTATAGCAAAACTAAACTGATCCTCTCGCCAAAGCATTTCTATTGCCAATGGACTTGAATCGCATATTTTTCTCTGCTTTAAAACGATCAAAAATAGCAATGTAGACATTGATCTTAATCAGCAAATGACTTTTCCTGAATTTCACTGTCAAAGCAGATATGAATTTGACTGATTTCTCTTGGTTCTCAATACTTTTTTGGACATTTGGGAGTTCCCAGTTACGCTCAATTATATTAAAACAAGGTGGCTATTACTTTTGCTGTCTATTAAATAGGTTAACAGAGCAGGTTAGCCAATATAGCAATTCAGTAACCAAAATAGCCACCAGAGCAACTTAACCAACTACCCTCTAAATTCTGTTTTTAATGGATTATTATGTACATAAAATTTTATGTATTTATTTGATGTAGTAGTTTTAACAGTTGGCTTGGATTAGCCATTTCACTGTAAATAGCTATGTAGCGCCAACTTTAAATAAGTTGATTATTATTATTATTATTATTAATATTATTATAAGCAACCATCTTCCTCAAAAATTTTGAGGTAAGCATTGGCCCGTACACCCTAGAAGAGTCTGCCTTAGAAGCAGCTTTTCTATTTACTTTCGTCCTGACCCAGGGCCTATAAATCCTCTCCGCGGCCCTGCTTGCTTCCCCCTTCCCACTTCACAATTAAAGTATCAACTTCAGATTTCCAGAAGACAATACCGTAAACCGAAGCAAATCTTTCGAAAACATAAACTTTGAAAGCTAATTGAGGTCTTTTTTCATTTGAAAGGGCTTGAAAAAACAAAAAGTCTTTTATATCCGAACAGCGTACAAAGTCAATTCGAAAAATTCGATTCAAAAGTCAATTCAAACAAAGATTATTCTAAAAATAACATGTTTTCATAACTTTGCAAAAGTATGTTGTCAGGAAACATTTTGGATCCGCCAGGTTTCAGCTGTAACACTTTTCCAACAACGAATACGCGACAATCATCCATCACTGTCTTCAACGGGCCTTGTGACAGCTAGCGCAGTCTGACGATGACCGACCTGACGTCAGAAGGAGGGCTGGGCACTAAAGAGCAAAGCACCGGCAAAAGAGAACCCAAAAAAAGACTAAGGAAAGAAACAAAGACTATTTTCCTTTTCACAGGGAAGTTACATTCGTTCAGTGTACGCTGCAAAGGTTTTACAGGATAATTGGAATTCCGGCAAGGAAAGAGTCATTTCAGTGCTGCGGAGGACAACTGTTGCATCAAAAGGGCTTGGAAAAATCGAAATAAATTGGTATGCAAATGATGAGAGGTGATTGGTTCCTTGGGTTGTAAAGCTAACAGCACAAATACTCAGTTCATCCATCAATGTCTACCAACATATGAGCAAACAAGCAAGCCAAGGGAGACAACAACAAAGGGTGCAAAGAGGCAGATAGAACCAAAGAAAGACAAATCGGTAAAATTTCAAAGCATAACCAAGCAGTTCGTCTTGAGATATTATCAGAATGGCAAAGGTTAATGAAGAGGTAAAAGGGTTAAGTAAGAAATGTGATTTAAGCAAGAATGACAGGCAGGGATTACGCAAAAGGTCTCATATGACCGAGACACAGGATGCAAAGCAAGGCGACCACGTTGGAGAGAGAGAAATAAAGAGGCCCAGAAGAGCAGGGGAAAAGGAGAACTCAGTCGTCTACCCCTGGATGTTAGATAACCGCAGCAAAAAACCAGGTATTTGTATGATTTTTTAACATCATGATTATTTATCAAATTTTCGTGTACAGACCAGCTGAAATGTGGCGTGCGATGAAGTGGACGGAATGTCCGGAGTGACAGAAAGTGTCCGTTAGCTTTGCCATTAGTTGCATATAGTTTGTTGGTCAAATGAACATTTGATCATTATGTTTCCTTTCCATGCTATTGGCTTTAGCTATAGAACTACGATGATTTCTTTTTCTTCATATGCGCCTTTTAATTTTTTTTATAATTGTTTTCATGCCACAAACTTTCGGCCATGTCCGGAAAACTGTACAGATTGACTCTTTGTGGCCGAACTGCAAAATTCTGGATTAAACGAGTCTTTTAAAGATTGCCGAAGGAATGAAATTTCTCACAAAATAATTTTCTTCATTCTACTGTAAGATTTTCTAAAGTAGAAGCCGTCGAAGCGCGTTTGTCTGTGTCGTTGGAAGCGGTCTCGGCTTTCTCTTGAGCAAGGCCTTGCCCGGAAGGCCAACGCGCAATTTACAGCCACCTTCGTGAACTTTGGTTCTAAAATAATTTAGTCCTGTAAGCCGGGTTGAAGCTTACTTGAAACAACCGCTTTTAGAATGCAGACGACGGTGTTCGTAAAGGTTCATCCGTAGATGGCAATAGTGAGGAAGATATCAGGTCTGAAAGCAAAACGCTCACTTCAAGGTGCAGTTCAAGTGTGAACATGGCGTATCGGCAAACCAAATGTCTGGTCCTTGTATATTTCCGCCCTGCGTAAGAGGCACTTGAGGTTTAAAACGTCCACTTCGGTGAAATTCTATTAAAAATACAAGCAATAGCCACTTGAAATATATGATAGGCACTTCACGTCAATTTCCTGAAAAGGTCGAAAGTTAATGGCGTTCATTTACTCAACAGAATAGAGTTGTCTAGGCATGCTTCCCTTTCCATCGTTTTTTCTTCTGCCCAGTCTATTAAATATTCGTAAATTTTAGTCCTCTGGTATCAGTTGCTTTCTTTCTACTTCTCAAACCTTTCTTTAAGATATCCTTTTATAAGAGATTCAATATTTTGTTATTACTAGCCTAATGATTTGAAAGTTATACCTTGTGTTACATGTGAAATGGGAAACAAACCTTGCGAATATCTTTTATTTGCGCGGCATTTATCCTAAGTTAATCGCAAATTGCTTTTACTGTATATAAATGTGACTATGAATAGAACATTGATTTAATTTAACAGGGATAAGCTTTGGGATAGTTAGTAAATTTCAACGTCTCAGCTGATAAATGCTTCCATCAGAAATCAACAAGAATTTTTTTGCTTCTCATATTTCAATACTATAAGGAAATCAAACCCCCAGGATCTTATTCACATCACAGAAAGCAACTTTCCCCTCGCTCGTTTCCACACAGGTAATATTTCAAAACTAGAAGAATTTTTCTAATTACATGTCTCTTTCATAATAGATACAAAAAATGAAAATAAAAGTCCAAGAGGGAGAGAAAATGGAAGCCAAAGCCAGTTTAAATACAGTCAAAGGCAGCTGTTTGAATTGGAAAAGGAGTTCCACACTTTGAATTACCTCACAAGCACAAAACGAAAAGAACTGGCACAATCCTTGGGCCTAGAAGAAAAGCAAGTAAAAGTTTGGTTTCAAAACCGAAGAATGAGACAGAAGAAGCAAAGGTCAAATAAAAACATATCACACAAAACGTACGAGGCTGACAACGTGTCAAAAGGTAGTAAAGTTTCTCGTGTATTGCACTACTTCAGTGATGTTCCAAATTCTGTCTCAAAAGAAAAACCGCATAACGATATTTCCAATGAATTGGAGGAGATCATTTCAAACATAAACCTGAAGAGATTGCCACATAAGTCAATGAGTGATGGACAGTTATCTAGCAACATTAATGATCCAACTGCCTGTTTTCCATATGCAGAGCTACCAGCACAATTTAGGACGATGCAAGGAGAGATAAATAACAGTTTCAGTCTGGAACATTCTGAAAACAGTGGTTTTGAAAAGTTTAGAAAGAGTGTCAATCAAAACAGTTTTTATCTAAATTGGATCCATCCGAGCTTATATGCCCAATACCTTTTGTAAAGTACTAGGTTCATAAATTAACACTAGTTCCATGTTTAGTGCTGTTTATTTACCTAGATAGCAGACTTAAATGTTTTTATAGGATTCTAATTTTTAAGCATTTCTGTAGAAATTTTCAACTTGTAAATTGTAAAGATTTGTTATTTAAAAGGGCTTTGTATTTAAATACTGCAGGCGTCAAGTTTCTCGATTTCTTTTAAGAATAATTCAGATTTCCAATGTGATAATGACTGAAAACGTCATTTGATAACAGTTTTTATACGACAGCTAGACTATTTAAAATTATGTAGTGAACAACAGGCACATTTGGACTTAATGATATTTTGAAGTAATTTGATCTTTCAGTGTTTGATATTGCATAAAGCATTTATTTTATACAAGCATTTATAGATCCAAGTGTCACGTGAATTTATTAACAAAATATTTTGCAATTTGAGCAATTTATTGCGTAGCCTATGCGATTGGAGCAGTTGAATAGAATTGTTATCGTGAGTGCATGATACCTAAGATATTTATTTTCAAAAAGATTTAACTGTTGTTGCTAATATGTTGATAAAGCGTGGATTTGGCAATTAATGTATTCGTTTTTCAAATGTTTCTCAAATTACCATCCAGATTCCCTACAATTAGGCCAAATGGTTGCAGAAATTCAATATTCAAATAGCTTAACAATCTTTTTCTCATTCTTTTTCTAAATCGGTTACAAAGAAAAAGCTATTTGTCATTTTGCATATTTCAATCATACCTTTTATAAACCATGAATAGGAGATTGTTTTCTTTTTTATAAACTTAACCCAGCAAAAGACAAGGCAATCTTTACAAAATAGAAAATTTACATGAAGGCAGCATTCTTATTTTCTTGCGCATTTGAATAAAGATGGCAATAAAATAAACACATAAGAAAGCTTATGTAAAGAGGAAACAAAAGACTTAAAATATTCAATGGCAGGACCTCCGATGAAGGAGGGGCCGGGGGGGCCTTGGCCCCCCCCCCCCCCACTTTTTTAGGCAATGGTGAGACATAAACGCAATGGTCAGAGTGCTCCTGCAATAATTCGCATCTGAAATATAAGCGCGTTTGACAATATTATTTGCCACCTTATCTTCCTAAACTGAAATCAATTAATTTTAAACGACAGAACCTCTTTCTAATTTTATATGAAAATATTTTAAAAGCAAAGATAACTCCTGAAAAGGGGGCCAACAGAGGTAAGGCCTCCCTCTACCCTCAACCAACGGGGAAAATATTCTGCTAAAATTTACTCTTTTTATAGGAAAAATTCTATAAGGGCGCCCAGAAGTTAAGAACAAATTAAGAACAAGCTAAGGCGTGTAAAGCAGTAAAAAGTTATTTTGAAAAATGTTGTGAACCTCTCTTATATAAATTTCACAATAAAAACTTTATATATGTTAAGCAATATATTTTGTGGTGCAAAATGTCTTGCTCTACTAAAAATGATAATGCCTTTTGAGATTCTTGAATTTACATTTTGAATGTAGGACTTCCAACTTAGAATTTTATCAATAAGGACACCAAGATATTTAGCTTCTTCTACTTCTTTCATTGGTTAATTATTTAGTTTTGGTTCAATTATTTAGTTTGATTTTCTTTCAGAAGGGCGTAAGAACAAAAAATTAGACTTATTGAGGTTTAATGTCAGTTTATTAGCAATCAGCCAATCTGACAATCCAGCATTTTTAAGTTCTGTATTTGTTTTCTTAGTTATCGGTGGTTCATATACCGCCTTGCATTTTTGCAAGCCTCCTTGCCTTCAAATAATTGACTCAACATTCGTGGGCGATCTGTCTGCGACCATCGCAGACAATTCATCAGCAATGACTGCAGACTATGCCTTGGGTGGATCGCCCACAATTACAGGCAACCAGTTGCCATATGGTTTAATTCCAGGGGTGCCGTCGTAAAAAGTTGGGCTGTGCTTTAGTGAATTTCAAGATGCCACACCAAGAACCACATCCAAAGCCACGCCCTATACTGGTATTTGTGTTATGGTCTTTTATTGGGTATATGAAATCACTCAAACTATTCACGGACATAGAAAGATTGACAGGAAATTGGTTATTGACATCGCTGAACCCAAAAAATATACTGGCTTGCTAAGGGGGTTTTCCTCCAAAATCTCGCTTAATCTTAACAATGGAGGGTGCCTTCGAGCAAATCCCCATCCCCCCGGCCCTCCACAGCACCACTGTACACCTTTGGCGATGGTCATCTAAGACTTGGAATTTTAAGATTACATGCAATTTTAGATTTGTTGGCACTTTTCAACGAAACTAAACCAAAAAATGTCAACAGCTTTCGACACGGTAGACCATGAAAAACTTATCAGAAAGGTGGGAGTATATGTAAAAGAAGGTATTGAGATAAGGTCATTGTTTTCTATACTGTACCTAAATGGCTTCGAAACTTACCTAAAGTTCTCAATTACTAACCTGAATGCAGGCGACACAGAAGATTTATTCTTGCCGGCAGACCTGGGAGACGTAGTATTAAAGCTGAATTTGAATACCTTTCCGAGTGGATGAGAATATATAAACTATGTACAAAAGTAATAAAATAAGTATACATCCCGAGAAGACTCATTTGGACAATATTAAAAAAAACAAGTTCATAAAACGAATTACCTAAGAATTACGATTGATCAAGTTTTTCTTGGAACAACAGATAAATCAATTGAAAGGAAAATAGCTGGTAGCTTAGCATCGATTAGAAAACTGAAAAACATCTTAACAAAATCCCAAGGGACGGATTTCATGGGGGGGGGGCGTAATTGATGTAAAGGGCGTGGTCGCAAAAAATTTCTGCTCGCAGGACGCAATTGTCAATACCTCTATAGAATGTTTTAAAATTTTCCCTCCTTTTAGTGTTTATTTAGAAAGGTCCTCCACGTTCTATAAAAATTCCCGATAAGAAAGAAATTAAAATGCTAATGCGCTTCAACCTTGGAAAAACCGGATTCTGAAATGCTTGTCGGGGATTATGCAGATTTTTCTCCAAGGATAACAGAATAAGTTTGAAACTTGTGCATTCTGCTTTTACTTTCGTATAATTGTTTACAACTTTGGAAAATTACTTTTTACAAGAAGAGCTTCCTTGCCTTACACAATTCAGAATATAAACGTTAGAGGAACTGTGAAGGAAATAGACAGTTGTTGAATAGGGGTTAGCAACAAAAGCTACATTTGAAGATTATTATGTTTGATTAGCCAACCATTGCCACGTAAAAAAAGCCACACCTTTTCCAAAAGTATTCACAAAATAGAGTGTTTTCCCAAATTCTTAAAAAGTGTGGTTAGCAAAAATTTTCTCCTCTTTGCCCCTCCAAACTTCCAACCCTCGCTACGCCATTGATTCTTATCTTAAAGTTAGAAACGGAATTTAAAAAATGGTTGTTTCCATCATTTATCAGTGACCTGGAGGGTATGGCACCAAAATCCAGTTAGGGTCTAACACCCCCCCCCCCACCCCAATAATTGTTGCTTAATAACTTGGTATGGGGAGTCCTCTCCGATAGAAAACTCTCTTCAAAAATAACATAGCAGAGCATTTGATCTAATAGATTGTTTAAGGTAATGATGCTTGGAATTAGAAGGTTATTAACATAGAACAATTGATGATGATCGACAGAGTTGTTATCACCTATAAATAGTCTATCAGCTGTGCTCATGAAGGACTAAAAAATAAGTTTATCGAAAGGTCTGCCATATCAAAATACAACACAAGGAATCGGAATGGTCTCTTTGTACATATCTAACTTTAGTGCTGAGTATCTTGAGTATTGTTTAGAGTATCTTGTACCCTTTCCTCCCTTAAAAACTATTCAAATAGCTCTCTTAAAGTAGCCCTCTTGAAATAGCTTTCTTGAAATAGCTCTCTTGAAATAGCTCTTTGTGAATTATCACGGGAATTTTCTTTTGTCCCTTCCATGTTCTCTCTCCAGCATAATCTAACTTTCAAAAAAGCTTGAATTTATTTGACCCAAATGATTGCAAATTTTACTCATTCTTTGCAATTTCAAGACCAATAATGATATCCCCTGCCCCACATTTACCTGATATTTCCCGTCAAAAATAAAGCACAGTGGTATATTAAACACCCTTGTTTTTATGCAAAAGACAGAATAGATGCAACTGATCTCTAAATGTATCCTAAATTATTACAACTCTGTAGTCCGTTGTAACCAGGGTCCACGCCACGGTCTAAGTGGGGGGGGGGGAGGCTGGCAAAACTAGGGGCCAAGTCTTCTTTTCCTTTTCATGCTGGTATCATAATTCGCACAGTTCAAGTCTAATACTGTGCTTAAAGCCCAGACTATGAAGGTAAAACACCTATTTAAGGACTTGGTACCCCATTCTAAAAATCCATGTTAATTTAATATCCATGTTAAAGAGAGTAATCATTTATAGAAGAAAGTCAAACTAGAAAAATGGGCACCAGTACCATTTTTTAAAAATAGCCTCAACAAGAAGGAAATTTTTATTTCATTTTCTCTTGACATATTTTAATATATTATAATGCACATTCTGTAACTCCTCCCTTTTGCACTTTCTTCATAAATCAGTAATGATTTATGGAGATTGGTCCGATTCGAGGACTGGGGCCAAGTACCCTAGTCTAAAAATAGCACTTTGGGGATTTTTCGGCTTGTGTCTGTTCGGCATCGTCATCAGCGCACGAAATTACCTCAGAAGTTTACCAATTTTTATGCTGGTATCACAATTTGCACAATTCAAGTCAAATACTGTGCTAAGGGAGCCCAGACTAGTTTCCTGATCTCATCATTGTGACGTCACAAACTAGCCTTGGTTTCGGCAAGTACTACCGCACTTCAAACTCTGATTAAACACACTTTCGCTGGTCCAATTATGACAATTTTTGTGTCAAACGTATCAGAAAAGATGGGAAAATATAGCTCTTGAATAAAAGCAGAACATAACATTTCGCTGCATAGACACATGAAATAATTGTAAGAGCACAACAACAGCAAAAGCTAGCAAGCAGGCAAATATTGCTGTACGGAAGAATGTAAAATGAAACAGGGAATAATTAAAATTCGAGAAAAGAAGATTTTAAAGAAGATTGCAAGAGTGTTTGCTTCCTTTTTTATCAAATAGCTCATCCAAATTAAAAGCCCTCTCTCGATTTCAAAAACCTCGCGAAGAAAAGGAATAATATTTTATCTACACAGAAATAAAAAACTTTTGGCTGAAAGATTCAACATTATCCGACAACGATCAACTAACAACTTTTAGATGAATGTTGGATTGTTTTGCCGGGGATTTGGGTGTTTGGTGGTGCAAAATTCAGCCCTATTGTTCAGTTTCTTGAAGTTGCAAAATTCAGTTTCTTGGATATTGAATATTTAATGAGGGAAGATCATTGGATTCGTGCAAAGCTCCAAATCTTAGATCTGATATGAACAAAGAAAAACAATCTTCCTTCACTTTGACAGAATTAGACTAGATTTTTGAATTGGGACAGATTTTTTCGGATGGATAAAGAAAAACCGATTTGTCAGGAAATTTGAGTGAATTGAGAAATGATTAAGTGTTGGTTGGGTGATATTGTTTTGTAATGATTTAGATGTTCAAGATTGTTTAATCAATGTTGTATGAAATGATAGGCTGTTTAGCGAGACCGTAGAAAGAAATACAGAATATTTTACTTTTTACAGCAAAACCTGAAAGAATACCAAGAAATACATATAGATGGAAGATTAGTTAAATATGCTTATAATTAAGTAAAATTTTCCCCAATAAAGATTTGTAGTTTTCAAGTAAATTACCGTTATTTTGGCTTGTGTCGTACAGTTATGAAGAAAAACCAATCGATAGTTATTTGATGAGAAAGAGCCTGCGTTCATGTGGTCATATTTCAGCAAAAAGTTTTTCAGGACGCCCTTACAGATTATGTGATCAAAACTCAAAAATTCTATAGGTAAGTTTTGGTGAAGTCATTATTTTTAAATTCTATATAGTTTTTGTGACGGCACAAAAAATCTATTTTTATTGTGTACAGATTGAGTATCGTAATGCCTCGAATAAGCGCCCGGGCGCTTATTTAATTTTTGAGGCTCCAGGGAGGGCGCTTATTCAAAGGAGGCAATTAATCGAGGGAGTGCTTATTTAGAAAGTAGCTTATTCGAGGGGTGGGCACTTATTGGAGGGGGATCTAATTTGAGGGGGACGCTTGTTCGAGGCATTACGGTATATTTTGTAGTAGATAGCAGGTCCACATCTGCAGTATTGTAGCCACTAACAACCTGTTTTAACAAAAATATATTATGATGATGATGAAAAATCTGATAGTGTTGCAAAACTTGATAGTGTTGTAAAAAAAGTAGTAGCCTATTGTTTTCGTTTTGAAGGGAGAGAAAGGAAAACTAAACCAAGATCAGAAGACTTGCGGTACTTGAAGCAAACTTTGCAAACTTGAGTATCATTAAACGTCAAAAAAGCAAGTTTCACAACAGAACGAAATGTTTCAACAGCCATGATTTCTTTCTTATAGGTCAGATCACAATGATGTTTTAGCTCTTTTTTACTCATTTGTCAGAATGTTCTCAATGCTTCTTACAATGGTCAGTGGCCTTCACCTTTATGATTCAAACTTTAAAAATCAACAAGGAAAAATAACTTTTATCAGCGTGTCGAAAAATGACTCGAAACAACATCCCTGAGAACCCATGTGGCAAGGCGTGCCTCCTTCGAGCCTCTTCTTACAAAGCAAGGAGCATAGCAACCTATAACAACATTTCCAGTTTGCTGCGTCTCATCCATGTGTATTGCTGAATCGCAAATTTGTATCAATTTACTGAATACGCTGGGAATAACACACAGGTAAGAACCATTTTTCTGTCTAGCATTACGTTACAGGGCCCTTATTGATAACAGTTCCTTTGGCACTGAAAAGGTTTTACCCTGTATAAATATTTCTATTATTATTATTATTCTAAGAGAAAAACTTCGAACGACTTTGGCCAGTAAGAATAAACGTACAAAGAATCAGCAGACTAGCTATTTCTAAAAATTCCAAATAAATAGAAACAAAACTAGTTTAGATACGTTATTACTACTATAGCAGGTCTTTCTTGGAATTTCCATTTGAATACAGAAAACATCTATGGTGTCACATTCTAACTGGAGAAATATAGCTTGACGGAGATAAAGCCTTGAAATCACCGAGTTCAACCGAAGACAGATTCGCTTGATTGGCTTGCAGTTCTTGCAAAGTGTTTACGAATCGACTCCATTCATCTGGGCGTGGCACAGCAAGTTGCTAGAAAAATAATCAAATTCGGTTTGACAGCATTCGACAGAAACAAATAATTTTATACTTTCTTTTAGATTTTTATGTATACTTGGCACACACAGAATGCACAAATAGGTAACTATACTTTTACATTAAGCAGCTTGCAACCCCCTCCCTCCTAGTCAAATATTTTGACAAATAAATTATTTCAAGACTAGGCGTCGCTTGGTTTTTCAAAGACCATTCTATTTTGAAGCCAAGCACAAGAATATAAATCGCTAATATGAGATATTTGCAAACACAAAGTTAAAAATACAAACTTAGACCCTATAAGGCAACAAATTATCAATAAGGCAACAAAAATATCCGGTAACTTGAAGGGTACAAAGTTTCAGCATTTAGACAGTTGAAAACGAAGAAATACAGTTCGAAAGATGTCAAAGAGAAGTATTCGACAATAAAATTATCTTCTTAATTTGCTTATCACATAAGCCAATATACTTCAACAAGAAAAACGAAATATCAATAAGGTATATACTTTTTAGACATTTGCATTTTATAGGCGAGATAGTACCACTATATAAATGCATAAGTAAGTGAAATTACCTCTCCGACGTCATAAATGTAAGTATGGCCATCGTCATCGCCGACAGCTATTTGATGTCCGGAGGCTGCCCATCTCACTCGATTGATAGCGGACAGCGGCTCAATTGTTACACTGCATGTGGGAACCTTAATAAAGAAGGACATGAGAAATAGTTTGGACAAACGAATCGGAGGTAGATTGGAGCAGATGACATCATGAAATTCAGATACATGTCCTGGCAACAAAGCCCATAGCAATACTTGCTTAAACATTGTTTTCAGGTCAATATATTAATTGTTTTAACTATCTAAAATAAGATAACTTTATAACAATAAGTAAAGAATTTTGGGCAACATGGCGAAGAGGAAATGTTTACTGGAAATTAATTAGCTGCAATATGATTTTATTGGATGTAAACGCAAGGGCTTAATCAAATATCTGGATTACTTTCAACTTCCTTTAAACTTCTAGCTAAAGCATTGCAGTGAATCATCTTATTCCTTAAATGTGTTTAAGTGCGCAACATGATTTCCAATCACTACACGTCTAATACAATTTTATAAAAACTTCAGTAAAATAATCCATCAGACAAGAAAAAGGGTATATGTTAACCAAAATCAGCCTATTTAAAAAATGGTCCCTGTAATGCATAAATGATCGACCTAGCCAACAGAAAAACAAGTTTCCAAGAGACAACAATAACTAAAAAGAATTGACTAATTCGAATCATACTTCGGTATCCTTGTTAAGGTTCCAGAGATCAAGTCTCCCCATGCCATCAACCGCGGCAAATACAGCTGGGTGGATTGGCGACCATTGCACATCGTATATATAGTCACCATTGTCCTCAAATGAGTAAAGCAACTTTGTGCTCTGCAAATTGAATTTTTGTTCTTTAAATGTCACACGATGTCAATTTGGGGTACTACTCAAAGACATAAAGTAAAGCAATGCTTATTGAGACGTTAAGATTTCATATTGCATACATTAGGCTATTTCATATAGCATACATTAGGCATATAGCAATGCAGTTACACATATACTTGTTCACTTTAATACCCTTTCACAAAATATCTTTCCCTACATAAAGTTAGAAAGTTTACGGGTTGGAATTACTTATATGATTGCCATATTACAATTTCCATATGATAGCTAGCACGCGTCTGGTTTACCAATCTGAAAATTCCGGTGCTGCAAGTACCTTGTTACTCCATAGTTTGATGGTCCAGTCAAAGGAACTAGTCAGAATCAGGTGTGAGAAATCGACCTACATTGAAAAAAGAAAATTAATTGAAAAAAACTCTTAATCGATGATAAAATACTAACACATTTCTCTTTCATGAACAACAATACCGCTAGTTAATTTTATAATTTTTTGAAACTAAACGCGTAGTAAAAGCTTCCTAGCAAATGTTTTTCTGGGTCCAAAGTGCGATGAGATGAAACTTCAAAACTTTATGCATTCTATTCAAGATGGCCGGAAAAGTGCAACAGAAAAAAAAATCAATTCCAAATTAAAGCAAATTTGTGCTCTAACACATCTGGCCTGGAACACAATTTTAACTAATAAAAATTTCTGCTCCAACACACCTGGCCTGGAACACAATTATAACTAACAACATTTGTGCTCTAACATACCTGGCCTGGAACACAATTATAACTAATACCGGTGACCGGCCCATTGTGACCATCAAACTGATCGATGATGCCAGCTTTGCTGCAGATATACAAAATGAGGTCAGCATTAGAAGAACAGAATTATTTTATAACACATTTGGCAATAGCATACAACAATTACAAGGGGTGAGGGAAACCTGCAAGTCTACCTTTGAAGAAAATCGAGTGGGGGATATCTGTAAGATCATTGTCAATGAGTTTCATTATAAGATTCCCCTTAAATTTGGTTGTTACAAGAAACATCATTCGAAAAAAACACAATATGTAAATATGTGGTGAAAGACAATAGCGAAAAGAACAATGTATACAGGTATATAAAAGTAAATATGAAAAGTATGCCCGACTGAGATTTAGGAGGACAAGACACTCGATTTGGAGAAATTTTCAAATCAGTGAAGTAAAGAATTAGTCTAATAGATTAAACACACCTTCCGTGTCGATGGCCAGTATATACAGAACCATCTTCACTGCCAACAACAAAATTATTAACATCTCCAGATAAAAACGACATGCTTGTTACTGAAACGGCTTTGGATTGTTTGTGTTGTAAATCCATTGTTTCCTGGAAAAATACTTACAGTTCAAGGCAAGATAGGGAAAAATTATCTTAAACGGCAAGTTAAATACACCTTGCCTACGATTCAAATGTTTAAAAATTGGCAATAATAGTAACCTGTGGCTGGGCAAGCATGTCAAGACTCCAAGAACACATGCGGCCATCTGTCGATGCAGTGATGAGATTGTGGGCATTCTGTGTGCCAACGACATCGATGCTATACACAGGATGCTACAAAGAAGCATTTCCAGATTTTAGATATCGACTATATGGCAAACTTAAATGAAAAGGGATATTATAACAATTTGTTTTTATCTCATAAAAAACTTAATACGAATTTAATTTGAAATATCGCTGTTGTTAGAATGAATTTTCCTAGAATATGCAGGCTATTAAGAGGAATACTATAAATCGAGATTTAGCGCTGAAGAGGTTATTTATCGGATTTCACGGGATCATACTGAAATTATCAGAAATTGGATTCAGAAGTCTTTTACTGAAGGTGATTTATTTACTTAATGTAAAGGAATTGAAAAAGAGTTGGTCATCACCGTATGAGCAGTTGAAGACAATGGCGTCTTTTGAACAGGCGTTTTCTTTCTGCTTCGGTTATCCCATAATACAATTTGTCCGGAATATGTGCCACCAATGATTAAATTAGGGTGGAAATTGGCAAAACAAACGGACATCACAGCGGACTAAAAAAGAATGCAGCCCTTGGAGAATTCAATTTACCATCATGTTTAAAGCGGTACAGGAAGCAACCGAATTAGATACTGCAGACGAGCTTTTGTCAAGGAAAATCAGGCAACGTTCAAAAGTAGGAAGGAATTAAAATCAATAAATTACAAACTCGTCGTGTCTGCAGATTTGAATGATATGACACTCTTCAACAAGAAAAACGTAAATTTGGACCAAATTAAGAAATGATTTGTCAATTAAAACAAAATAGCAATAATCATATAAAAATAAAAAATCTAATTACATGAGGCTAAAATCGAAAAATTGTTTCTTCCCTTGATTCTTTTTGTCAATCAACAGAGTCTGAGTAACATTGTTTTTATATGGTTTACTGTTGCACTCTCTTCCTTTAGTTTCTTTGTATCATTATGAAATTTAACAAACATTAAATGCAAAATTATTTGTTTACCTGATTGTGGAAAACGTATTCTGGAGAGGTTTTATTGTATTTCATATTCCAGACAAGAGCAACGCCGTCCGGATCTTGAGGAGCAGACTCGTTTTCATTATAGGAAGAAACAAGTAGCTCGGGATACTAAAACAAAACAATCTTACCACGTTAAAACAGTATAAAACATCATTTAATAGCAGACACTGGACTGTTAATGTCTATCCAGCCTAGACTGACATGCTGGCTCCAAGCACTGCGAAACGGTTGACAATACTGAGGTAGAAATGGCAGGCTTACTCCCCCAGTTGACACGCTTGGAGGAGAAGGTTTAGGTGCATAAGTAAAAATTGTTAGATTGCCAGCAGAACAGTTAGAGTTTCCAAATGTTTGGAACATTCAATTGCGGACAGTTATTCATGAAACAGTGCGAGTGAGCAAAGGATACATAACAGGAACATTTCGAGGCGTCATTGGCCTGTACTCAAGAAGTAAAACAGTCACCTGAGAAGACCAATCCATGCAGGTGACGCATCTGTGCTTCGACCATCGCTCGTCATAAAACTTTCTGTTTAATGACAATCTTGCAGCGGCTTCTGCATCGCTGAAAATCAATCCCAAGCTCGTATCGAAGTGAGTGAGTCAGGTTATTAAAATAAACACAACAGAATTCTGTTTGTGTTGTCAGGCTGACTACATCCTGTATCTGGTACTATGACACTAACTAGTTGAAGAAGTGCAGCTAAAAACAACCTAAATATAGCTGTTGATAATCAACAACAGACTAAAATACTTTATTGTTTTAATCTTCATACATTCGTGAGAATTCTGAAAAGGAAACATTCTGAAGTCACAGGTAGACAGAAATATATATTCAGGATTCCTTATATTCAGAATTCAGAATAGGCCAGCCAAACTGTGACGAGAATTATAACATTTTGAAAAAAGATTGTTCCCTAAGTTCACTTATCTATGTTCACTGTAAACATGTTTACAAGTAAATGTCACTTTGAAATGTTTGAAATGATCATCCGGAGCAGGAGAACAGCTTCGATGAAGATGAGGCAAACAGCTCGATTATTGGCAACAAAAACCTTAGATTCGCTGATTACTGTGCAATGATGCAGAAACCACGAAATCGTGCAAAATGCTTTGCGGGTTGATGTCTTACGCTAATGATACCCCGTATATGAACATATCATGAACTTTTAGCAGTGGAAATTATGGAGGTAAAAAAACCTCACAGCCTCAAAACTACAGCCTGGGAATTACATTTGTTTCGCTTTTCATATCAAATTTAGCTCCTTTTAAACGGATGGTTGAGATATTCATCGATATGCTAACCACAGACAGAAGATGAAGAAGAGAAGACTAAGCGTCATCAAGGAATCGTTAGTGACGCTAGGTCAACTTAAACTTATGAATAACCTTAATGGTGCGGAATTAATTTTGCGACCACTTGCGGAATTCCTCTACACTTTAACTGATATGCAACTTAGTTTTTAATCCTGGATTGCCTAAACTTTGACAATTAAATCTGATATTATCAAGGCAATCAAAATATTGAAGTTACTCATTAGCATATGACGTCATAAGCTAACAGTGAAAATCTCAAGACGATCAATTACCGAAACGTAAAACGCTACAGAGAAATTCATTAAAAGCAAAACTGCCAATTATTATAGAGACATTTCAATGCGAATCAATACTTTTCAATGCGTTGCAGTTCAAAAATGAACTGAACCATTTTGGCAGTATACCTGTTCCAGCATTGTGATATATGCTACTAAAATTCCAATTCTTAACAAGCATCTGCTCTTTTAAAATGAACTTTGCAAAAATAATAAAAAGATCATATAGGAAAGAATAGGATTTACTAATTCCTGTTGTTATAAATTTAATTTTGTTTGCGGATAGGATTCTGACTAATGCAGTACATTTTCTGTGACATTGTGGTGGAAGCAAAAGTCAAAATGTCAATTTCCTTACCCTTCAGCATCTTCCGCGCTTCCGCCGTAATCAAAGCAAATGTCCATATTCTCACATATTGCCTTCTCAACCAGACGTGTTGCTTTGTCAAAAAACTGGGAAAAGTCTTGCGAACTAAGAATATGCGATCTCTGCTCTTCGCTTAGCTCCAGCACTTTGGAAACTACGGAGCAAACATTCGACCGTGCTTATTCAGAAATAAAGAAATACGATAAGATTTTGCTTGTGTGTGATGGCAACGTAGCAAAATGGTTTCGTTGGTTATGTATCAATACATTGTGAATTCACTTATAGTGTAAAAATACTAATCTTATTCGAATATTGAACACTATAGTTAACGCAAAAACAGTTTTACTTGATTTTTACGCCATAGAGGGCACTGCGATTCGACCATTCAAAGTTCCTGGAACCTAGATACGTATGCATATGATTCCGCCTAATTCTGAGGCAACTGACTGTTGCTAAAGTGCCTGTCAATAACACGTATTTTAGAAGGCAATTAATTTTTCATCACCAGAAATATCAGCGAACTCCTAAGTGAAATTATTTATGTTTTTTTGACCGGGGCGGGTCAGCCAAATAAAAATGAAGCTACATTCGCTTACAAATGGATAAGCTTAAAAATGGTGTGTTGATTTACCTTCTTCCTTCTTTTCCTCTAATCTTTTTTTCTCCTCTTCTTTTTCCTGCTTGATGGCCTCTTGTTTTTCTGCCTCTCTCTTTTGAAGTTCTAGACTTTCCCGATCATCTACAAGAATCAGATGACTACATCAACCAATAATTCTGATAAAGGCTTATGAATTCATCATGCGATCATGGGGAAACATTTCACTATGCGATCAGCTCACTATTTCTTTGCTCCATGGAATTTGCGTAGCAACTGCGCACTTGCCCATCGTTCCCATTTTATTTACGAATAAAAGAGGTAACAGTTTCAATGAGATTCTTTCTGAAAACTTTTTCTGTTTAAAATGCCCTCACAACGAAGCGCGGCCAAGCAAAAATTTAAGTAAACTGTTTTTCCGACCGCCAGGCTAGTGAAAGAAGAAAAAATAAATTTTGTTCGGTTTTTACCAAACAATTAAAAACGTTCCATTTTAATTCATTCACTAAATCAAAACTCTAGCTATGGGTAGTACTGTTTGACTGTAACAACAATTTGACGGCATATTTGCAGCAGTCAGCAGAGCTTCGACTTTTTTTAACTAAACTTCTGCCTTGACGCACTTTGCTAATCAAAGCACAATGCATCATTAATTGCTAAACAACTAAAACATTTAGAAGAGAATTATCTCTAACGGAACTTTCACGATAAAGAACAAATTTGCAATTTCTCTTCTGTTTAACTCCTGGCAAATTGCTTATGCCGCAAACAGTATGAGGTCTTTGGAGATTAACCGAAGGATAACGTAAACGACAAAAAACCAGGTCTGAATAAGGAAACGCATGTGACATTGAAGAAGCAAGATTAAATATTCTGGACTCATTTCAGGTGCGGCAACGAACACAAAGAAAATAAAGAAAACTGCTGAGACGATTAAATCTCGATGCACAGCCAGAGTGCCTTTATAACCGAGACAAATGAACATACAACTGGGCTAAAATTGACTGTTATTTCAAAATGAAGCACACTTTCGATGAAATAATAATCAGCAACTTGGCGATGAACGCCATTCGGCACACTGAAAACTTTAAAAACTACATTCGTTTCCTCTTCTTCATCTCGGAAATTTAATTATTCAATAATTCATAGTCAAACCTAAAAACATTATTGAAATTGGCTATCTTTAAGTGGTTGAACAAATTCAAATTTGAAAGAAACGCCTCGCTTTCTCAATTTTCCGACGCGTCCTTAAAATTTGACCAAATGCCGGAAAGGATATTTTTCTTTATCCGGCTTAAACTTTCACGAAAGGGCAAATTAACTTGAAGGATAATATTGAATCTGCGTGTTCTAGCTAACGCCAGCTACGTGGATGATTAATTCGTGCGACAAAATGAGGAAATGATAAGTGTAGAGCTTGAGAAATAAAAATTGAAGCCATTTTAACAAGACAGAAGTTCTGGATACCGGTGCCAAAATACAGATTATGTTCGACACACTAACGAAGTCAAACTATGTATCAAATACATTCATTTTGTTTTGTAAGAGCTTTTCATCTGGCAATAACGGGAGTTGTATGTGTGGAGGGGAGCAGTCGTTTAATTTCTTCCTTGTTTTCAAATATTCATAAAAACTAATCTCAAGATAAATCACGTCAGTGCGTAGTGGAAGAACAGGCCTAGCCCCTACTTGATATATCTTTTTGCAAAAATGCAAGAAAAATAATCTGCCTGCAAGAAAAATAATCTGCAAAAGCCTGAGACAACATTTGACAATAGATTCAACAATGGAATTCTCTTGGAAACCATAAAACGATTAACCAGGTACAATACTCAGTGATATCAGCAACAATAACAGGCTCGAGAGGGGGGGGCATGGGTGCTTGATGAAACACATTGTTTGATAGAAGGGGGTACCACTGATTGATTCATTTCTTTCCCCTCAAAGAATCAAATCGCCTGGATGCGCCTTCAATAAAATACCACCGGAGCGCCATTTTACATATTGATTACGAAATTAAAATTATATAAACGACCAGCTTTCAAATATCCCAAGAAATGATAAAATGTTGCAAAATTATGACGTCGTAAAACACATTTTCGGAATTTATGAAATTTGACCAAAAAACAAGGAAAAGCGTGAAGAAACAAGTATAAATTTAAATATAGATGAAAATTAAAGAAATTCTTTTAATATTATCAAGTTTTGATACGGCCCCCAAAAGCAGTCCGTGGACTGATTGGGCTACCGACTTAGATAAAAATGAAATAAAATGAACTGTTGCAAATTGACGGCAATGTAGCAAGGGAAAGACACGTACCAATATTTGAAGGTATTGATTTGAAAATAATAAATTTGTCCAACAGGAATTGTTTCAAACACATTCTTCTAAGAAATTTTCGATAGTAATCTCAATTCTTCAATTGCTTAATAGTCGGAGCCATTAGAAATATTTGCAGAGATATGCAAAAAGACCAACTTTATTATAAAATTTTGTAAATAAATGCGTGTGGCGTTTTACGGATTTGAGAATTTCCCGCCAAAAACACAAATGTTTGGATCCCTATCAAATCTGTTGGACGGAATGACCTATCGTTAGCAGCACACAATTTCAAGCATACTTTTTGTCATGCTAGGTAGTATTATTGATAACCGAGCAACAATTTATTTCATAATGGTTGACTATTTTTCTGAGAAATCAACTTTTCTGTTCGAATTTCTGTTGGACGGAAAACCAACAAATTGTTTAGGAAGGCAGGAGAGGGTTCCTACTTTATAATACCAAAGTCTTTGAATCTGTCATTTTTGTACAGAAGGCATTAGCTTTGGCTAGTAAATATACAGAGCCCTTAAAAATATCAATCAAAGTTCTGAGTTTGTGACATTTTTAAAAATTAGGCTTTATTTAAAAATTAGTATTTAAAAAAATACTTGGTACCTTCAAATCTGAATAAACACAGAAAGATAATTTTCAAGCTGCGGCACTAGCATTCTTATAAAGTTTCATCGTTGTGCCTTTCAAATTTGGCCATTTTCCCATTTATCTATTAACGTTTTTTCTGAGGCTTAAATGTTACCCTTATTCAATACAACACCCTAGAGAGAAGTATGATGTTAATCTCAAATTACGAATTTGGTATTATGGCACAAATTATACAAAGATGGATTTATCAGCCACTTGTGGATGAAATATTTTGCTTATTTAAATCTATGCTAATTGCAATAGATTATATATTGGATGTACCTATAGCCTGCGAGCTTCTGTTTTCATGGGTTCAGGCAAAAAACAATGCAGCTGTTGTGGAGATGTGCAAAATGCAATGAGCATGAAAAATCAATATTTTGGGTTGCTTTAAAGCATCTAAATAACTGAAACAGCTAAGATAGACTTAACGGAGAAACAAATCACAATAGCCAAGATTCTGTTAATTAAAACACCAGCTTTGCTTCCTTATTTATATTGCATTCTGTTTGAAATGATAGCTTAAAGCCAGCCTACAGCAGGTTCTTAAACTGCAGTAGAACAAGCGATCAATGCGGAACACAATGATACAGACTGTGATATTTGCTAGGTTTATTTGTCTCTGTATCCGGTACGATTCCAGCGAGTTTATATTTGCTCTAAATATCTGGCATGTTTGCAGTGACAATGGAGAACCGGTTGAGAAGGAAAAAGGCCGGTTGCGCAATGCGGCATCTGAAAATGAACAGTCATACTGTAATTTTTTTTGAATATCCTGAAATCAAAGATTCCTTCAAATATTTGAATAAACCAGAAGCAACGGCTAACGTTTCTTACACGGACAACCACAAACTCTCATTTTCTATAAGAGGATTTGATCCAAATCTTGTCCTTGGGCTTCGTATATTTGGGCGCAACGATTGTAGAAAATGGTTCCTGTGGCCCATCTAACAGTAGCTTGCTGAAGTGAATTTTTTACGAGTTTCGGCATGTGCGGGACATAGGTTTCTTCGTACAATCGGTTCTCCAGAGAGGTTTTTGCTTTACGGGCGGCAGAATGAAATTGAAAATGAACTTGCTTTGCAACTGAGATGGAACAATCGAGGAGAAGCTGCGAGCAGCGCTAACTGTGAAAGGTTCATTGCTTTAATAACCACAACAATAATAAGTTCCAGTTTTGGGGTTGTGGTCTCCTTTCGTGATTCCATTTCCCACATTATTTCTCTGCTTGCTTCATGACGGCTTCAGAAAGGTTGGCAGAAAAAAACATCGCTCGCTTCTAACACTAAAAAACTCAAAGCTTGGACACCAGGAGAAATGTGCATTTTTCTAATTATTCCATAAATATCTTAATAACTTATTAATAAGTCATATATTAAAACTTTCCTTTGATATTCCTAAATATTCCTAGATCAAGAGATACTTTGTGCTCTCAATGGTCAATAAGGATGCTTTTGATTAGGAGATTGATTTCAGTACATTGAAAACTCACTATTTTCTAGTTTAAACATCAACACGATTTTCTACTTCAAAACGTAAATGTCTATTTTCCTCTTAGCATAAATATATCTATACGTATAGGTAAAGACTACATCAATTTTGCAAGACATTTGAGTCTATTGAGTATACAAGACTTGGGCAAAGATATCCTATTCACCCAAGCAAAAAGGCAGAATCAGTCTTTTGCAACATCTAACCATATGGGCCTGTTTGCAAAAGCATTTATGTTCATTCTGAAGTTTTCTTTAAAATTCATCAAACATGTAATACTGTAAAGAAATAAAGAGGCCATCAAACCTAAAAAACTTTTGTCAGAAGTAACAGCTAATCTAATTATGTTTTTGAGAAAAGGTTTGCCCAGTGCCAAACGTAGTAGATAAAAGGGTATTACGAGTTTGAAATTTCAACGAGAAGGGTATTCCAAAAAAATGCCCGGACAAACAAGCCAATTATTTACTGTAATTTATATTTTAACAAGAATTCAAAACAAGTTTTTGTTGTCATGTTGTGCATGCACATATGAATCTTAAGTAAAGGCCAAAAGGAAAAGAATTAATGAAAACTAAACTAATTCTGAACTACAGATAAACATGAGGGGGTGCCTGTTAAAAGGGCTTTACATGAGTGGGGGTAAATGAGAAAAATAGGTGAAACTTTAATTTTGATGATTTGAAAATCAAGGGAGCAATGACATCATCATAAACAACCGCACCTTGTTGCTAAAACGTTCCCTTGCTTAAACCCACAACTTTGGTAATAATTGGGGTCATTTAACTTAAATAGTTATCTCATCGCTACTTATATAAAACCTGAAGATTTGAGGACATTTAACGTAAGATTGGTAGCGGCCTAAATGTGCACGAAACTATGTAACTAACTGAAAAACTGAGAAACAAACGTAAAAAGCTATGAGTAAGTTTTACGACCAAAAAAGGAACGTTGCAAAAAGAATGAAATATAGAGAAAATGGGAGTATTAACTATATGCTAAGTTCAGTCTGTGGTAAAAGAATCTACTGAGCGTTAATTTCTCTGCACAAAGTTTGCGTCAGTGATTGTCTGTTGGGGATTAGGTTGAAGAACTGAGCGCCCAGCCACGGATGTCAATCTATCGCGAATTATAATGATTGTTCGGCAACAAAATACTCTGTTAACGACAACTTTGATTTCCTCTCTAATTTCCTTCATTTGAAAACAATAAACAAGAGGGTTAATGAGAGAGTTCAAGAAAACAAGGGTAGAAATCCAGATCCAGGCATTGAATGGCAATTCAACAAGAGTTTCCACCACAGTAAAAATGACAAAGGGCATGTAGCAAACAAACATTGATCCTAGGATCGTGAAGGCAACGCGAGTGACACGTGACATCATCTCAGATCGACTGCTATCGCCATTTTCTTTCCGTCTATTTGCAGTCTGCGACTCTATTTCCTTCCGTATTTTCTTTACCACAAACGCCGTTCTTATATTTACATAGAGACTCCAAAAGAATATCCCTAAAGCAACCGTGCTGCTGACGATGGATGTTAAAACTAAGTCAGGGGTAGCAAAACTGCCAAGAACCATGGCAAGATTCGCAAGCCAAATGATCCCGATCACAACAATAAGTTTGATGTGACTTTCTTTTATTTTCACGTAGTAAAATGGATGGAATATTGACACATGTCGATCCAAAGTAATAAGAAATAAGCTTGCAACAGAAACTGATGACAGCCAGTTCCCTATAAATATAGTAAATGTGTTCACAAAACAGAACTTCCTGCAATAAGCTGAATTTAGCATAAGTGTCCCAAAAAAGGGCTGCGTAAGAATTCCTGTCATCATGTCGGTTGCTGCTAGGTTGCATAGAATCAAGTTTGACATTGAGCGCAACTTCCTTCTTCGATAAACTGTATACAGCGTAAGAAAGTTGAAAAAGAAGGTGAACGGAGAGGCGATGAAGTTGAATGTTGCAACAGCAACCACATTCCAAAACGATAAGTTCTCGAATTCATAGTAAAACGGAACTTTGCCACAATTGAGCGATTTTGCAGGGCAGGAGTTTAGAATTTCTTCTGCAGCCAGAGTGCCATTGATACGTGTCGTGTTAAGGAACATAATTTACACCGAGGACATCAAACCAGCTGATATTCTGGTGGCAACCTGAAGGCATATGACGAAATAGGCAGTACCTCGTACTTTGTTTTCAATGAGTCTTTCTTTCATCATCATTGGATGGATATAAATGAATAAAACAAAAGCAAGTTTCCAACATGGTTGCTAGATATCATATAATAGAAACTCGCCGAAAGTAATTAATCTCAATAGAAAAGTTTGTTCAGCTGCTGCCGCTATGATCAAGTTTAATATAATATGAATTCGTCTGCATGCGTACTTAGTGAAAATCAATCAGTATAAATTCTTGAATAAGCTTCACGCTGCCACAGAAACACCGTCAATGCTAATGCATTCTTGCCACCCTTAATTCAAACAGGTTCTAGGAATAAACATCTTCGCTAAATAGGGTACAGCAACGGAAAAAAGTTGTTCAACTTCTATTGACCAGCATAATAGCATTTGCTTTGAAATATATCATCAAAGACTGGTATCTTGAAATATTGTCCTTTGGTGCTTCCAAGAGCTTTTGTCTGAGCAATGCCGATAGATCCAGGCTCTGCGAATTACGAACCAACTACAGCCAGCTCTTGCAACTTCCGTGCAACTCGCTTTTGTAACTTCGTCACATTATTTCATATCAATTGCGACAAATGCAATAACAGAGTTGTTGAGTATAAAGAGCGACCGACCTTGTGTACATTAAAGTCGGCAGTTGCCTCGGAAGCACTAAAGGCATCCCCTAATCCATAGATAAACTGCAAGGAAAACTCGCATTGTCAACTAACAAAATAATGTTATTTATCACTTCTCCTATACAAAAAGCCCTGTTGAAACTACCAGAAATCAGCCATCGGGTTCAACCCAGCTGCATTGACACTACACAAGAGCTTAAGAGTAACGCAAACAAGAAAGTGGGATAAGTCCTCCTTTCTTTAAGCGAAACAGATGAACACAAGAAATCCTTTTTCATTGTCAGATCTGTTGTGTGACGTGACAGTGGTGATTGAATTCTAGAAACAGTTCAAGTGACGCTAAAAATCCACTAATGTAATCTCGTTATTCAATAAAATGTGCAATTCACCTGTCTAAGGCCTAGAGTTAAAGATTTTCAAGCAACTCTTAAACAGCTTTAGGGATGGAAACTAAGAATGTTTAACAACTTTATAGAATGGGTCTATAGCCGAATCAGATTTTTTTGGAAATTACCAATTTATAAAGTAATCGCGGCTGTTCCCTCTTTAGAGCCGCCTTTAACCTGTTGCTCTCAGGTAAAGGCTGTTTGATTCTATACACTGGCCTCTATATGTGTCCTACATACCATGCTTCATATCGGCAGAAAACGTTATAGACAACAAAACCTTTTCGAATGGCAATAACTTCCTGTCCCTTGCTGAAAAAGCACTTTTTCGTTGTCAAATCAAAATCAACTCTAATCGCTGGTAGACTTTTGTTGCCTTGAGGCATTTAGAAATCAAGATCAAAGAATATTTAGAAGATCGCCATATGTACATTCTTAGCTAAAAAGAAAAGCTAAAATTTCTAAGTAAATTTCATCTAAGTGTACATAAAAATCTTAGCCAGCCTCACACCGCCTGTCGATTCTACTACAAATAATTTCATCTGGGTTTAATCTAATTGGTTCAAACGCGACGTAAAGTAAACAGGGCTTAAGACGACGTAAAGAAAAAGTCTAATTTTACAAAGTCTGATTGGGCCAAATTTCCGAAAGTCTGATCAGGACAAATTTTTGATAGTTATCATTTTATCTCTCCTTGGCCGTATTCAACTTGATAACGGAAGGCGGTATGGCAATTGCAATGGAAAAATTAATTCTGCAAACATCAAAATTTTGCAGGTTAGAATCCTTCAAGTAATCTAATTGGCAAATAAATCAAATTACAACTTCATCATATTTTTGGGCATAAATCTGCACTAATAAATCTGCATAAATACAAATTGAAGCACTTTAAAACTTGAAAAGCAACTTCTCAGATCTTGATTCATTAAGCATTAAATTCACAAATACTTAATCTTTGGCTTCCAGTTATTGAATTTCCAGCAAACCGAAAGCACAAAATGAAAAACAAACAAAGCACTTTTCTACAGCTTAGGTTCTGCGCTTTGTTAGCATTAAAACGAGTGCTTAAAATCTGATAGAACGAGTTCAGCATTTAAGATAGGATAATGGCGTGGAATTTCGTAATCCAATTGGAAACACGGTGTCACCTGGGACAACACTCGCGATAGTTAAGTAGCACTTCATTGCAAGTGTTTGCTATCGGCATAAAGGCGATCAAAAGATGTTTTTCTATGTGGTTTACCGTTGATAGATATAAACTGTAAATAACAGAATGGGAAAACACAATTTTAAGCTCAGCTGCATTTATATGTTTTCTTCTTGTGTTCAAATTTGCTTTAATTTTCAAAAAAAATTATTCCTGTACACATATCCAGATAAAAATGATATTGATAAATCAAGGACAAGGCGCGCATCAATCATGAGCATAATTTATCATTAAGTCGCTTTTCACAGAGAGACGAAACGGTAGCAAATCTGCATTAGTGAAGTTAAAATTACAAAATTGGGGGTTTAAAAGGAAAAAACATATTTTTGGCGACACTGGCAATGCTAATAGGCCCAGGGATATTTTTTAATTTTTCGTCCATGTTTCCTTAAAGAGCTTGCTGAGAGAAACATGATAAAACAGTTGAGCATTTGAAAGTCAGATACCCTTGCTAGCGCTTAAGGTTGGCTCAGGAGGAAAGAGGAGTCGAGCTTCAAAGTACTCATTTCTGAGTGGAGCGCTTCACCGACTGAGCTACGGCTGTTGATATAGTGGTCGGCTGTAGTGGTGCCAAGATTACGATATCAAAATATCTTACTACATTTAGCATTGATAGGCTTTTGTCTGTAGTTCTTATTTTTTAGTAATGCCTTAGCAAATTGATATAAACAAAGAAAAACAAAGAAAATCAAAATGAAACCTAAGTGGAGCACCAGCTTGGAGACAAATATTACGATTTATTGTCTTGCCTTAACTAGACCTATGTTTGTGTAATCTTAAGAAAAAGGGCACGAAATAGCACTGTAACCATTCAACAATCGAGAACCTTACCTTCAGGTTCCACAGGCTGTACTTCAATAGTCTGTGTTTCTTTAGTGTAGGACACCATTTCCTAACGTATACAAAGGAAGTAGTAAACATAGGGACAAAAGAACAAGAATATATTTCAAGAAAAAGTTTGCAAAATCAAGAACTTAACAACCTAGTAAAAACAGGCTCATCTCAGGTTGACATGTCAAAAAGAAGTTCATTAAGAAAAGAAGAGAGTCTTAATGCAAATTTTTGGTTTATACAGTAAGGAGAATACATGAATAAAAAATAGACTTGCTTGAATAAACTAAACGAAAAACCTATACAAATGTGTAAAAAATAGCTTTATTTTATCAAATCTTATGGTTTGCCATGAAAAAAGTATTGATCCTGTTTAAAAGGCAATTCATCATAGAAAAAAAAATTGAATCCACATCTTGGAAAAATCTGTACAGAAACGACGTCAGTATTAGAGCAATTAAATGGAGGTGAATTGAACAATGGTATTCAAAATAGAAAATCTTTAATAACATTAACATTTTTCAAGACAGTGTTACCTTTGGAGGGACATTTATACTGTTGAGATGAGCAACAGAGAGCTTTGGCACAGGCCTTTGTGGGCTATACAAAAAGAATATGAAATTCAATGTATTTATAAAAAAAACGAATTAAAGTATGTAAAATATCATGTTGACATACACTACAGGGAAGGCTATGGAATCATTTCATGCTTTGATTCTGATAAAATGAATCTGCACAACTAGCTACAACAAATCAATGAAATAAGGAGTGTCACATCAGCTGCCTCACCTAAAACTGCATCATTGTTAAAATGCTTTGTATATGCATTGCATACCTGCTTAATTCTTAAAAAACAAAAAACAAGTATACCAAGTTGGATAAATAATTATATTAGAAGGGCTTACGCAGGTGATGTTGGCTTGCTGTCTTCAGATGATATTGATTGACTATCCTGGCTTGCAATTTGCGGGCTTGCAACCACTGAAGAAAAAAATTATATTATTGAGCACAATTAGATATCATCAGAGAGAAAAAACAAATACTTAAATCATTGACTAACAAAAACAAAGATGTGTCTAAAAGGATTGTGCTGGAATAGCCAATGCCTCTTTTTCATGTCACTCTATAGAAGCAAATGTTAAAGCTTATGATAATAAATACTTTTTGGGGGATCAAACTCTATTAACTTTGTGGTGGACTGTCTCTCAGGGCTCATTAAAAATATTTTTTGCCTGCGAGCGCAAAGCCGAGTAAAAATGTGTCTGCAAAGAAATAGGGTGCTATTTATAGTCAGATACTGATAAAATGAGAACCCCCTGTTATGCTCGGTATTGTTACACCAACTACGTTTGTCAAAAGCAGATACCATATAAATATCATCATGAACAGTGGCGGACACTTGGGGGGGCGAGGGGGGGCGACGGCCCCCCAATAATTTAGAGGACAATGGTATTTTGTTCGAAAACAATGGGAAATGTGACGTCATCTTATTAAAACAATAGGCTTGCCCCCCCAATATTTGACCAAGTGGCCGCCCCTGATCATGAACTACACATAAAACATAATGAATGACATAATGAACAAATGACATAATGAATGCTACTAGCATTATAGTATATACATAAAAAATGTAATAATCCAGTTTTTATCTGTACGAGCTGTTTTGGGTTGTCAAGTAGCCCTATCGCTTTTATCAAATAAAGACATCTTCAGTAAAACCGCTTTCTGATATCTCAAACGCTTCACTTTAAATGAAGCAGTTCTCTTAACAACATTCAACTTTTTTCAGGTTTGTGAAATTTAGGATATTGCTTTTACTTCTTTGGCAGAGATTGCAAGAATTTCGACATTACACTGGGTTCTTCTCATTTCAAAGATATGAAAAAGAGCCATTAAAGTTTTTATTCCCCATAACTTTCGTTGAAATGTTTTATTCAATATAGTATCTAATAAGCTTTAACTTTATCATGCTTTTGTTTGTGTTGTCGCAAATTGTCGAAAATTTTTGTTTTTGGTGAATTTCTCTGATTAAATTTTGCTCAAATACGTCAGAAATTGATTACTACCAGATTCAACAACTTGAAGACTTTAACTTGAAAGGCTGTGCTTTCCTCAGCCTGTTATGCATGAATGGGCTTTAAGTCAAAATATAATGCTGTGAGAAGAAAGCGATAAAATAATTGTGAGTGATCTCTTCTATCAAGAGAAAATGGAGGAAAGAAGAAAAACATCAAATTTGCTTTTGAGAATCAAATGGTGCCTTTAGAGTAAAGACCTTCTGTCATTTTGGTAATAAAGGCTTGCTGCTAACACCTTATATATTCTATTTGTTCAATTTCAATACCAAAAAAGATGTTTAAAGAAAGCATGACAGTAATACAATAAAGGTAAATAAAAATTGATTCAGAAATGTGCCAGCAGAAATTCCTGAGAATAAATTTTTATGCCTGTGAGCGCTGCTGGCCCACTCACGTGAGAATTCTATCTGGATTGGAAACAGAAAAAAAACAAGAGGCCTCCATTAGCTTAATTAAGTCACTTCTTGAGTAACTATGAGAAAATGAAGAAAAAACAAGCTCAAATTTTCTCACTTCAAAGTAGTTTCTTATGAATGTATTTGTTTAAAAGGTCATTTAATCATTATCATATTTCATTCACTGATTCATTGATTCATTCGTTGATTCATTCATTCATTCATTCATTCATTGTTTGTTTATATCATTCATGATCATACATTCATACTAACACTTAAAAAGATCATACTTATATCATACCTGTGCTAGACGAAGGCAAATCAATATCCTCCAACAGTTTATCAATATCAGATTGTGATGCAATAGGGCCAGGTAAGGATGCTTTCTGTACACCAGCACTGGCAGCTGCCTTTTCTGCCTGAGCAACAAAATAAAATCAAGCATAGGTAACAAAATAGGGCTTTCTTCATTGTGAGCACATTATTCTAAAAGAAGACAAATTAAGTAGGACTTACACTGTATGCAATTCCTCATCTCTTATCTACTTACAGTGATTTATTCAAAATCATAATCAATCTATTATGACTACTGACTTTATTTGTAGAGTAGATTAAGAATACAAAAAAATCCACATAAATTGTGTTCTTAAAACTGATAAAAGGGTCAATCCTTCAAAGTGGGACAACCATGACACTAAACCCTTGACAAATCATATAGCCACTCCGCTGTGAGTTGGGGGGAATGAGAGAATTTTTTCACACTCATACTTTAAAAAAATGACTTTTTACCAACAAGGAATGCCTATTTTACCCATACCAATACCCAAATCGATCTTTTGGTTGCAAAGGTGGCTTCAAAATCATAATCATACCACAAAGAATATATTTCAAAAAATACCACTCCCCCAACGTTTCCTAATTGAATTTAGACAAAATACAAAACTGATCAAGTTGAAAACTGGAGGAAACTTGTTTCACTGTCCAATCCTATGTCAAAAAAGCTGGCGACAATTTCTCATTTTAAACAGTTATTTTTTAACCATATAGTTTTGTTCTGTTAATACTAATGGTCACAAAAGTATGGAAATGGCATACCAAAATGGCTGCACCAGTCACCTAGGGCCTAATGCTCCCCAAGTTTGAAAGCATAATTAGGGCTTGGAACTGAAAATATCTGGCAGGAAAATGCATTCACCATTATACAGACTTCAGTTGAATAAAAATTTAATGATTGTTTTGCTGTTTTTAGTAAATAATTCAGTCAAACATTGAAGCACTGCTTGAAAATAATTCCATGAAAAATTTCTAAGTATTCATATAAAATGACAATAAAATTTCACTTTTTGAGGATGAAAGGAAGAAGGATGAAAAACATTATGTTTAAATTATAAGAAAACTGCTTAGCTTTTTTCTGATGAAAACTTTTTACAGAGAAGATTATTTTAGCAGAAAAAAACCTCTCTCCAAATGTTTCAATGTTTGCACCATGCATGAGCCACTCAACATTTTACTTTAGGAATGCTTCTTGAATTCTGATTAATGCTCATTATCTCGGCAGATAGCAATTGAAAAAACTAAATTGAAACATATAACTGTCATCGTTTCTTTTAAGTCATAAAATGAATACATCCAAACTGTCTTTATTATTGAGCAAGCCAAGTATTTTGATTAGTGATCAAAAACTGTTAAACCTGTCATTTAATGATTATCAGAGAACAAGATAGGCTCAATGCACCCTAAGACCATCACTGAAATTCTTCCATTTACTTAGAGTTGGTATTTCAGCTTCTTTAAAGTTGAAAAACATGGCTTCTTTATAAGCCTGGTAATAATTTTCATTCACCCTCAGAATTCCTTTAAACCTGCCTGTTCTCAACTATTTTCTCTACCAAACTAATTTGTTCATAGCTTGTTAACTCTACAGGCACTTCACAGATATTGTAGTGCAGCCCATTTCTTTAAGGAATGATCAGCCTGGAGGTGTAAACTTTGTTGTTTTCTTGTTTCTTTTATTGTATATCTTGTATTTTTTAGATGCTCATAGAAAATAAGATTATCTACTTTTGAAAACAACTTTCCCAGTAAGCTTTTATTCATTTTCAAAAGCTACTGACTATTTTCCAGCTGAAATTAGATTTGTTGAAAAGCATTTCTGGCAGTTTACAAAAACCAGGTATGAAATTGATATTGTAGATGCAATACTGGGGCCATGAGGGGGAGGGAAGCTGGGGGAACATGTCCCCTCCACTTCTCGGAAAGAACAATTTTGACAATAGGAACTTTGCACGACCAATAGGCAAAAGTGCATAGATTTAACTATTGAGTGTGCTGGCAATATATCCAGGCGCACAACAAAGTTTCCAGTCTGCCTACCATGTAACCAAATGGCTGGTTCTGCCACTGTAAACGGTACCTATGCGCCTAGATGGATCTTGAGTTCTTTTCGCATGTCCAACAGTTTAGCAACATAATAATTGCTGTTATCCTTACATTTTTAGCTTGTATCTTTGTTATCTGTTTTCTTTTAAGTAGCAGTGAAACGTTTCTGGTATGCTTTTAGTAACTGAATTGGATTTAAAAAAACTTGAATTGAATTTTTGTATAGCTCTAAACTTTATTATCTAAGAAAGTTTGATAATATGATGTAAAAGGGTGAATTGTATTATAGACAAAAAAGCTTTTTTCTTTACTTCTGTTAATTAAGGTTACACTAGCATACTTTTTTCTTTTCTTCTCGTGCCTTTTTCATCTCCTCCAGCTTCCTTCTCTTTCTTTCGAGCTCTGCCTTTCTGTCCGCCATATTGTTCAATTGTATATAGCTATCGCAAGGGTAAACTTCAGTCGCAAGAACAGATAATTTTCCAGTTACTTACAAATTAATTCTATGTTTTCGTATGTATTTACAACAGTTAAGCATTGTATATGGTAGCAAACTGCTTCTGCTTTGCCTGCCTGCTACATAGGCCTAACTTGACTGAAGAAATAGCCCAACCTAATGCTCCTTCCCAGGAGTGCTTAGATGCACTTCGTAACACAAGGTAACAAGAACTCCTTGGTCGAAAAACTTTTTCTTTCTAGTAACCCATCCATATTATTGTTCTTCTCTTATTTTTATTCTCAAATGACTGTTATGATAGAGACATAAAGAATGTCAAGTATAAGAAAATTACCAAACATTACCACAAACAAATCAATACATGAAGAAAAGGAGAAGAACAAATTACAGATAAAATCAAGCTAAAAAATTTTCTTGAGCCCCTAATGCATAAGACCAAGAATAGAAGAAAATATTTTGCATAATTTGGACAAAACAAATAATCTCCAGTCAATTTAAGCTTTGATTTCATGCTTAAAAATGTCAGGCACAATGAAAATTTCTAAGGGCTCCCGATGCCTAAGGGAAGGTCATGTCCCTTCTTTTCGTAAATTTTTTTATAATTCTAAAACGTGTCCTTTTCCAGCTTGAATCAGATTCCTCAATTTTTTTAGCTCAAACCTAGATCGGTCTTTTTACCACATATTTAAATATATTATGATTTTTGTTAACAACGATCTTTCGAATAAATCTGGAATAAACACAAGTTTATACTAAAGGTAATCAGCAATAAAAACACAATATCGTGCAATGTAAAAATTGATAAGCTGCTACTAACTCTCTAAAATTCTCTAAAGTTTTTTGTCAGTGGTAGCGCCAAAGGGGGCAGGGGGGGCTACAGTCCCCCGTCGGAACTGCTTAGCCCATCCATCAGAAGATATACGAAGGACATTTGCTACCATTTGTAAAAAAAATTACGAAAGTGAAGGAGTAACTGAATACAGAAATCTCATTGACACACCATATCGGGGAACTCAACCCATTCTCTCGGCATACCAAACGACAATCGGACTATGAATATAAGTAAAATTCCCCCTATACTTGGGGACACATGTATGACACCCCCAAGATTTCTAAATCTGTCCTTAACTCGGCAGAATCGGCATTTATGGGATATTTGATTGTTTTATTTCATTTCGATTTCATCCTTCACTTTTCGGCACGTTAATTTTTTAACTGATAAAAGACAATCTGCAACCAATAAGAAACAAACGCCACATTAAAATGTTTCAGGGTTGGGGGCGCGAATGACGAGAATGATTACAAGAAAATTGATTAAAACCGTCCAATGGCATTCCGCGTGTGGATATCAATTCTAAGAGTAAGGTTGTACTGTAAATATAAAAATATTGATCCAATGAAAAAGATCTACAAGGAACTTTCTTGATATCTGTCTTTTGTCTTTTAGGGGACATTTTGTTATAAAAAGGCGTCCCCCCCAAAGAGTTCCCGTCTTTTTGCCACTGGGATTACATGTTTTTCTCCGATTGCCTAGCCACGATCCACCCCCCCCCCTCCCCCCGTCGAAAGGTCAAAACTCTCCGTCGGATAATTTCTAGCGTCACCAATGTTTCTTGCCATCACCAATAACTGCAGAATCGACAAATGTTAACCCCCATATGTCTCTAGGGGGATTATAAAAGCCCACAAATAACATACATATTCTTTGGATCAGAATAAATTTTTGGTGTTGTTGCTCACCCCTGAGAAAAGTTAAGCTATCTCAAGCAAATGGCTTCCAAACAGATTTTCAAATTTGCAAATTTTCGTTACCTTGCTTTAGTTATCTTCGAAGAAGGCGTGTCTCCATCTAAAGCTACCATCAAAGTGAAACTGAAAATCTACTTGATTAGCAGGGTCAACTGATAAACTATATTGATCTGCACATTTTTTGTGAGGCATATTTGCAAAGTTTTGAAATACTTAAATTCATCAAAATTCATTGTTCTATCTCATTATGGGAGCTTCCTTCTATGAAGGAGCTCCTCCTTCAAATAATTATCCCATACACTTGACTCTGTCTTTGCATTTCTATTTATATATTGAATCATTTTTCTATTTCATTGTATTAAATTCATGCTATTGATACTCTTGTAGTTTCGTTATTCGTTTTATGTCTAGATAAAACTTAATATTGTATGTTCGAAGCGGACTTCAAAAGAATAAACATGAAACATAACATTTAGTAGTCATTTTGAAATAGCTAGCTTTTTCTGTATTTGAAAGATGTGTTGGTGATCTCTTTAATAAAAGTAAGAGAAAGCGTTTTCCAATGTGAATCTTAGTGAATAAGGTTTATTCGAGAGAACCTTGTTTTATGGAAATGATTTGCATCGTGTTCCATTTTACTTAGATACGGAATTCAAGGACAACCCAGGCTTCCCCGGGGCTGCCCCGGGGTCCGCAATTTTTACAACCATTGTTTCACCTACTAGCCATGGTGAACATGGAAACACCTGTGATTGTGACAGAGATTTTTCATTTCGGTAAAAATGACACTCTTCCTAGAAATCTTGATGTTTGCTAAGTTAAGATAGCAACAGTAAAGCTGGCTGAAGCTAATTTGAATTACTAAAAATGTGTCCAAAACGAATCTTAGGCGATGTTAATGAAGCTACAGCCCTAATGGTTCAAAAATCTATTTGACTATAGCTTCACATCCAACTAAGCATTGCACTTGGTAGCCGTAAGTTACTTCTGTTTCTAGAAGTCCAAAAAGATCTTTGTACTTAAGTTATCCCATAAAAGTTACAACTGGGCTTTCGAAGGAATTTTCAAGACACCGGAAAACCCTTTCTATCAAGCAGTCTGCTTCTCCTTCCTCTCGATGTGACCATCAATACGCACCCCTTCCCCCCCAGTGTAAGCCAGGCCTTTATTATTTCCTTCGCAGCCACCAGACATTGCTGTCCACCTAAAAATTTTCTATTGGTTGCTAGTCCACGGATTCGACGTTAAAAAATAAACTGTTTGCCAAAATAAAGGCCTGAAAACTTTCTAATACAAATAAGTAAGATTAGAAGACCCTTCAGGTATTGGCCAAATAACAGTGCAATTATATAGCTTTCTAGGGCAATGAATTTTGACACAACGCATTCAACCTGTTTTCATTCGTGTATCAGTTAGAAATTTTATATACGTCATTTGATTCAAAAGCTGGTCCTGGCTTTCAGATCTTGTATTTCACATCTTGTATTTCACATCTTGTATTTCACATCCTGACTTTCAACTGCTTCATTTTCGGTCCCCTCTTCTTCATGTCACTCTTCATGACCTTTTCCTAAAACAAGGAATTGAAAAAAATTGACTTCAGCAGTAATTACACTTTGGCTTTTACATGGACAATGTAAAATTTGGCACACCATTACTTTTTGGTACAGGACTTCAATCATTGGTATTTATTAGTTACGTTTCTTTTCTTTTCATAAAACCATTGGCACGAAGGATATCTTATGAAAATCAAACTACGAAATTATCAAATTTTTAATGAAACAAAACCTTGCTCAATACTTAAATATCAATACAAAGACATATTTGGAAATAGTTCAAAGGAAATATACACGACGCAGAAAGAAAAGATATGCAAATAAAATAATGTAAAAAATATCTCCTTAAGTTGTGTTCCGAAATTATCACAAACCTCCAAACGACGTTGCCTATCCGGGTCCTCTTCGGACATCATTTTTTCCTTCTCAGCGCGAAGTTTTTCTTCTCTTCGGGTCATTGCGGCCTAAAATGTTAAATACTTGAATGTAAAATGTTAAAAATTAGTCTTGCAGCACTTTTAACCTTTAACAAATATTTCCCATACAGTAATGCAGTATGATTGATTAAGTTCTGAAATGCCTAAATAATGAATGCATCAAACATGCAGTAAGTTACTCTGGCTATTTTAGCTAGATTAATCATAATGAAAGCAATTTTACCCTTCATTCAAACAAAAACAAGTTAAGAAATAGTAATAACCCCCATAAAAGAAATTCACTGATAACAAAAATTGTAGACTGGCTTTTTAAAAGTTATGTACAAAAAACAAGAAACTAGTGAGTCTGCAAAGACACTAGTCCAAAAGCCCTGAATACATCAAGGCTTTCATCATTTTCTTGCTTTCTTTTATCCCGATGCCTTCTTTGCAATAGGCTTGTTGTTGAGATCGAGTTTCCCGCCCCACAGTTCGGATGAAACAACTGTTTTGATGGAGTTTGAAGTTTTTATATACAGAAACAGACAGACGACAGAGCCATAACTATAAAAATGAAATACTTGTCTTTCCACTTTCATCATCTTATAAGAAACTCGTCGGCCTGTTTTTCAAAATCATTCTCTTTTGTTAGAACATGTAAAGCATGTGCCGAAAAAATTAAACATGCGAGTTTTTACTGCACATGATCTCATATGTGCCAATGGACTCAAGATACTGGCCAACATACCTCTTGTCTTTGACCATGGGACAATTTTAGAAATGATTCTTCTGCTTCTCTTCTTTTCTTGTCGACTTTGGCTCTTGTCTAAACAATTTCAAAATAATTTAATTTTTAACGATTTGACAAAAAAGAAAAAAACAACAAATTAACACCGCAAATTTTACATGATCCATTATGGTCATGGCTTATTTTCTTCCATTATTGGCTTTACCAATAAAATCATAAAAACTAGTTAGTGAATTCAAATTTATTAAATGCTTTGTGAATTCATAACTACTTTGCTCTTAAAATCATAAGAAGCAGCGAAAACGATATTCGTAGTACTTATATCATATTTGAAAAATAATGCCTCATACCTCCTTGCCTAGTTTAAACGATTTGATTCTGTCGATGCAGTGTACGACCATCTTCATCAACGGCTCAGTGGCTGCCATATCTTGCACCCTCGTTCTTCCATTTCCTGAAACTGTTACAAAAGCAACGTCTTTACACAGGAAAAATTATCTTGGAGCTCTTTTGTTTCGATGAACGAAAAAAGAGATCTGATGTTGCAGTAGAGTGGTAAACATTACAACTGTTTTTCTAATATATAAGCGTCCTGAATCAATTTTAATCAAGCAAAGACATTGTCTATGTGCACTCTGTTATCCATTAAAAACTTATCAACTCTTTCATCTCAAATATAAGACTAAGTGGATATTCCAACGGAATCATATCTTATTTCATTTAATAATGAAAACTGAGATGACTTACATTAACTACAAAAAATTTCGTTCTGACAAAATTTAAAATGAGACGTAATTTGGTCATTACGAAATTTTTTGCATTTTAGATTTTATAGAATTCGCATAGAAAATCTATTACACGAGGCCATGAATTGGGCGAAAATATATCTGACAAAAGTTTTTGTTGCTAATGTAATCAAAATCATCATATATACTGTAGGAAATATAAGACATCAAAAGATACCTTTGAATTCAAACATGAGAACTTTCTTTGGCTTTTTAGGCTTGGTTGCACCCTCTTCTTCACTGAACAAAAATTAAGCAAAGCGTAAGAAAAATTGCCGACAAAATCAGTCTTATGTAAATTTAAATATCCGGAAACGCATGCGCAAAAAAATCAACAATAAAAGAACTGCGATTCTAAAAATTAGTTGCTAGAAATTAGTTTCATTGAATAAAAAACAAAAAAGGACACAAAAATCCTTGCGTTGGTGAAATAACTCATCAAATAGGATTCACTTACATTTCCTCTTTTTTCTGTCCTACATATTGGTCTGAAAAATGCATCATCTCAAACATATCTTCATATGTGGCAATAGCTTTGCAAACCTTAAAAAAAATTATTAAAATACCTTAGCATGAGAGCAGCCCGATAGTGTTCGTTAGAAGCAGTCAACTGATTGGCGGCTATTTTCACTGACTTGTAAAAATTGTGACTAAGAGCAGACGACAGTCGAGAAAGCTCAAAAACATGAAAGAAAGAATTTAATGATACACTAATAAGGAAGGATAAGAGAAAAAAACCGAAACGTTTCAGCAATACCAATTACGATTGAAAAAAATGAGTCTCAGTAAAATATAAATGAAGAAAGTCAAACAAATTCAATGAAGAACACTTAGCTATCGATTCTGACTTGAATAAACATGAACAAATAATAAATATAAAGTAACAAATAATTTATTCACAGTTCTAGCAACTATTTACAATTTATAAAAAAGTATAAGAATTACAGGAGAAACTGGCATAAAAGAACCTAGGTTTTCTTCTGGCAGCCTGGATAGTTTCTCAATTAACAGGCTGCTATTCTAAATTCCTGCTTGTAAGCTTCTTAACACGGTTTATTTTCATGTTAAATTTTCAACCAATCAAATGTATTTGTCATGTTGGATTGTCCAATTAGAATGCAAAATACCAGAACCTGATTTACTTTAAGCTGATTTAATTTGTCAGTGTGAATAGGGTATAAGAATACAAGTCTAAAAATCCTTTATTCTTATATATAAATACAAGAGCCTTTACAAGTCTCAGCCTCTTGGGGGTTCGTTTAAAAGGTTAAATTTCAGCCTCAAGGTTCTTATAAAAACAGGTTCTTTTATGCAGGTTTCTATTGTATTATAAATATAACTTGATTGTAAATAATAAACAACAAACACTGCATCGACAGAAAACAAACAATACTGAGTTGAGAAACTCACTTGCGTATTTAAAATATGTTGGGCTATTTCCTGTGTTTCCGCGAGACATGTGTAGGAACTTGGCAGCCCATACCTTTCACCGCTCCTCTTCTCGCCACAAAAGAAATTCTACGATTTCAAAACAAACTATAAAAAAATCACTTCTCACAATAAACAGTGTTTCAGACGGCAAATGTACAGGTTTCTTAATGATACTTAATAAATATTGACGTGATTAACTCTATACTCCCATCATTGCTATTTTGAGGTTTTCTATTGGCTAACTTTACGGCCAGTTTCGCAAAAAGAAACTGACCAAAATAACAAATAAATCTACAATTCAAAAAGACCAGAGCTTCATTCCCCCTGATGCTGCAAATAAATCGTATTGATAGAAACACTCGAACGAGCTGCTACGACAAAAGACATCCATCAACCCACCAAATCTTGGTATTCCTTGAGAAGCTTTACTGCATTCTTTTTTAAAGCAACTGCAAAAACAAAGCTGTCCATATCTTCATCGTCCATGTATACAGTAACACGCTGAAATATGAATAATTTCACTCAAATTGATGCAATTCCGACATTAGGTGACAACTATGGTTGCGAAAGTAATCATGGCAAATAAATAAAAATGATGCATGATAGCAACGATGCATGAATGAATGTAAACATCATTCACCATACTGTTTCTATTTTGTTCTCAGTTCGGAGATTATTAATCTTCAGCTTTACATGAGCTTTTCATCGCTTCTTTTCCGATTCGCACAGATCTCACAGCACGATTTCATGTCATTTCCAGATGTCAAGACATCGAATAAAAGTATGACGCCTGGCACTGGCCTTCAGCATTTTGAATTTTCACAACAAACAACTTCTTGACAAATGCTCCTTGCTCAGAGGCAGACGCTCAATTGTACATTAATCATAGAAAAGGAAAAACTCCAAACTTACCACTGAGTCAGATTTTGGCTTCAGCATATTACTCATGACGCTCACGAGATCATGTCGCTTGAGAAGCTAAAATCATTAACCATAATTTATTACTAATCAATTTATTACTAATCAATGGAACTACTTGGGGCACATCTCAGCCCAGGTCTAGCAGTGCAGAAGCGCAAAAATTATCTCATTGAAATCCCAGCAATTAAACCAAGGTATAGCTTCGCAATTACGTGTTAACTGTCCAACATGAGTTGTTCCTGTTTTCCCAAAAAATGTTCTGCATCAACTTTCTTTACAAAAAAATATGATCAAAACGTATTAATCAGCTTTCATAGCTATGGGTTTACCTGATACATCGATACATCATTAACTGATACATCAACTGAAGAAAACAAGCCTTCTCACCTTTAGTTCTACTAGCATGCCTTCACAATACTGCCTCCCAGTACACCACAAGGTGTACACACTTTCGCTTTCTTTCACAAGAACACCGCTTTGTGGCTCTTTACTCATTCCATCGTCACCTGAAAAATTGAAAGAATTTCCAATAAGACCCATAATGACTCGGATGTACACGTCAAGGCCACTCTGGGCAAAATTGCATCATTAACGGTTTTCATTTCATGTTTCAGTCATTGGTGGACCCGAGATGTTCAGCTTGGCCTTCAAAAAATTAAAATACGAAGCTCCAATGGAAACAATACGGAAAAGGCCGATATGACTAACATAACTTTGTATTTCTGTTTAAAGATAAAATAAGATATAAAATACGATATAAAATACGATATAAAATACGATATAAAATGACAGAGATGTTTTAGTGTGATACCCACCAACAATACTAAAATTCGATTCGAGGAGGGGCTTGTGGGCTTTGAACCTGACAGAGAAAAGACAATTTTTTATGCTTTTTGAACAATTCCCTCCCTTTTGATAAAAAGACACCAAAGGGTAATAACAAATTCCCTATGAACTAAATAAATAAAAACTGGCAAAGAAAACACAATTTCAAAGAGGTGGCCGTTAATGATCGATCATGATTGCGAAACTTAATTGCGATCATGATTGCCAAATTAGTCTGTAATTCAATGAAATTCAATTCAATTAATGAAGCGAACTATTATTGCTTGGAACAGTTCTTGTTACAGTAGTTGGTAAAACTAATGGAAACGTGTGTAACAAATAACAAAAATTACTTCATTACACACATCAACAACAAATTCCATCCTCCATCGTTCCCTTTAAAAAAATTTGAAAAACTGGTAATACACATTCATTTTGGGTTAATAAAAAATTTTATGTGATTGAGTTCAGCGGTAACGTCCTTCAAAAAGTTTCCGAAAATAAACTCAATTGAAGGAAGCAAATAGCATAGTTTCTGTTAAGATGCACAACATTTCCATGACAACTTTTCTAATACCTTATAAAAAGATCACGAGACACTTTCTTAAGGGGATTTCTTTGTTTAAGTGATCCACGAAACGACTCGTCGGTCGGTGCTTCAAAATAAAAAAGCTCAAATCTTCTTATAGATTTATATCTCGCAAACGAGTTTCAGGATTTTTCAAATACACCAACCGTAAACAAATGATTGAATGACTTCGCTCATAATACGAACTATCAGGAAAGTGGAAACATCACTTCAAATACACCGCCACTTACTCAAGTAGTACTTGGGAAAAAGTGAAACTCAAATAATCAGAACGATGAAATAAGTCGTGCAAAGGATGCTTTATACCTCAAAATATTTATGCGAAACACCTCAAAGAGAGGAGAGCGATCAACACAGTGGAATTAGCCGAAACAAGGCAAACAGAATGCAAATATCGGTGACCTACAATTCCAATAACATGTCAGTAAGATACAAAAAGCTTATCTTTGATATAATTGGATAAGGGTATCAACTAAAAGTGATTACTTCCTTAATACTATTAGCAAACCACTGCTAGTAAAATACGTTTCAAAGCTTTTACCACAAAAATAGCTACAGGCAGAAAAAAGGGTAGCAGTTAATATGAAGATTTTTGAGAGAAATGACATAAAAGCAAGTTATCCAGAGCCAAAGATAAGCCGATCTTGATCCGCTTTTGCTGACAAAGCTGACGTGAATACAATAATTCCATAACATTTGCAATTGGCTGCGGTATACTCCTTACAAAACAGCTCGTTTAAAATCTACCTGGACCTGCCAAGGTTCACCGAGGTCTCCTTAAAAGCTCCAATTGGACAAGCCTCTTTTAGAAAGCAAAAAAATCAAACAGGATCAGATAATTTTTCCAAAGTTGAAAAAACCAAGATAAATAAATAATAAATCATTTAATTTCATATGTCATGTCAAAAGGATTCACCCACAGCACTCTTTGAAGAGATGGTAGAAACCGAAAAGCATTTTGCGTGATACATATATGCGCTGAATTGTCCAAAGAAAAAGACAAAAAAATATTCAATAGCAAAGAGATGGTTGAATAAAAAAAAGGTCAAAAGGCCTATTAATTCTGATTTATGTTTAAAAAAGATACTCTCATTCCTTGAGCATAGCAATCTTTAGAAGACAAAAAATCAATATATTTATTTACAGAGGAGAACTGATTCGATATTTAGGACCTAAGATATAAAATTTCACCCTTTCAGTTTCAGTTTATCTTAACAAAAATGGACACCTAGACCTTCTTAGATAACACGAGAGAACGATCTTAGGCTAGAATTTAGACACCTGAATCAACATTACCATCGCATATCAACACAGCATCAGCAAGGCAATAACCTGAATACTAAACTTAAAATCCAGTAGCATATCAAAAGGGGATTTGAATGAAAGTGCACAGTAAAAGAATCTAGGAGGACAAAAACGACCTTCTCAACCGTAGGTCTAAGTCTGGAAAATTGATTCCTCAAAAGATTTCATATTGAAACTGTTCACAAGAGCAACTGCTAATTTAATAAATCTGTTTATTTGCTAAGTAATCAGGGAACAATTTAAAATATGAAACTGAACTGAACTGAACACAAAGCAAAGCAGATCATGGAAGTTATACCCTCTCATCAGGTAACAATGCACATAAGAAAAAAAAACGAAAAGTTCAACTTAAAACAATTAAACTAAATATGATCAGGGTTACATCTGCCAAGACTAAGCGAGAGACTGCCATTTCAAGTCATCAACTCAATTCTGCCATGCTGTATGAGACAAAATGTCCACCTGCATTGAACATTAAGACTGAAACCGAAACTGGTGTCAAAGAAGAAATCAGCAATTAGGCCAGAGTGATTTCCTCAAAGGCGCCGGAAGCTTCGTGATGCAGCGGGGGCAGGAGCTGCAGAAAAGGCACCTTGAGGTATCAAAGATTGCTGCAGAAAAAGATCTGGAATCGTCATCTAGCCAACGACGGAGCCTGGCTGTAGGTGAAGGCCCTGTCAAAGCAGAGAGGATCGGTGTTCTGGGGACGTAGACCCGAGGGAAATTTTGCGTTCTTACGCTCTAAAGACTCTCCGAAATGGGGGCAACACCCATAAAAATACATTTGAATCATGACTACAGTCAAACTTCATTCTCGAAATTTCTTTCACTCCAACATCAACCATTAAGGGAGGCTGGACCCAATCCTACCTTACAACAACAAAAAATTGTTCTGAAGACCATCTACATGGCTTGATATAACTTTTGGATATAACTCCTCTGAACATAGTGTTTATCTCTTTCTTTATATAAAGTTGGTACAGTCTGTAGCTATATTAAAGCTAAATAAAGCCAACTCATTTAATTTACCAACGCTAAATATGACTCAAAATAAATATAACTGATGTTGCATACATTTTCCTTGCAAAAATCACAATTGAACGATGCAAATTCTGAATACTTGTAAATTTGGGAAGCATTTATTTCGTTTGGAACTGAGATCCATATTTGACTACTTCTGTATGACAAAGATTTTGAGAGCAGAAGGAATCCTATCATTCTATTATTGTTACTTTTGAAGAGAGACAATTCGGCTTCAAAAACTTGAAATTTCAGATTGCACCAGGGTACACATAAGGATCTCGTTATAAACTCTAATCGCTCAAAATTTTGAAGCTTTTAGTATTGGTCCATAAAAATACATGTGCATTCTAGCACTGCTTACCAAATTCAAGCCAAGTCTTCAGGATATTTTTTTAAAGACTTCAACTAGTAGGAATTCGAAAGGGCTCACTAGGACAAGCAAATGGGTCCACTGGGAGAAATTTCCAACCAGTTGGTGCGTTAAAAGCGTCGAATAGGAATACCGTGCTGCACCTGTTTAAGGGGGCAGCCTAACAAACATTCTAACAAACAAGGTTTAAACGCCAGTTTAAGAGCCACCTTAATAAAGATTCCAGAAAGGTTAAAAAAGGCTGTTACATAAAGCCTGACTACAATAATATTGATAACATTTTCTGACCTAATTGTGACTTAGGTGTTAGTCGAGAGGTTTTCGGAGGCCTCTTAACACAACCGAAAGAAGAAGCCCTTTGCAAGCGAAGCGAGCAGAAACATTTTGGCGACCATCCCATTAGATTCCCTAAAAGCAGATCGAATAGAAACATTTTAAATCCTGGCCCGAAAAAGTCACCACTTTGCTAATTTCGTATGACACCTTAGCATTTCAAGGGCACTTTTTGATTATGCAGTTGGCAAAAACAGCAACTCGGCGAGCTGCAAAGGGGCAGGTAACCTGAATTTTGGAAAAAGGGGGGACGTGCCAACTGCCCTCGTGCTGCCCCCGTACCACTAGAGCAACAGGGCCAGCTGCCCCGCTGCCCCTGTGGCTCCGGCGCCCTTGGATTTTCTTCACAATTTAATACAAATTTACAAAGTGATGAACTTTTTAATCTTAATTTTCGAAAGGAAATATGCCAAAAATATGGCTTTTGATATATATATTTGATATTTATTTTCCTTTTAAGAATAGGCCTCCTTATATACATCAGGAACTTTTACAAAGTGTCTCTTGAAACTCAGCTTCTCATAAATTGGGAGCCTCTCTACATAATAGAAAAAAAATGAAATCCACACTTTTTACGGTGGTTGGAAAATAAGTAACCAAGCAATTTCCATGCATCTTTACAAGCAAAAACTTTCAAAGCAGGAAGAGACAATCATTAAATCATTCATGTTGAAATTCCTGATGTACTTAAGATTTATGCAAGTAGAATAGGGGACCATAGAAATCAAAGATCAACTTACGAGTGCCACCGTCAAGGTTTTGAGACAAGACCGAAACACTAAAACACAGCCGCAAGCAAGCAATACTGAAATATGCTATGTTTTAATAACATTGATAAATTAGAATGTTTTCAGAAGAACAGAAGCCTTTGCATTTGATACTCAAGAATGTGTTGCTTTCTGCTCAGGAAAAATAATCAAGTCTAATGTTAGAGGCAGTAAACTATTAAAGCTATGCTTGTTATGAATGCCTTGTGAGGCTATCGTAGAAATTTGTGGATCAAAATCTCATTATCACTGCATTCACGTGACATTAAAAAATATACAGGCATAAAAAGGCCAGTAAAACATACCAAGAAGTTGCCAGTTTGGAGTTCTTAGTCTTGCCAGTAAAGAAATTTGCAGCATAGACAAGCAGGCCAGTAACAGTAATCAACTCAAAATAAAATGACTGCCATCCTGATCGAAAGTGGACTGGAACCTGAAATAGGTCAGATGCCATTGGAAAATTAAAAGTTAAACAACAACTGGTATCAAAATAATTGTAGGTGTGTCTCCAATAAGTACATAGCATGTACCATGAAATTAGAAAGTTTTAAGTCCAGCTAACAAGTGGACTGGAACCTGAAATAGATCAAATGCCATTGGAACATTAAAAGTTAAACAACAACTGATATCAAAATAATTGTAGGTGTGTCTTCAATAAGTACATAACATGTACCATGAAATTAGAAAGTTTTAAGTCCAGCTAAAATTGAAAGATGTCATCTTCTTGTTATCTGAATTCTATATGGGAGGCACAACACTATTAATTCATAGCAACTGTGTATGCTTTGGTCAGTTATAACCAATTATGAACAATGCATGTCATGGAAGCTTAGCCTTAGAAATGGTACGACTTTTCAATTAATAAGAATTATCTAGATCTTGTTTAACAAAAAATATCCAATAAATACTCTTTATAGCTTTTATTGAGGATAATAAAGGCTCAATTCCAGTTATAAAATTGATAACATTTGTCAATGATAATGACTGATAAAATAACGAATTCAATGTATTAAAAAATCAAACAAATGATGCACACATTTATATCTTTTAAGTATGTAGTGAGGATTTACCCTTCTGGTTTGTAGAACAGGGTGTTTTTAAGTTGCTTCTCTGTGTTTCATACTAAATGCAAACATCAGGTAATTGTAAATTTATATATAGAAAGAATTTTAAAATAAAAACTGCATGTATAACCAACCTTTGTGATTTTTAGATCTGGCCCAGGAATTTTGCTTTTTGCTCCTTTGCCATCTTTTGCATAACCCTAATTTTGAAAAATTAATATGTCAATTTTAGCAAGTCCAATAAACCCATTATTTCTGACAGAACCTTCAAAGAAGCATTCAAATCATCATGAAAGGAAGGAATATTGTAATATCAGAAAGTTTGTAATTTTCAGTCTGATCATTGAAAGAACTGGTACATGTGAAAATGTAATGTTCTATTCTTTCCAGGGATAAAATTCTACAAAAGGTACAGACTGACCCCATAAATCATCATCATCAGGTACCATGCAAAATTCAGTATGGCTTTAAAGGTCTTCTGTAGATATAGCGATCAATATGAAATTTCAGGTAAAATCTGCTCAGTGGAAGAAACGGTTTAGGTAGTTCAGAGACCTTTACGTCTTATAATCAATAAAGGATCAAGCAAAGGTAGTTGCTCCGTTGGTTTAATATTGTTGCTTGATATGAATGAAAGTAAACAAACTAAATATAAATGGGCTCAAGATTTCTTGTTGGCACTAAACCCAAAAAACCTGACCCTACTCAGGTACAACTGCAATTCACAAAGAGATCCAGACCTTTCTACATTCTAAAGGAATGCCAAGATGGAAAGGGGAATGAAAAATTGACAACTAGTGCCTGCTTGTTACCTGGCTTTAGAAGTAACACATGGTTATTTTCAAGATCACGGCCAAATTGTACCAGTGGTTTATCTGCTGTTCAATCCATTGGCAAAAATAAATGAATTTTCAATAGGAAAAGGAGGATTGCTTCAGTAAAATTTGCCTAAAAGAATGCATTTTCCAGGGAACAGGAAGCATCAACATTTGAAGATATTCTGTTCCTTCTGGGGCAACCATCGTGAAGCCTCGGGTAGTAACTATGTCCTTTACCCTTCCTGATATACAGATATGACGAGAGTCTTAGGAAAGTTCCTTATTATCATATAAATGGAAGTTTCGAACTTCATGCCACACAGGCTGACAAAATGTATTGCAGAGGTTTGTGTCTGCAACTAAAGAATTTAAGATAATTATTTTCTAATCGTAGCACACACTACATTTGAGGATGTGAACAAACACATTTGAATTCAGTACATCAAAATCTATATTAATTGAAAACATTTGGCACCATGATTTGTACAACGGGGATGAACGATATTGTTAGGAAGATAACGAGATAGTGGCCTATAAGGCTGGATTTGCTCTGATCGTGCAACTTAGGAAAACCGAATCAGCAAATCAGTGAATCTGCAAACACAACCTGTTGCCCAGTAGTTCAACTGAGTTTAACTACTCAGCAGATAGTCGCCCATTTGCAGCGAATGAGGAAGTTCAATTTGTGTTGACTCAGTCGCGTGATCAAAGAGAATCAAGTGGAAACTGCCATTTAAATTTCCTCATATACAAATGTATAGGTAGACTTCAAACCTCAAACTCCTCTTCATCTGTGTACGGATCAAACTCATCCTAAAAACGAATGTTTTCTTCTGATTTTTTGCAAATTTCAAGCTAAAAGTCCTTTGGGATAAACAGCAAGGCCTAGGCCAAAATGAATTTAGCTATATAATTAACTATATAGCTAACAGCTCAACAGGTGAAAGTTGCACTGGAGATCATTAAATAAAAAAAACTTGGTATTCATTTGAATCATTTTCAACCTAACAAGTTGTTTTTATAATATGTGTACCATGGACAGGTCACCAATGTAAAATAATTTTCTACCTAACAATAAATACTTAGCACCACCAGATTGACTCATCTTTGTTTAGTCATATCTCAGAAATCGGCCAATTTCAAGCATCACCATTTAATGATTAACTTAAATTTTGCAACAAAAAAGTCACATCATACTAAAAGAAGCAGAAACCATATTTCTAGTCAATAAAAAGTTAATAAAGAATGAAAAAAATGCTTGGACAGGAGATGCAATTTAAAGTAACCTCATTGTTTTCTGTCAAGTCATCTGTTTCATCAGTTTCTCCATGAAATATATTCTTTGAACCAACATCTATAGGTAGAGAAACATCTTAAAATGTCAAAGGAAGTGGATCAAATCTTATATCCCAGATTTCTCTGAAGCATATCATTTTCAAATACAAGTTCCTCAATAATAGCATAAACAAATTGAGACTAAAATGATTAAGACCATAGTCTACATTTCTCCCAAAGCCCATGACTGGAAAATGTTTGTTCCATTATAAATTTTTTTGCATTTCTTTTACAAATCATTTTAAATTCTTAGGAGTTTCCATTTTTATGGACTATAATCCGGTCTTGGTCATGAAGATACTGTCATGTGTGAGGTAAATCATATAAATATAATATATTTAATGTGTGTGATTCACACTATTTCTTACAGCTCCCAACAATAAGGGACCAGAGGCCATGCCCCCTCCCCCACTTTTTGCAGAACAATTGGTATTTTTTACAAAATCTTTTGTAAAATGGCTTTGAAAAAGGGAACATATTGAGTCATACTTGAGCTTTTTGTCTGATACTCTTTGGAGTATAAAACGTCAGATAAAAAACTCTACACTAGGAAATATATATATCCAGTTGTGGATCAAAATAAGCCAATCAGAATACACAAGCACATGACTGTTGAGGTTGCCCACTCAGTGCCACTTGTCTTGGAATCAGTTTGAAAAATTCAGTTTTGGAATCTATCTACATCTTATCTGCACAGATAGTTTAAATATACCAAAAAATTGTTTAAGTAGTTTCAGGCTTGTTTTCTTGTCAGTTAGTTGCTGTTAATCTTAGTCTTTTAGTACTTATCCTTGCTTACGTTATGCTACCTTTCTTGTCACCTGCAGCAAAATGTCATGTATAAGTATCATTAATCACATTTGTGCAAAATGTATGCCAGAATTTATGTTCTCTGTGCCAAACACAGAGAATACAGTCTGGCTGCTCCAAAAGGAGACCTTTTTCATTACAAACTGAACAGAATGGAGAAAGTGTCAGAAGTTGATTTTTTACGAATTAGTAAGCAGGGTAAGGGGTTTATTCTGGACTTGCAAGTAATACCCTGACTGGAACTTCTTTCTGTGCTCATTAGGGATTTCCATGTCATCCTTTAGTGCTCTGTGGTTTGAACCATGCGGTTTTTACAAATTTGAATTTTGATACAGATGTACACATAGAGTTCGCAAATGAAGGGTCAAATGTAACAAAGTTAGATTTGTGGTACAATATAAGTGCTGATTACGATAAACACAAAATAACTGATTGAAATTCATCGAAAAATGGAGCAAACCTTGGCTGCTGCCTTGTTCTTGATCAGGAGTTGTTACATATCCGAAATCGGAGTCGTCTTCAACTGCATCGTTTTCATCTTCTTGGTCGAATTCAGAGAAATCATCACTTTTACCAGAATCTGCGCTTTTTGGAGATTGTGCTCCTTTGCAGTAGACTTGAAAATTGATTCCTGTTAGGAAGTAGATCAAGAAGATAGATATGAAGACCAACGACCTCGTCCCTTTCCTCAACGCCATCTTAGATTGAGCATGACACAAAGAGCATGTTGCTGTTGTAGTTTTAATTTGCATGACAAGGAACTTTCCTGCGCAGTGGTGGTTCGGTCACGGCATTATTTCTAAATTTGGCATCATTTTGGTTGGTACTGTTGGGTTCCAGTGTCCCAAGAATAAGTTGAAACAGCAATTTTATCCTTATAGAGTCTTAAAGCAGCTTTTTTAGATAATCTACATTCAACCTTTCCAAAGATACTTTTTATCAATCAAAAACTCACTTCTGCATTCAATATAAAAGCAGTGTTTTCTTTACTTATTGCAAAAGGTGTCTATGAATTTTCAAGTTAATTTTTGAAGTAAACTTTGTTTTGAAAAAAATACGAGATTTTTCTAGTAATTTTTTTACTCTTGTTAAATTGGTGCAAAACCATATCTTTTCATTGCTAAAGTAAGAATTTTATCAATTTGATAAAGAATTTGATGATTTTTTGGAATTACCAAGGATCTCGAGTAACTCCAGCCAAAGTTGAAGTTTGCATTAATAGTTGTATAATTTTGTATTGCTCCCAAAGCCATTTTTTTAAAAACAATAGAGTTTTTCCGACATCCTTTGTTAATAGTTCACGGACTGCAGAAGACAGGACCAATTCATCGGCTCGAGATTTATTCGCGCCATTCTGATCTTTGAAGACATCAACCATTCCCTGTTTTATACCGAGTGTCTCCACGTGAGACATCTAGAACGGGTTCTCCACTAGATGTAAGAGGCGTTATATCTCAGAGAGCGAGAGGCAGAGACAACGCACTTTATACATTTTGTGTGCTCTTTAATTCCACTAAAACTAACTGTCTAATTAATTACAAACACTTGTACATATGTTATCGAATTACAAGCAAAAAGTTATCGAAAGGAAACCCTTTTACATGATTTGTTCGGATCTCCATCAAAGTTATTTTTTCTTTCCTTTCACCTTCAAAAATCCCCTTAAATCAATCTTGCTTCGCACACTCAAGTGTTTTTGGATTTTGGAGCCATAGCTTTGCAGCTGTTCATGGAATTCAAAACTTACGAGATCAAGCAAATTTATTGCAATATTTATTTGTTTGTCCCGTGTTTCTGAGGCTATGTTGCTTTCCCCGCCTGTTTCTATCTTGTTGTAGGTGGGTATTAGCCTCTCTACATCAGCAGAGAAACCGAGCCGTTGTATCGCCCAGGGGCGTAACTTGGCCAATAGGCTTGGGGGGAAAGGGTTTCTGCCCTGCAAAACTAAATGGTGTCCTGCAGACCTCGAAGCAAAGGTCTATCTATAGTTTACTAGTTAAAGCTTCACCAATGCACATTTGTCTTTGCCAAGGATAAATTTCTAAGCCATAAAAACAAATTTAAAATTTAATTGCCCATGAAATATCTATTTCTCTATTTCTAAATTGTGATTATGGCATATGATTTTGGCCACATCTCCCAGACTAAAATTTAGCAAAATACTATACTGCTTAGGAATGATAACTTGACGGGTCTTGAAAAAACTGATTATTGTTTATTGGAAAAAATTGAGAGGGGGGTGTCATGCTAAAACTCTAGTGACAGAAGTTGGGGAAAGGAAGAAACGGTAGCCTTTCGTTTCAGGTTGCACATAGATGTGAATGACAGAGGAAGATCTTTTTTTGATTGGGAGAATTTTATTTCCTGAACAGAAATTTCCTGCAGTTTCTTGTCTCGAGAAGGCCATGTATACACATCCAAAACGAAGACATTGCAATGATACAGAAAGTGATTTTCTGAATTAATGCAAATAAGAGAAAATAATGTAAATATACGCGAATGAATTAGTAAATAGATCAAAAAATATCGGTACTAAACAGCATAAACGGTAAAAATATTTTTTTCTTGACAAATATGGGGGCCTTCAGTCCCCTAGCCCCCAGTTCAGCCCGGCTTGTCATGAAAATAATTTACAGCATAAATTAATTTGTGTGGAATCAGTCTTGCCCTCATAAGCATTTGCATCAATCATCATTGCATCCATTGGCTATGACAAATCGGTAAGAAATGCTTTCGTTTTGCGAATAACTGAGCTCTTCCTGACATACCTGTTCCGTTCGCTTGAATGTAATGTCAGGAAGGGAAGTTCATGACAAACATTATATTTCCATTTAAATTCCTAAACGGCCCTTTGCAAACTTCAGTGGTCGCATTTCTGCACTGCAATAAAATTCTTCTTAGCACCCTGCGAAATCTTCGATTGCCCTGCGAAAACGACTTTTTTTAGACTGAGGGGCGTCACATCCCCCCCCCTCCATACCCCCCGGGATTTTCGCCCCTGGTGTCGTCTGTTAAAATTCCTCTGAGAACAACTCTCAGATCTCTGTGATCTAAGTCATTCAATTCTCAAACCTCAATGCATGATTGAATGAAATCTTGCTAATTTTTTGTCTGGGACGAAAGCATGATGAAGCTCTCTTTTTGCTTATTGAAAGTTTTTGATTGCATTCAGCCCGTCAAATTTTTTGTCACCAAATCCTTGCTTCAAAAAAAATGTTTAATACCAACGAGAACGTCGTTACGGATGGCAAATAATATTTGCTCTCACTGATGTACAAATCGTGCTTGTCTCTTCTTCTTCTTTTTTTGCCTAGTTTGTCCTTAAACTTTTTACGGCAACGCCCTTTGAAACATCGGAAAACACCCCTTTCAGAAAATATTTGCTTTTTTCTGTCCTTATTCATAAACATAATGATTCAGAGAAGATTTCAATTTCAAAACCGCGTTAGATAAGATTCAAATTTATCTTTGATCAAACAAGATAAAACATAATTAAAACGAACAAAAATGGGTTCCGAGTCAAGAAGAACTGCTACTAATGGGTTCTTTAGTATAAACTTTCAAAACGATTCCTAACCTATTATTGCAAAAAAGTTGGGAGGGCTATAGTCCCTGTTCTGTAACATTCCCAAATGAATGATGAATGTTCCTCCCAGCTACCACCGAGAGGCCTGTTATCGTTCAGCTGCTGTAGCCTTGCGAGGAATCTTTCCAATGCTTTCCAGTTTGAATAACCGTAGCTGAATTGCTTTGCAACTTTTTCTGTTTTCTACCGAAAAGTATCACATAAACCCCAAAATACATAACGGGCTGGAAATTATAATCTCGCAAATTCCCAAAAAAATTTAGGCTTAGTGTCTTTTATGAAGTGAATCATAAAAGCAAACTAACTTGAAATGATGTCTTGAATTTGAAGTTGCATACTGAGACCATCTTACTTCAAAACAGCACGACAATCTCATAAAGTGCAATTGATTTTCCTCCGCATGTATTGTCCATTGCTCATTTATTATCGCAATTTTCATATAAAAAATGAGTGAAATGAATACGGGAATTGCACTCATCGACACTGGTCACTATGTTGCAAGCTCCCGACATGCTTTGGAAATAAGAAAATTAAAAAAATATGTAGGGTGGGATTGGGCAATCACTTCGCATTGATAAAAATTTCCTAATTCTATGTTAGGTTTTTCGATTGGTATTTTATGCTGCACTTTTAAGAAAACGCACCTTTTACATATTCACATTTTCTACAATATTCTACTATCATCCGAACAAATCTCTAAATTTGCTTACACCAGACTACTTGAGAAAACTATTCGCAAAATGTTCGGATGATAGAGAACGGTTTCTGCGTTCATCAGAAACTGATCTTAAGATACCGGTGATAAAAGCGATAAATGGCCAAAAGGCTTTTTCTTATCGCGATCCAAAACTGTGGAACAGTCTAGAAAGAGCTACTAAATTGCCCCCTCCCTGAAAACCTTCAAAGAACAGCTATAGTCAGGGACAACTTTAATTTCATCTTTACGTTCTCTTTTTATAGCCTTAGTTTTTTATAATATTGTCAATTAGGTTAGGTTAGTAAACTTATTTTGTTATCAGTATTAGTGCGTATCTTAAACTTTTAAACAGGTCAGGTTGAAAAACATATATATGTATGAACATTTAACATGTATAAATATTATAAAATAAAATATGAAACAAAATGCAATTAAATATGAATAATAATGATAATGTTGCTGTAAGGTTAACAGTCAGTGGTTCTGTTCATGCCGTTCGGTGTGAGAGTGTTTGTCAGGCCAATGAGGTATTTTTTTATCCAGATAAAATGTTACAATACAAACTACATTATACTTAACTTGCTAATTACTCTACGATACTACATGTACGATACCATGGAGAGCAATGGACAATGCCAACCCCATGGCCATTACATGCAACTAGACAAACAAATACGAACGCTACACGTACACATAATCAATGTTACAAAAAAGAAAAGAAGTATATTTATATAGAAGATTACAGGTACAAGATAATATGTTTTGAAAAACTGAAAATAGCAAATAAGTGGGTGAGGCACAAGATTTAGGGATATTTGTATTGCTCTTTGGCTCGTCGGACACTCTCTCGTTTGTCGTTGAGTTTCAGTAATGGTGTTACAGTAAGGTCATTGATGGTATGTTCTGGGCTACAGAAGTGTTCTGCAACACCAGATTTGTCTACTTTTTTGTTGATAATGTCTCGTCTGTGTTCGTTGAATCTGTCTTTCAGTCGTCTTTTGTCCGATGTATTGGCATTTTTTATGTCCGTTAGTTGAACAGCGTTTGCACTGTAATGCATAAATAACGCTAGTAGAGTTGCAGTCCAGTCTTTGTATTATGTCGTAGTTTTTGTCAGTGTTGGTAAAGTTTAAAAGTAGTAGTACTGTCTGTGATGTGTTCGCATGTTATGCAGTTACGTCACGAGTGGCATTTGTAAGTGCCTCTGGGATTACTGGGTGTGTCACTTTTTATTCTGGAACGAACCGATAAATCCCGGAGGTTTTTAGGTCTACGGTAATTGTAGAGGTTGTTTTGTTCGGAATTTGTAGGTTTCATCTTCCGAGCATATACGTCGTAGTCGTAGGGCAAGACTGTATGGGATTGACTGTTTTGTGTGTTTGGGGTGTGGGGAGGTGCTGAGAAGATACTGAGGTGTGTCTGTGGGTTTGACATAGAGATCTGAGGACAGGGTGTTGTTTTTTTTAATAAAAAATTGTGACGTCAAGAGAATGTATAGATTGTTTGGATTGTTCACTGGTGGGTTTCACGCTTAATGCGATCATCAGATAACATATCATGAGACAGAAGCCCTGCCTATACGGCATCAAGCATTTTATCACATACCAGTAAACTGTAATATTCATTATGAAGCTATGCAGCTGAAAATGCTTTATAACTTTCGAAAAACAACATGAATTTAGAATCATGTGTCCAATTACTTAATTTACGGTATATTTAAAATTCATTGTTTTATGGCAGAAAAACAATGATGAAATGAGCAGGATTAACAAGTTAGGAATTAAGATAAGATATTTTAATTATCTATCTTTTAAATAAAACAACTGCATACACATGCAAAATAATTTTAAAAACCTGGAAAATCTTTGTAATGTGCAGGGGATTAAAATGGTTCAAGCCGCATAAAACTGAAAAATATCATTTCTATCAAAGTTTTTATTGCTTATAAATGTAAAGCATAGTTTAAGAAAATGAAATTTCAAAACATGGTGCCAAATTACAAATTATAATACCGTCGTCCAGCCGTGCAGAAATTTAAAACAACATATCAAGTAAAATTAGACATACTCCATCCTAAGACGTCTAGCATACCATAGTCAATAGAAAAATCTCTGGTCTGGAAGCTCATGGTAGTAACTTTTTGTTTTATTTTAATGATATCATGTGATCAAAATAAATGCACAACTTTCGCGCAGTAGAGTTCAAATTTCTAATTTGCGCGTCGTTTTAACGTGATATTTACAGCAAATCATCAGGATATAATGTATGCTATATCATTAACATGCCTGGAGCTAATTGTACGTTTCATGAATGTGGAGTGGCAAGAAGAGAACAGTTTTTCTCGATAGCAATTTTTACAGTTCCAAACCGGGCAGAAGTTTTATTCCAAACGGCGAAAGGATTTCTTGGATAAACTGATGCTAATTTCAGGAAAAGCTTGAAGAATGGCAGTGTGTGTATCTGCAAAAGACATTCTGTCTCTGCTTAAAGATTTTCTCAATTTCATTTTTAGCTGTTATCAAACCTCCTCTACTCTTGGTTTTATCAGTCTTTGAAACACAGACCTTTCTCCAACAACCCAATTAAAGTCTGGTTAATGTCATTTGGGCTGTTTCTTACTTTTTCAAAAACATGTATTCAATCTGGCCAGATGAGTATTGTAGGCAATCGAAATTTTAATCGCTCATCGGCAATGGTTTTTTTAAGGGCCACTGGTTGTGGTCTTCTGAAGAAGCTGAACAGTTTGTCTCCGAAATTTTAAATAAAAGGATGTTAAAAGAGCTGGCTGCAAAATTTGCAATGAGAACATTTGCAAACTGCACAACCTTACCGAAAAAGAAAACACAAAAACTGCTCTCCATCACTACTGTCCGATAAGACTGCATAGCATTCCATTAATTCGTTTTTAAGAGTCCGTTACATGAAATTGGTGATGAAAATCGCTTCAGGTAGGGCTTTTGGATAGCCGAAGCCTGCGTGCAGACCCAAAATTAGCAGCTATAATGTTGCAAATAAGTTTGTGAAGATTTTACCAATTTCATAATATCTGACCTATTCAATAGGCGGATAGACCAGCTGCACTGGCAACACCGATGTCGTGTTCCTTCTTCGTTTGTCGTTTTAGGCCACTTTTCTTGTTGTAGTGCTTTTTGCAAATTGCACAACTGAGTTCACCTGAGTAAGTCTCTGAAAAAACACCATCCAAGGCAGGAAAAATCTCGACGTTTTCTTCGACAAAAGAGATATTAATTTCTTCAATCTAAGCTATTTATTTGGTACATTGCCAGCTGATGTTGTAAACGTTGATTGCATGTCAAAAGCTTGGGCTCTAGACTACTGTTGTGGCTCCAAAAGCAGTGAATTTTTTTCAGTCGGTACCACTTTGTTACTTTATTTTGTTACTTCTGTATTAGTATTATTTCATCTTCTTATTGTTTTTATTCTGAATTTCTTCAAATTTGCCATTTCTTTCTGATAAGTATTCTAGCAAAATCTTGGTAGCTTCTAAATCTAAAACACTCTTGTAGGATACATGGCCTCGACAGCTCTTTTTGAGTTTTTTCCATGTATCCTTCAGCCAACAAGCTTACGATATATCGTCTTTAAAAAGCTTTCTTCTAATTGTATGAATACAAAATATTTTACTTTTAATATTTCAGTATAATGTGATTAACCAGCTCTTGAGTATCAAGATTTTTTTGTGCACTCGTTCTGATAATGTGACCTATGAACAGGCTTCAAGTGGGCGCGTGACCAGAGTTTTTCTACTGACTATGAACATACGCAAAGACAACTCGTTCTTTCATAAAACAGAAAGCAAGTACTTGGCGAGTTTTGACTAAACAAGACGCCTTCTGAGAATGGAAGTTGTAAAGATATCATTTTAACCTTGAAAATGAAACTTTGGCATCTGGAGGCCAAGAATAAAGAATCAGAAATCAAACTACCAATCCACAGGAGCCATGGCTGGTAGGATGGCTGGTAGCGATGGCTGGTAGCGATGGCTGGTAGCGATGGCTGGTAGCGATGGCTGGTAGAGATGGCTGGTAGAGATGGCTGGTAGCGATGGCTGGTAGCGATGGCTGGTAGCGATGGCTGGTAGAGATGGCTGGTAGCGATGGCTGGTAGAGATGGCTGGTAGCGATGGCTGGTAGCGATGGCTGGTAGAGATGGCTGGTAGCGATGGCTGGTAGAGATGGCTGGTAGCGATGGCTGGTAGCGATGGCTGGTAGAGATGGCTGGTAGCGATGGCTGGTAGAGATGGCTGGTAGCGATGGCTGGTAGCGATGGCTGGTAGAGATGGCTGGTAGCGATGGCTGGTAGAGATGGCTGGTAGAGATGGCTGGAAGAGATGGTTAGTAGCGATGGCTGGTAGCGATGGCTGGTAGCGATGGCTGATAGCGATGGCTGGTAGCGATGGCTGGTAGAGATGGTTATTAGCGATGGCTGGTAGAGATGGCTGGTAGAGATGGCTGGTAACGATGGTTAGTAGCGATGGCTGGTAGCGATGGCTGGTAGCGATGGTTAGTAGGGATGGCTGGTAGGGATGGCTGGTAGAGATGGCTGGTAGCGATGGCTGGTAGCGATGGCTGGTAGGGATGGCTGGTAGCGATGGCTGGTAGAGATGGCTGGTAGCGATGGCTGGTAGCGATGGCTGGTAGAGATGGCTGGTACGATGGCTGGTAGCGATGGCTGGTAGAGATGGCTGGTAGAGATGGCTGGTAGCGATGGCTGGTAGCGATGGTTAGTAGGCTGGTAGCGATGGCTGGTAGCCATGGCTGGTACATTGTTTAGAAATTATAGAAAACAAGCCACATACAGTGAAGGCATACAGTAAATATTTCACAGCAAAAGTATTTATTTTATGGCAGGAAAATATCCATCATGAAAGAATCCAACAATTATTTACAAGGAAAAAGAAATATATGAAAACAGATGCAAAAAACAACAGCTAATTAGGTTAAATTTAAATGAAAGAACAAATGTTTATAAATACAAACATAATTTTAGCTAATGAAACCATAACTTTACCAGCAAACTTGCACAAATATATATTGTATAATAATAAAACGATGTTTAAAGATTTCTCAATAGAACTATTAAAATGTTTAAAAACGCATTATAGTAAAACCCCTGATAATTCATAGAGATGTCAAGTAGTTGACCTAGATCTACATCGAAGTATCTAAGGATTCAGATTTTCTTGGAGCATTTTTAAGCCAACACATTCAATGCAAAGTTTATACTAAACAACACATCAGATTTTCAACCAATTTTCGTTATGACCCTGACTCTCTAATGTATCTCAGTTGTCTCCTATAATTCAAAAGTTATCTTTTCCACTTTGTTTCAACGCATACAGAATTCGAGAAAAAAACCAGAAATTATGCTTTCAATTCACTTGCAATGACGAGAAATTGAACGCTTTTTGTAAAAATGTTAATCAGAAAAACTTTAGCTAAATCCAAAGTCGCAGCCAGCAGTTTGCTTCAAAATTCGTCTTACAATAATGTTGCTTATTCTGTTGTCAAATTTTTCTGTGTTAAGAAAGTTTTAAAGTTAAATAGCTGGAACATTTTCAGCGGACAATAAGAATAAAAATCCACCATTCATCAACAAACATGTTTTCCTGTGCATCCTCCAATTACCCCTTGCTTTTAATTTTGATCTCTCTTTCATCCAAATTACTGTTCTCTTTCCTCGGCAAAAGTTGGCTCACGATAACTCTTTAGTTCTAGTTGATCTCGAAAATGCTTTCGTTTTCCAGTGAATTCAGTTTCTTACAATTGCATCCTAAACAAAAATCGCATGTTTTACAAGCGGGCAAAGTAAGAACAAAAATATTAAAATTAGGCTTCGAAAAATTTAGCTGATAAAATAATATTTTATTCACTTTCTTGTTGCCTATTGACAATTAATGATAGATTTTTTTAACTTTTATCAACAAACACATTCTGATATGTTTTCTTTCAAAGATGGCACCTTTTTCCAAATTGATCGGAAGCTTGCCGTATACATTTTCTTTCGTGACATTCCTTTGCCTATTCGATGTTGCTGGAGCCTGTGTGCATATTCCTCAGCAAATTGTGGATAGATTCAAAAGTTTTTCCCTTTGTTGAAAAACCCTTATGTTTTTCAGGTTAAAAGCAATAGCTTATATTTTTCGTTCTTGCCTTTCCTTTATTGTCATATTATTCATTGCAAGATTCATAGAATGTTTTCACCCTAAGTTCCTTAATAGAAGGGGGGGACGCTTATTAATTCGATTTTTTTCTGAACCCACCGGAGCTTATTTGGACCCCTCCCGCTTATTAATTTTTATATGCAATCATGCATATCCCTTATTTCATTTGTCCTTTGTTCTTTCAGATGTGAAATTTCTGTAAAGTTTCTCTTAAATGAAGAGGTTGCATTGTACTAAAGTTTTAACATAGAAAAGTAGTATAACATCCGAAAAAATTTACATAGGCCTGGCTGATGTACACAATGATACTTAGCCTGCTCATCTTGGTAATATAACAATGCATTATTACATGGTGATAATTGTCATTTTGCCATCGATTGTATTCAGAAGAAAATCTCCTTTGACCCCAAAAAAGAATCATCGCGTGATTTTTCAGATTTTTCACATTTCCGACCCACCTACTTACTAGAACCCCCCCGCTTATTTATTTTTTTAAAAATTTCTGACCAAACACCCCCCCCCCCACAACTATCAAGACCCCCTTCTATTAAGGACCTTAGAGTATGTTTTTATGATGTTTTTTGCTGTCATGTTTTTATGACTATTTTTCCTGTCAAAATTCAGAATTTTCATCATTTATTCTGTCAAAATTCATCACTTAGCTAGTTCATATGGCATTTCACGTGGTAAGTCCTGCCAGCATGCCTCTAGGACATTTCTTCTTGTTATCTATAATCACAAGAGATATGGAAATTAACATTGCTTTCCCGTTCTCTACTGATTACTTAAGTAATAGCCCTCAACCCAACTTGAATTTAGCTTCAATGCATCACTAAGGGAAGGCCATATACTTACGATTGCGCTCCAATTCTTCGACTTTTTTCTGCAGTTTCTCCAATTGCTTTTTCAAATCTTCAACCCCTGTTGCCTGCAAAGTCAGTCAAGAATTTAACTGCAGAGTTGCACTACATGTATTAGAAAAATGAAAAACAGTTCGACATCAAGTTCTTATACGTATAGTCCCGATATTAATTATCGTACTTGTATCACTGTCAATAAGAATGCTGCCTAACAAGAATATAAATTTACATAAAATCTCTAATCTAACGTCTCATACTATGTAAGACGATTCAAATGTTTATAGTTTACAGGTAACTTTAAATGTGAATGTTTTTATCCTAAAGCAGAATCATTTATTGCTAAACAAGGAGAAAATACCACGAAAATCTTGTGCTAACCGGCAATCCTGGCAAGCCAGGTCTTCCTCGCTGCCCTTTCATCCCCTCTTCTCCTTTTGGTCCTACTGGACCATTGCCACCGGTTGCTCCTCTCTCGCCCCTTGATCCTTTGCTTCCATGATTACCATCAATGCCACGCACCTTATCACAGCTTCCCTTTTCCCCAGGATCTCCCTTTTCACCTCTTTCTCCCTTGGAGCCTCTTTCTCCAATTTCACCTTTATTGCCTTTTATCGCAATGCCAGAAATGCCTTTGTCTCCTTTCTTCCCTTTCGGACCTTCTGGTCCACGCAATCCAACCGTAGATGTCCCTGTAAAAATAAATCAAATCAGATCCTAACATCTTACCAAGTATCATAACAAACTCATGTTTGTGCAATAAAGGCATCTTGCAATGCAAGCAAGCAGGGTTCTGAAATAAACATATCTTATGGCTAGAGAAGATTGATTATATTTATATAGACCTTGGTCTACCGAGTAAATATAAATGAGTATATGGCTCTTACGAAGGCTTAGATAGCCGAAGCAGAAGAAACAACTGCTCTGGCTACGGTGAGATCTCCAGAGGTGGTTTCAGAGGTCATCGATTTTTCATTGGGACGTTTGACTCAGTGGAATGATCGTGGCTCTTGAAGAAAATCAAACTACATGTTTTCTCTCTACAAGCCTGTTTCGTGAAAAACTCAGCCTTCAGGAGATGTTATATAGAATAACTCACTCTTCAGGAGATATTTATATAAATATATATACCTAAGATAATACAAGAAACGCACCTGAACTCCCTGCTTCACCCTTGACGCCACGTTCACCTTTGATACCAGGGCTGCCCTTGGTTCCCTTTGGCCCAATAACGATGTCTTTCAACGTAACACCCGTTCTTGCAGCAGTCTTCTTTTCCTCTTGTGCAGGTGGGCCTTGTGGGCCGGGAGGACCTGGGGGACCTTGCAAGCCAGTCAAACCATTATCTCCTTTCTCTCCTTTGAGGCCATGTAGTCCTGGCCCGCCTGAAGGTCCACGTGGTCCAACTGGACCTGATGGGCCGGAAGACCCTGGTATACCAGGTGGTCCTCTTTGTCCCGGTGGGCCAGGTGGTCCGGGTGGGCCAGGTTCCCCCGGCTCTGATGAAAAACCAGTCTGTGGTAACAGTTTAGCCTGCGCCTTTCGAAAGAGATCAGTGCACAACAATGTAACAATGAAGGTTCCAAAAGTCTCTGGAATCGAAAATTACGCGACGGCTGATCGTAGGTCAGCTCGTGGTTTATGTAACATTTAGAAAACAAAAACTTGTCTGTATTGATTCTTATACAACGGACCCCACACATAGAAACCCCATAAACAAATTTAAAACTAGACAAAAACATAGAAAGCAATAACATCAGGTCTGGCATACAGCTTAATCTTGTACAAGGCAATATACAGCTACCTTCTTTCTAAGTAGATTTCGCCAAAATATATCATCTAGTCTAGTGGAAGCTACCGTATTCTACCTTACTTCAACAGTACCTGTTTCAATATTGGGCAGATTTGTTAAAGCTTTTTGAGATTAAAAAAGAACAAGGCAAAACTTGTATTGATGTTTAAGCTGACGGGGTAAACTACAAACCCCAGTTTTACTTACTAGTAGTTTTTGGTTTGTTTCCAGTCGGTCAATTTGATTTTGCATGCGGCTTATTGTCGAGCAGTTGAAGCATTCTGGAATTGACAGAAAATATTCTAATATTAGCGAGCCATTTTTCATATTTTAACATTCCTAAAAATTACAAATGTAAAAAATGTCAGTCATAATAAGTTGCTCGCAGTGAAAAGTAATTGAAGTCAAACGGGTGATTGAAGTCAAAAGGGTGATTGAAGGCAAACGCGAAAATTTATTTCTCTGTCATTTGTTAGTAATTTTTACAGGATTCAAAGGTCTTTGATTAATAAACTGTGTGGTAAAATAATACAATTAAGAAATAACAAACGGTTATCAACTGTGCGCACAAACATGCAACCATAACTGAGTGTGACATAATGTGACACGTGTAAATCGTTGCGGTGGTTGTGAATGAATAGCGCATGCGCGAGTGGCTAACGATGGCATTGTTGTAGCATAGCAGTTCCTTCATCGCGCGCCAAATAAAACACAAGAAAAAATTTATCGACATGAAAATATTAATCAGTTGAAAACTAATGTTAAAGTTAATTTAAAAGTTGATTTTCTTTGATAATTACCCAAAGATAAGCTTTGCGGTGACTTCAAAGAGTTCATATATAGATATATATATACTCTTTAAAGTCACCGCAAGTATTCATATATAATTATATATATTTATGTTGATCAAATCGATTTAGCTCGGAAACAAGCATGATATTGATCAAAGCCTGGTTAAAGTTGATGGATTTGAAAAGACCTTTCGCAGTAAATAAATGGTAGAATTTGAGATAATAAAAGAAATCTTAATAACCAAATCTGAACAGCCATAGAAGAGAGTTTGAGACTGCCACAACTATTTACGCGAACAACTCTGACAACTTTTGATGGTTAGTCTAAGTGGGCCGATATTAAGAGATTGTAGATTCGTAGCCTTGTAGCACAATCCTTGCTGCATCATAATTAACATACTTAGCTACTCAATCGAAGGAATATTTGAAGTATTATCTATCATGACTACTCGGTGTTTCTCAATTGTATTATTCTTCTAGCTCCCTACGTTAACTCTTCCTGCAGCTCACCAAACTGGACTAGCACGTTCGAAAGTGAAACTTTAAGACAGAAGTTTGTGCACTGTTCTAGAGTTAATCAAGAATTTATCATAATCCTTGCTAAATTTTTGCTGACTTCTTCAATGCGAAACAGCAAAAACTCCAAACTTTAGGTAACCTTTTTCTACTTAGAGACTTAAACTTAAACGTATTTTGAAACTTAGAGAATTTATCAATTTAATAGTTGATGATAACACGTTTCAACATTAGTTTTCTTTAAGAATTTAAAATCAAATTTAACCTATGTCTGTGAGCTTGATCTTTGTCATTTTCAAGTTAATCTGGAGTAACCTAGTTATGCATTACAACATTAGAAGAAATTTCTATCAAATTAAGTAAATGAAAGATGAATAGAGATATACCTTTGTCACAAAACTTCCCAGAGAATCCTGGACAGCAGTCTTTGATCATAACAGGCTGCACTCTAAATTCCTTTGAGTATCGGGTGACGTATTTCGCTCTAGGACGTGCAATGAAAATACACAAATTAAAGCTTTTCGTTTCGCGAGGTGCTTCTATGTTTCAAGTACAATGAAAACGTTTTTTAAGAAGACCTTTATCTTGGTTAGAGTCAAAATTCTTAGTGATATTCAATTTTGAACTTAAATGCAATGTTAAAGCATCTGTCAACGACGCTACGGGTAAATGTTGAAAGGGAATGATAAAGAGAAAGAAATTCTTACGCCCACAGTATTGTTTGGACTATAAAATGGTTTGGTGACACCCAAAACAAGAATTCATTTACAAGAAGACAAGAATTCATTAGGATCAAATCATTGATAAAACTTTTATGTCACTGAATGTGGACATCCAGTGATTCCAAAACCTCTTCGGAGGCCGCCTTACGCAATGCTTTGCTTAATTCACTCTTATTGTATCCATGTAAAAGTCGTTCGAATCACATGTAGTACATTTTGGGAGGCTTACCTAAATCCAGCGCAATACTTCTTTTCTGCGTAAATACCACTGCATAGATAATGGTACTTCTCAATTACACGATCCAATCTGCTAACAGTGCAGGAGACATTTTTCCTTACCAGATAATTGCACCAAAATCCTCTTCTATTTCCTTGGTTGTTAAATCTTTGGTAATACTGACTGAAAAAGAAACACATTCAACTTCTATTGTATCATAGTATTCTGCTATAAAGGCTTTGGATACCTTTAGGTTTTTTATGATTGAAGGCATCTCAAAGGCTATTGTTTTGAAAAAAATTACATTGTACTAACAGTTTTTCCATCTAACCAATTACGGGTCACTGTCATTTTATCGTAGCGCTGAATATTTTTTGCAGTTAGCCATTTTTCAGCAATAACTTGCCGCTGCCTTTTGGGAAGTACACTTGCAGAAAACGAAGGTCATCAAAGAAAAATTAGGCCTGAATTTTGTTTCTTTGGCAGCATTTCACAGCATCAATATATGGCAACACGAAATGGCGAAAGGGCAAGCAAGATCGAGCTTATCATCAACGGCAGCAACTCGATATCGCGTTTGGCCGCATCTGATTAACAAACATTTAATCTCATGTCTACTCTTAAAGAACTTTAAGCAGCAACTAAGGCCTGGTTCAAACGTCGCACTTCTCATGTGCCGAACCTAACTCTGTTTGGAGCGACACTTGAGCATGTTAAGCGCGACTCCCGTTTCAAACGTCGAACTTAATCATGTCGCGCCAAATGGGTTTTAGGATTGTTACATAAAGTATCTTGGTTAAGGCGCACAATCTCAAATATTTGTTTGAAACGCATGCGCCCTCCAAGAAAGAAATGAATTCTGTGAAGGAAAATAAATTAAATATAATTTTGCATTGAGTTCGGTACATGACAAGTTCGACGTTTGAAACCGTGCCGTGCTGGAGCCGTGCAGCTCGGCAAGCTCTGCCGATCCAAACTAGTCTGCCGCTCCTAACTAAATTTGCCGTACCAAATTGATTCAAACGTCGCGCCCCTCATGTACTTAATTCTCGAGTTAGGTTCGGCACATGAGAAGCGCGACGTTTGAACCAGGCCTAAGAATTCCGATTTGTGATTCGTGACATCTTGATTTAAACACAATTAGCAAAGATTTACTTTAAGCCTGTTATGTCATATGGGTTTAGCGGATCAAAGATTCAAGTTAAATGCGTAGAAATAAACAATTCATAAAAAGTAAGAAGGATTCTTCCTCTTACGCTACTTTTGATCCACACAAATTTCTGCCTTCCTCTAGGTCTAACCCGACGTTTATGCTCAGAGGAGTGTCGGACGAATAGAACTTAAGTATGGAATCAGTTTCCGCTTTTCCGTGTTATCCTCATTTTGCAGCGACGAAAATATACTTACAAAATTGGCCACGAAACTTACAAAAACGTTAGCACTATTTTTACACTGAGAATAGACAATGGCAGAGGCATGAAGCTACAGTGACGGCGAGACGTGGTCCTAATATCATTCAAATTTTTTATATTTAAGGCAAGTCCTAGCAATTTCCTACCTTTGAATTTGCTCTTTTTAGAACCATTATTCTAAGCACAAAAATGAATTTAAATGTTACTGTATTGACATTGTATGGGCAGAAGAAGCTCGTTTTCTCTCTAGGACTGAAGTCGGTACTGATTGGACAACTATACCGGCCATGTACTTGTGTTTTCCTGATTGGCCTATTTCGATCCACAACTGGGTTTATATTTTCTTTCTTGATCTTTTTTGGCCTTTATTCTGATGTTTTATTCTCCAAGGAGTGTCAGACGAAGCGCTTTAGTCCTGTTGTAAAATGTTTGCTCTAATTTAAGCCATTTTAAAATCCTACTTGACTTCCGGTTACAAGCAAGAATGCTAAATTTGTAGCGGCATTTTGCTCTATTAATCGTGCAAAGACCATCATGGAAACTTAACTAAGGAATGAATGAACTCACTAATGAATTCTTCAGTGAGTGAACAAACTGATTAACGAATGACTGAGCTCATTAAAAAGGGATGAATGAACATATAGAAATTAAAGAAATAATGAATGGCTGGACGAACGAACGAACGAAAAAATGAATGAAAAGGTAATGAATTGAAGACGGATCAATAGAACGAATTAACAAACGAAGGCAAAAGGTCGGATAAGTAAGTGATTCACCGAATGAGCTAGCAAAACAAATTCATTTATTTTAATGAGTGAATGAAAGGAAATAGAAGGGGGCGTTTCAGAATCCCACGGCATCTTATGTTGTGCCGCTCACCGCGGGCATGAAGCTTGCGTCCATTGAAGGAAACCACATCTGAAACCCTTCAAACAATGAAGAATAGCTTTTCATTGACACGAAACTGTAATATGGATAATGATTTATTGATACTGAAAAATGCTGCATGGGCACATAGGTTTTCAACATCAAGTTGACTGCAATGTTATCTTTTGTATGAAATGATCGGGGAGTAATTGTATGGTATATGAAGTGCTAGGTGTAATAGCGTATTAGAAACAGGTATAACAGGTTTGTCATACTGAGTCTTAGCGACAATTTGTTCGGCAATGGAGTTGTGAACAATAAGGGGGGGGGGTATTGTAGAACATTGAGTTTTAATGGACTTATATTTAGCAAATACTTCGAAGAATTTCTAGCTCCAAAAAACATTTGTCGAGTCTTGTCCAGGGTTGTCCTATCAATCCAATGTATCAGGAAAAATTCGGCCTACATCAGTCGTGCATCCAAACAACTTTGTAATCATCGGTAACTTGAGTTTAGTGAAAATCTCTTATGACAATAAATGCCTTAAGGAGGTATCAAAGGTGGGTCTTTGAGGGTCTTGGACCAGAAAAATTGCTGCGAATTAATCTTGGCTTGAACAGTAGGCTCATTGTTACTGTTACACAAGCGAGATGTTCTGCAGATTAATTTTGATTAAAGGCCTAAGGAAATCATGATAGAACCAGGAATGAATGATCAAAATGATTAATAATGTAATTGCTACTCTTTATTAGCTGAGAAGGATTATACAGAAAGATTGCCCTTTTCAATGCAGATTCTGGGATTAAAAGCACAGCAGCAGCAGAAAGACTGAGCTAGAGTATAAGAAAAGAAACCGCACGCAATTGAAAGTAACAAGCTTAGCTTCGTGAATTCATATAATATTTCTTATCTCATTTGTAAAATCTTTGTTTAATGCACATTTTTGGTATCCCATAATTGAATCAGATTTGAAACAACTAAAGGTGAGATTATTCGACGAAAGATTCAAATCGCATATCAAAAACAGGAAGAACGAAGACAGAAGGCTCCAAATGTCAGGGTTATTTGCAACATCCCAATCCTGGATTTCTTGCAGTAATTCTGATCTTTCATAACATTTCCTGATTGCGGTTGTAATGTGGTAGAAAAAGTTATGCCCACTTTATTCTGACGTGGTTCATTATAACATGCTCGACTGTCCTTTTTCACTCCTTTTATGCAACCGTGCAAGTGAAGGTAGCGCAGTTTCCATTGCAAATTCAAAAGCAAATTCTATTCCGACACAGGCTGTAAATATTCCAAAAGGGATTGTCGATTAATGTTGCTACTTTCCTAATAATGTTGCCACAATCATGTGGCAAATTACTTATACCATAACAAACAGTTTCTGTAAAACTTTTCTCCCTAAAAGTCTAAATTGCCTCCGAACTAATCAAATCCAATCTTCTGGTATCTACATCGGCTTTCAATATTTCTTCTTTACTTCATAATAAGAGAACAATTCAGAATCGAAACTCTTAAACAGTCTAAATTGCCTCCGAACTAATCAAATCCAATCTTCTGGTATCTACATCGGCTTTCAATATTTCTTCTTTACTTCATAATAAGAAACCTTGATGCATGTTTCGAAAAAAAATTGGCTCATCACCAGTCTCTGTGTTAACTTTGAGGCAGAGGTGATCAATTTTCACCAAAAATGAATATCAAAGCCAAATTCCTGATAACTGTAAAGAAAGAATAGAGCTACTCAAAATGATGAGGTCGAATACTATCTTGCGTTGTTTCCGCTTTGTCGTGCCAATTTAGAAAAATGCTATAAAAAACTTTTTGAGCTGAATGGGCAATTGTGTCCTCAAATGTGCCGGTAGCCATCATTTAACTTTTTAACAGATTCGGATAATGCTTGTGAAAAAATAAACGACAATGTTGTCGATGAAAGTGGTTCGAAAATGATGAAGTCGAATATAATAGCGGTGATAATGGCAAAAATAATCTAGGAGTTACTGGGCGGTCTTTGACGCTCTTTACATTGCAACGAAAATAATACTAAGGGTAATATCAATGCTGATCAAATGAAATTTTATCAGAGTTAATTTCACGAGGGATGTTGTCAACTGTTATGCTTCGATTTGGTATTTAAGTCCTTGTGTGCTTCTTTGATGCCATTTGGAATAAAAGAGAAGAAGGAGTGCTGTAGTTTGGGCTTCTGCACGAAAGTGTGGGTCCCTTGACTCAAATGGGTGTATTTAATTGCTTTGGGTCGGGATAACCGTGCTTATTATTTATACTGTTTCCGCACTGTTCTCTTCTCCCGTTCCTTCCGTCCCTCCCGTCCCTCCCGTTCCTCCCGTTCCTCCCGTTCCTCCCGTTCCTCCCGTTCCTCCCGTTCCTCCCGTCCCTCCCGTCCCTCCTCTTTGATATCAAGCGTAGTGTGTTTTTTCAAATCCTTATGTATAAGCCTTACAAGCGGCAAGCTAAAGATCTAAGAGTAAAGTTTATCCAGATGCCTCGGCCTTTCTACAACGCTTGGAATCAACTGACCATATTAACATGTACATAAATTTGGTATTGGACAGTTGAAAAGATGCCAGAAATGTTTTTATCTATGTTAATATCTAGATATTCGATCATCGCTTGCTTTCATCACTGAAGTCACACAGGAATATCAATGCCCCTTGAGTATTTAGGCCAGATATCTTGTCTCTTTTATCTGAGAGCATTAATAGCTGCCTCTCCTATTCCAATAGGATCAAAATCATATGTTTATGTCGGCAAATTAATTAATATTTGACGAAGGTAAACCCACAAAAAAGTTTCTTGTTCCACAAATCAAGAGTTTATCCTTTATCTCAACTGCCCAGTCCTTGTTGCTTCCGGTCTACCCCACTGATCTATAAAAAGACTGGATCGAGCTTCTATCTTTACATGGGTGTTGCCGTGCAAGAAGAGCAGCCGATACGATGAACGGGCCTTCACTATCACTTCCACTCCAAAGTTATCTGCTTTTTATCTGCTTTTGTCTTTTTCTTTCTGGATACTGTTATACGAAGAATTGCGGCACTTGCCTATCCATGCCAATCAAATATTGGTTTTGAGAAATAGCTTTCCGCTTCTGTTTGGGGCCCTATTTCTTTTGAAATTGAGCGGGCTTGAAAATTGAGCGGACAATAGGAAGCTCGATCCAGTCTTTTTTACAGATCAGTCAGATCAGTGGTCTACCCCATTGCTTTCCCGAGGCGCCAAATGGTATGACACTCTTCAGAACTCTATTCAAACATTATGTTATAATCAATTGTTCAATTGTTGCTTGGAGCAAACGCTTGATATCGTGTATGTATTTTGGATTGTCTCCTGTGTGTAGGTTAGGATAGCAATAATTCTCTTGCAAACAGCGACAATCTCAATTTACAGTGAGTTTGAGTCAATGTTGAAGTTGCTCATTCATTAAAATATATCATTAAAAGCCATGTGTATCCCTCTGAATTACACAAATTGATGAATGGCGGTTTTGAAATCTGGGTTTACATGAATGTGTTGTTTCATTCATGACATTTATCTCGCCATTCGTCAAAACAAAAATGAGAAAATAGAGTTTACGTTGTTTTTTGTGAGCTATTAAGATTTTGGTGGGATGCTGAAAACACCTGGCCCCCGGGGGTTACACTTTTCAGGTAAAGTCAGAATTTTCGGGAAAATGAAAGTTATTGTCCCTTGCATCGCTCTCGTAAATTCCTAAAAGCTCAAACTTGGAATTTATTAGGGGCTAGCGTTTCATTTCAATCAACAAAATGTTTTCTCAGCAAAAACAATCAATAAAACCTATTTTCAGAAAACTTCCTGGATCATCTTTCAGGACAGGTATCATGTTTTCAGAATTTTATTCCAGGACAGGGCCATAAAATGTTTCTGGCAGACACATCCCCCGTAATTTCTAAGGTAACCCCCGGGACCCTGCCGCTAAGTGACATATACTACTTATTACTTCAATATTACTTCAAAATTGGGGGAGGAGGTGGAGCAAGAACTATTTGTAAACAAATATTTGTTACTTTCACTGGATATTTCGGTTTGATTTCGTGTTTTGTGTTTTGTCTTTTGTTAAAAAAGTATATAGAAATTTACAGACAGCCTTGCAACAACACCAGGACGAGGCCAACACCATTATCCACATTAGACAACTGAGCGGAAATGACACTGTAGGACAAAGCAGATACATGCACGGTTTGTCTTGCACCCCTCTAGCACAGAACGGCGAAGAAGGACTCTTGGCAGCTTTTCCACTATTTTTGAGAATAAAGAAAAATTTCCAATGTGACAACGTGGTTAAATTGATTTTCGGAAATATTTTTTCCCTGACTGGTAACACTGAATATCGGAGTGTACGATTATCTTAACTATGAATTTCAAGGAAAGAAATTTGGTCTGGGGCGTACCTCTAATGTCTAGCCCCTCCCTAAGTTATGATAAATTATGTCCTAGCTTCCACAAGGATGCGGAGTGAAGGCTGGATAGCATTAAAACGACTGTTTCGAGTGTTAGGGAACTCGTAAAGCAAACGATTTATGAAATCACAGATTTCAAAAGCAAACTTTTATTAGAAAGGCAAAAGGAACTTTTTGCTTTGTCATAATGAGTTGGAAAAGTGAGGCAGAAGTTTGGCAAAACGATGCCATATTGGTATAGCAGACAGGTAAATGTCATATTTTAATGTTTATAAAGATTTGATGATTTTATGTCAGTGAACATGTTGCTTCTGAGTCAAAGATACGCTTTTTTGATATCGATACGCTTCTTTCTTTTTGAAAGAAACTTTCGACATCTGACATCTGACCATTGCCTTCCTGATTTCAATGGGTCAGGTTAACGGAGGAACTTTCATTGACAATATTTCCACTTGTCAGTACTTCGGCGTACGAGCAAGAAGACGAGATTAATGCATCCCAACGCTGCTTATGTAAACAAGACAGCTCCCCTTGTAACAAACAGCATAAATTTACCTTTGCACATCTTGCATTCCTTACCTTGCCATGACTCGAAAATAAGTAGAAAATTTTCGTTTTTTCTGCTTCAAACAAAGTAGGAAAGGGTGACAATAGTAAGAAATTAATCCCTATCCACAGCTGTTTCTTGTCACAGCCAAACCAACAGCCCTACACGAACAACCATCAAACCGTCACGATTGAATAAACCAAAAAGTAACCCTAAATAGCTTAAAAAGTTTCCCATTCAAATTTCGATTGCGGTAGCAGCATTCATTTGGTGTTTTAGGAACGACCAAACAGTGCAAGGTCAGTTCAGAGGAATAACAGAAGAATGAATGAATTTCTCACTTACTCGTGTTGATTGTAGTAGCCACCATAATAGGACTCATATCCTTGAACTGCGAAGAAAATCAGGAAAACCACTAACAACATTTTGGAATGACATTGTTCGACTGACATCTTCTCTAAATTCCAGATTCTTGCTCCAGTTCCTCTATTCTGTGTTCCTCCCAGGCAGTGACTGTGAATTCCCACTGGTGCAGATTCCAACAATTCAAGCGCACGTGCCAGTCGAGTCTGCGTCGATGAAACTGGCTGGATCTTCTTGATACACAAAAGAAATTGTGATGTTGTGAAAAATTTGAAGCTAGAATTCACCAGGAACACTGAGCTTGATTAGAGTTGCACAGGGTCTGATCGAGGGTAGCGGGCCTCTAGAGCACAGGTAGTGCGAGTGTAGTCAAAACATCGCTCGGGAACTAATGATCCTTTTACTCCAAGGAAATCCGCTTACATCCGGTTATCAAACACGAGAAGTGTCCTCACCCGGGTCATTAATCATTTCTTACAAACGTCGCGTTTGAGAGCTGCACAAGCTGAAGACCCCCGTTCTGTCCTCCCTTCGTAAAAAAACTAACGCGTACCATCTCTACTTCGTTTTCAGGGCCTCCGGCGGAAGCGGGGCTGGGGTGGCCATGCCCAGTGGCGTAGCTAGCCAAATAGCAGTGGTCATGCCCTCCCCTCAAATTTGAAAAAATATGGGTGTGGCCAAATTTTACCACGCCCAATTTTTTAGTTGATGAATTTCTTTTGGAAATTTTAATCTTAAGGCTTGTGACTTATAAAAAAAATTGTGATTAACTTTTGGAATGAGCTTTTCTTATTTCATAGCAATCATCTTGTTACACCATGAAATGACCTTTATCTTATAGCTGTGACACTGTTTTGGTTTGTTGGTAATTTATACAGACAGAGTTCTGACAATTTCCAAACAGAACTATACAAAAGACATTAAAAAAACATTAGTTTAGTATAGTAGATAAACTTAGCTTAAATTAAAAATAGTTTTGTTCTTCTAATTTCTTTCAATTTGCAGGCTGGAATACATTTGTAAATTTTAGAGATAAGCTAAAATTTTTATATGAAACAATAAATCACATGAAACTGAATGGGAGCTTTTTGGTCATCTTTTCCACAAATAGTCTTATTATCAATCTGTTGAAGGTATTTCAAAGCCATCACTATTAACTAACAACCCCAATAGAATTGATAGATGAATAAAACAAATTGGCAAATGAATACCCAATGTAAATATTGATATGAAATATAGGAAGCTAAAATAATGGATAGGCCTAGTTGCAAAATGTTTTCTGCAAAGTTAGACTTAATAGAAAAATACCTTGCAAAATAAGTTTAGCTTAACAAAAACATTGATGTTTCCACATATACTTGTGGTAAATATCCACATGATTGGATTGTCCTTTCTAAATCTAGCAAACAAGGGTTGTAAATGAATAATTTGATCTTGTAAATTTTCAAAAACATCAAAAGTTGTAATAGTGAAGTAAAACTGTGTAACTAACAAGATCAGTAACATGCTTGACTTGTCTCTGGTCATTTTATTTCAACAGCTATAAGTAGTAAAAAGTACTTTCAACTAAAAGTGAAGTCAGTAGAGCTTTGAGTTTGACTTTAATTGTGTGTAAAAACAGTGTTATTGCATGTGATAATAAACAAAAAATTGAAGAATAACTTTAAGCAAGTTCTGGCATTCCCTATCCATTAACTACAATCTTATTGTCCTAATCATAATATGGTAACAATGCTTTTGAAGGGCTTAACAGTTTTTGAATATGCTGCTAAATGTCTGGAAATTTTAAGCTCTCAAATCTGTTGGTTTGGAAAATAACACTGCTATCTCCTCCATCCATCTCCAGTGAACAGAATCAAGATTTGGCATTCATTAAATCAAGAAGATTCTCTGCAAATGTTCAACTAGTAACAATTGATTACTGAAAAGGCTGAGAGTTTGGTTTGGTTGCATAAAATGATCCTGCTCGCTGATTTTATGTCCAAAAATGGCCTTTCGTGCCTGTCACTTCTCCACATAGTGCAACACCATTAAGGCTGAAAAACCCTGTCGTTGCCATAAAATGTTCTGGAGATTAACATGAGTCGTGGCTGCTTGGCAATAAGCTTTTGTTTGCATTTTACTTACAGAGAATTACCTCCCAGCTCGCGGATCTAGGCATAGCAGCGCCGCCATCGATGCCTCGCATTCGCGTTCACGAAATAACACAGGGCGGTTCTGATGATTATAATGATGGTCATGCCCTCCCGAAATGGCATGACTAGCCTTTGTTCTCTCCTGCGTCACTCCTATTGTTAGGCATGACCAAACATAGGGAACCAGCGTTATGGGCATGACTAAAACACAGGGTTTGGTCATGCTCATAGTTATGGGCATGACTAAATTGGAAACCCTCTGTTTTAGTCATGCCCGACAATAGAAGAGCGCCTTCGGAGGGCTCCATATTCTTGGGTGGAACCATAGGGCTCCAAAGGCGAATGGCCTGAGCTATTTCATCAGGAGAATAGGACTTTATTCTTACGAAAATATAATTTTTTGAAAAATGTTAACTCTGAAAATAGATGGTCATGCCCGGCATGACAAGCATGACCGCTAGCTACGCCACTGGCCATGCCCCCCACTTTTCCCCAAAACAATAGAGTTTTTTTCAAACTTTTTTGCTATGAATGCTAAAATTCCCCTTGCCCGCCCTCCCCCACTTTCGAACCTGTGTAGGAGCCCATGGATTTTGTGAAATTTCCTCATTTGTACGTCTCTAGTATTACAAAAGGCCAAGTAAACGCCTTTCAATTTGATATCTTAAATATTCACAAATTTGGCAGGTCATGCTGTATATTTAGAAAAGGCAACACCAAGAATGTAAAACTGTCTCAAGAAATTCTATTTCAAGTATTGATAGAAGCTTTAAGACCGCAAAAAGAAATGAGTTGATATTATAACCACTTCTCAATTAGATGCATTGACGAAGTCCCCTGGGGCTGGGGCTCCTTCCAAACTGATTTTGCTTTTTGGTTAAGACTTTGTTGACACAAGTTGTTATTTGCATATTTTCAGGAAGGCAGCAAAATTTTTTTACATTGAAATTGAAACTTTCGGTCCATCAAACTTTCGGACCAATGTCTGTCTGAAACGTTAATTGTCCAAAATCTGGTTTTGTAAATTGTTCCGTCCAAGTGTTTTAAATTCTTTAAAAATATGAAATAGGAATGTGTTTGCTTTTATAGAACAATGAGGACTTGAATTTGTGCAGAATATTTCTTAAAATTCCCCAGTCCTAACGCTTGTTAAAGTTTCTTATAAGCGATTTTGTGCTTCATAATAGTTGCCAATCACGTTACATAAACTAGGTTTTACACGACAACTGCCAAAAGTCTTGGAACACTAACACCAGTTAAAGGCAAAATCAGCCACCCCCTTCCCCTAGGAACAATGTTGATTTACTATAAAAAAAACAGAGAGATTATGGAGTAAGCCTTTTCTTGTGGCTTGTGATTATGGGCTATTATCAACAACTATGAGAGCTGGTTAAATATTACAATTAACAAATAAACTTTTTCAAGATAATGCAAGTTTTGCTGTTACACACCTTTTCATAGGAATATTGTCTATAAGAATATCGAGGTTTGAAATCGCTAAAATTTGAGAAAAATTTAAGAATTTGCCAAGCTCAAGCTTCATCCAGACTTTAATTTTTTATTTGACTTACACTCATTTTTTTAGAAGAAACAAAGGTCAATGTTGAGTACTCCAGTTTCTTAATGTTCTGGAAAATTTCAATACTCATTGTTTCTTAAGAGTTTCTTAATTATGATGTCATGAATGATGTTATGACTTTTTTAACACATCAAGAAATTCGCTTCCGTTCTGACGCTGTATTTAGACGTGGAAGTATATTTTTATTCCTTGTGTCTTAATTTCTAGGCCTTCAGGGCAATCATGTTCTTGGATTTTACAAAATTTCTTTGTTCTCAGTTCTATCACGATTTAATAGTTTCTTAATTTTTTTGCTTCGAGTACTGAAGTTTCTTAATTTTTTCTGACTGTCCAGTACTCGTTTCTTATAGCCAGTTTCTTATAAAAAAATGAGTGTATTCTTATAAAAAACGTATGCGATCTTCTCTCAGTATATCATTTTTTTCATTTTTGAATGTTCTTTCGAACGATACCATTCGTTTTAAGATTCGAAGAAAACAAATTCAATGAACGGTAACCATAAAATGATTGAGCATGTGGCCACCAGCCCCCTAAATTTAGGGCCCCTTGCGTATTTTGAGTCAAAGTACCACCAGGATCGCATATCAAAAGGAAAAATCCCGGTTACCCAACTTGCTAGATTGCTCACAAAATTTCCCTGTCTAATATACTTCTGTGTTACCAACATGCAGATATTTACGACAAAGAAAACTGAAACTTTAAGAAGGTTAACACAATATTTCATGAAAACAATTTGCAAAAGCGACAGCAAATGGTTTGCTCGTGGCAAAAGTCTTATAGAAGTTATTCAGCTAAGTGTTTATCTTTTATCGTGCTTTTGAGTAGAATTTTACATTTTCTTAACAAAAAAGAATAATAGTCTGATTTTAACGCCACTTTACAAAAAGTCTTCTGTATAACTTTTGTTTTAATAACTTTGCACTAATAACACTGGTTCAAATTAAGAAAAAACAACTTTGATTTGCTTGCAAACAACTGGGTTTATCAAGAAAGCAGTAATGAAATTAGGTCGTCTTGATCTCGCCGTTTTCACTAACTCAGTGAGAAACTTGTGACGCTAGAAGCGTTTTGTGGGACGGAGTGAACTGGACCGTATGACGATAAGTGGTGTGCCACGACCCATTTACGGTACGACAAAAAATAATCAACTTGATAGCAACTACCACAATAGCAACAGTTATCTGTGATATCAAATTTTATTGAAATGAAAGTAAAGTTTATTGGTACTATATTCCGTAGAAAAACTCGAGAGCTGAGGCGCGATTGGCAAACATCGATTTAGTCTCCATGCATTTGGATAAAGAAGCAGGGCCCCCGGTAATGCCCCTAGCTTTGCCCCCACCCCTACATTGAAAAACCCATTGTTATTATTCTTTGATTTATTCTTGGTCCCCATCTTTCCAACTGGCATCGGAGCCTATGAGAAGGCTTATAATATGCATGACAGAACAAAAAAGATTCGAATGCTTAGGATATAAGGAGAGGTTTTATCATAGAGGGAACACTACAAAAACAACTTTTACTGAACTTTCCTACTTAAACCGTTTCTATTTTGAGTCGCTACATCACTGATAACAGCAACCTGACCATTTTTGAGAAGTGACAGTCAAGCATAGCTAAGAAAAACTTCTGCTCACATCACTAGCAGGGCATCAGTGTTGATCATTGTGTTTTTTACACAAAAATTGTCTCTTCTCTCCGCTTTTTTGTCAAAATAGTTCCAGGTTTGTGCTGTGCTTCTGGATGATTCGCCAGTTCTGTAGGGCAATGGCTAACCTGTGTCATAAAAAAATTTATCGTGATTTTGGTGCCAATAGCAGGTCATCATTAACGGAAATTTCACAGTGAAATTGTTAGAAAACCTATGGACTTTGTTGTGAGGTTTTTGTCCAAACAGGGTTGTGTAGGGAAAAGGGCGCAAAGCAAAAATTGATTATCGACAAAAATATCAAAACCTTAAAAAAGCTATTATTTCTGGTTAATTAATCTAGTTACCTTTGGCTACGAATGCTGCAATGTGTCAAAGAGGCTTGGAACATTATTCCAAAACAGAGACCTGCACACATCCTTACAGTCAAATTAACCAGCTTGTTAGGCAGTCCAACTAACCCGTTTATCAATGCAAAAGATTTTATGTCTCTGCCAATTCATACATTTCTTATATCTCCACCAAATACCACCAAATCATCCTACTTTAGTTCATCAGATTACTCGCATCAGCTACTTTGCCCAATAAGCCGCGAGACGGAGTACTTATACAACTGTACGTAATGATCATGTAAAACTCAGTTACAAAATCAGAGACCTGAGGTTGATACAGAATTTCATTGCTAGGTAAAGGAATTAGTCTCTTAAGAAATGCGGCCGAAATGACAAATCAATTAGCAACAAAGCAAGGACAATATAAAATTGTACAAGCATAGCTTATTTTCATGGCAATACTTACTGGACTGGTAAGGACCAACTGTTTAAGGTCGTAGAATAGTGGAGAATCATCCTCAGTGCAAAATGAAATTGCAATACCAGTTTTTCCCGCTCTGCCTGTTCGACCAATTCGATGTGTGTAATCTTAAAAACAGAAAAGACATCATTAAAAGTTGCATCGCTTCAAATCTCATCAATCTATGAAACTGAAATTCACTCCATTAAAGTGCCTCTTTTCACTGGCATCTTCTTCATCCAACACTAGCGAACAGACCTGCAAGTGAATACTGTGCGTGACAGATATAATCTACTTGCTTAGAATAATTTGGCCTTTCATAACAATTTTCTCAAAATCTTTAGAAAGGGGATATGAAAATTCGCCTAAAGCATATACTAGCCAAGCACAAAGTTCTGAAAAGATATTTGCTCGATTGAGAAAACTCAGTCGTAAAACTGTCATTACCGAATAAAGAAAAATTGACCACCCGGTTAGCAAACTGAACACTATGAAATGGTTGAGGGCCAAAGTGTTGGAAATGATAACATCGTTTTGAAATTGATAGCAAGAAACAGTCAGTCGGGGAACTCAGCGTAAAAAGAAGCCGCCAAGTTGAAAGTTATATCGAATAACTGCAACCACAGCAGACAGTTACCGTAAACGTAAACAAAACTAGGGAGAGAGAAATACTTGAACGTCTTTTCGACCACCGAAAAGATTATTTATTGAAACTGCTTGTCCACAATACGCTAACCGACCGCTGATTTCACCTGGGACGCTAATGAAAATAGCAACGAGAAAAATAATCCCAAATATCATCAAAAGGTTCACAGATCAACGGTCTGGTCCAAAAATCTATTTTCATAAGCATTGTCTGTATGCGGTATTGATACATCAACCAAACGAAGTCAACCAAACGAAGAAATAGCCCTGTATTTGCTACATACAGTGCAAATTAAAGTTGAATGATGAGACCGTTAAGAGATTACCTAGAAAATTTACGTTACTTTTATTTCATTAGACTGTTCGATCCGTTCCCTGGCCATATTTTGCAGGCATAACCGAAAACTTGTGATAACAGAACTAGGCTCCGAATGGATTCCTTTGTTTGCTGATGATATAGAAAAAATAGCATACCTTCGATTGATTTTGCCATGTCGTAATTGATGACGTGAGACACATCCCTGACGAGAAAGAAAAGCATTCAATTAAAAATAAAGTAAACAATTAATAAATATAATATTATCAAAAACACCCCCACTGCAGTACGGACCGGGTTCTTCATTTTCAAATCTAGACAAAAGATGCAGTATAAAGAGGATCAGTCTAGCCAATACTGGAGATGCTTTTACGTGAAGGACAATTTCAACTTCAAAATCAGAGCTATCGTATCGTTGACGAGATTTAAGTACTTCAGGATTTTGAAAGCCCTCCAATACTTTTAACATTTAAAGTTTTTAAAATCAACGTTGTTATTAAAGTGTTTTAGCTCTTCTAATTAAATGCCTATAAAGTTGGCTAAGAATCGCCCAAAGCCAAAGTGTTTTGAAATGCATTAACTGAATAATGGAACAGAAAGAGGGTTTAAAGGTTGAGATCTATAAAGCCTGCTGACTCTTTGCACGTGAATTACTTAGTTTAAGCCGTATACAAATATTAGGAAATATTCGTGGAATAATTTTTAAAGCAAATGTTACCGAAAGGTATCTGAATTCAATTCAGTGCAAATAGTTGCATTTGCGCAAGACTCAGATATGAAAAGGTCCACCTTGAAAATAGAAGCCTTTTGACCTATCAGTAAGTCCACAGTTTGCCAGGTAATTGGGTCGTTCAAAACAGTTTGGTCTCCTTAATAAAAAGGCAGCCAGACACAGAGCAGTAGTAATAATTATTTTACAAGTGGTTTATATAGCCGAGAGATTAAAGACAGCGAAAGAACTTCTCTTGGCAAAGAGGACTGTGGCAAGCACAAAGCTGATTAATCCTATCTACAGCCACTGGTATCCAACAATTCAATGCAACCATCAAAGCTCGAAATGAATTGTATCCCTGTTTGGTAAATGTATAGTTTGAAATACAAACGGTTCTTTAGAATATAGTCAAATTACAATAAAAAACAGTCAAGACGTTTGAAGTATTCATTATTCATTTATCATATTGATTTGCATTTGACGTCGGGTCGAAAAACCATAGAAAGAGCTGGAAATGACCTGAGCCTCTACAGAGAAAAAATTAAGCTAATTCTTTCTATTTACTTTCATTTACGTAAACCCTGTAACAAAAAGATAAGTAGGAAATACCACACACGGAGCTATGACTTTTTCGATGTGATAATCTAGAAAATTCAGGTTTTAGTGCGTTGTATATTAATTACCTGATATCAATACCACGACCAGCGACATCTGTGGCAACTAGAATATCTTTTTCGCCATTCTTCAAGCAATTGAGAGAGAATTCTCTAAAAGAGAACAAAGAATGCGAATATTAAAACATCACTTTTGTCATCCAAGGTTATCCGAAAAATTGGGCAGAAGGCACGTTGCAGGTTGTCAAGACAGCTTTCAGGGTGGAAAATGGAGCTTGAGGTTCTACCAATATCATGTTGAGAAGCTGTTGCGGATTAGCAGTTCTTTGCAGACAAAAAGCTCTCATGAACTTAAGTAGGTGAAACTTCTGAAGATGAAAATGACACTTAGAATTAATACGGGATAACACAGAGGATTAGCTTGACGACTATTTATATGCTAAGACATCTATTGGCAGAAATGTCTATCACTTTGTTTGCCATGAATAGCTATGCCATGTTGCTGGAATTCCAAACTACTTGCTCAAGCTAGCAGCCTATTAATCGCGGAAAACCTCAAGGTACTCCATAATTTGCAAGGCGAACAGAAACGTTATCATCATTGATGGAGACCAAAATATAGTACCCTATTAACCTGCATTTAAGCCAATGGCCCTAAATGCGAAATTTTTACAATTTTGAAAATTGCAATTTGAAAAATTCATCAGCATATAGGCCCATAGGCCTAAAATTATTTCCTTAAAAATCAGCAATTGGGACAAAATAACTAAATTAATTTTTTTTATATAACTTTACGTAATCAAAACGCTTTTACAGTTGATCTATTACGCATATTGCTGTTGTGCATTAATCCCTGGAGAAAAAAAGGAACTTATGTATGTGGCCAAGCCGAAGTAACAACGAAAATGGGTTAGAGATCACATGCAAATACGTTCTTAAGGGACCAGATTCAAAAACAGAATGAGAAGGTATTCATAGTTGCTTTAAAGATAAAAAATCACTTGATTTTTTTATGAAGTATTTTTTATTCTGAAGTATCTTTTACATTCTCGTCATGAAATAAGAAGTCTCCCGCTTTAAGGTCTGGTTGGCCTATACCCGGGTATAAGCCCATTGGCCCTCATACAGAGTGGACTTATATGCAGGGTGATGGGTAACTAAAAGGGTACCTAAACTGTTACTTTAGACATAACAGCCAGAACATTAGTTCTATATGTAAAATGAATTTATATTTCCGCTGGTAATGAAAAAGAAACAAATTTCTACCTTTGTTCCTGGCTTCTTCCGCCATGAAGCGTTGTAGCGCGATACTAGGAAAGTAAAGAATAAGGACACGGTGGAAATATTCAATGCAGATACAGCATTTTGCAATGAACGGCGAATCAATACTGCTTACCTACAACTAGCAGCATTACAAAAGTAAAATTTTCAAGAGGAAAATCCCATTCCTGTTTTGGTCTCTTAATTGTCTTTATCGTCATATACAGACATGTATAGAAAATGAACTCTAATAGCACTTGCAATATGACAATGGCCAATCGTGAAAAGCTTTTGATATGAGATCCTGATGAAGAATTAATCAACATCTTAAAAAAATCGCACATAAAAGGCAATGAAGTTTCTTGATTGCAATATAAACAAAGCTCGTTCCATAAATCGCTAAAGGCGACACGCTGTAAGGGAGGGATACATAGGGAAAGTGAGGTTTGGAGGCGAAGTCTATGAAGAGGAAAATTAGATTCGCAGGGCGGAATATAAAAATTGAGTAACAAACGATGAAGGAGAAGAAGGGAAAGTTATTCAAAAAAAATTTTAGTTTTGAAAAAGCGATTAGAGATCTGGTGATTTCGGCAAAAAGAAAAAAGAGGATAGTTTATTCAAAGATAAAATGCCAAAAAGGCAGTTTAGAAGAAGCCGTACAAATGAAAGGCTATCTAAACAACAATACAGGTACCTGGGAGAAGCCACGAAGATAAAAGGAACTGTGATGAGTAGTGGATGTACACGATAAGAAAGAAAATACAAAGTAAGTGCAGAATAGGGGAACGTTGTGCTGTGGATACATTGGTGAGGTAAAGATATGTAGGTGAACGACTATGTAGGGTAAGAAGTTTGGATTCATAAACAATGAAGGTTCCTAAAATGTTTTGGATAATATCAGCTTGCAAGGACAAAGTTACTCAGAGATTGTTCAAGATTCTAAGGATAAGCGAAATGTTATCGCTCTGTACCGGCACAAGCACCTAAAATATCACTGAAAATGGGGTTGATATTCTGAATTTCCACAATGAAGGTATAAGAAATTGGATAAGGCTGGGAAAGATTCTTCGACTTTCACTTGTAGTGAGTGAGCAACTACACCTTTTACAATTACTACGACCTACATTCATTGCGTCAGGGCTGCCCAAAACAAGCCATTTCTCTGAACAATCTTTTAATTGTTTCCAATGAAGGACGTCACTTCACCGTTGCAAAAGAAATTAAAAACAAGAAACTGAGCTATGCAAAGAGAGGATAACTTAAAAGATGCGCGGGTGTACTTTTATTTTAGTCAAACAGCGCAGCGCTATTAAGAATGTAGTGTTGTAACGATTTAATTATCAATAAATAAAAAGGTTACCCCCATCTTCTCTAATGACTTTGCCAGAACATCAGCTCCCTAAAGAAAATTAAAGATGAATAAGCAAAAATTGAAAATATACACATTCACACATCCAGGAAAAGAGATTAAGACAAGAATCACTCAGCTTCACAGAGAATAAACAAATGTGGTATGGGAAACACTAAAACGAACTAATGGCTTAGATGATAAAAACAAAGTACTGGGCAGTGTTTGCCGCAGATTTCGAGAGTCTGCAGGAGAACTAGCAGAAGATTTCATTCATAAGAAAAAGATTCAATTGAAATTAGAAGGTTAATGATTAACTTCCGATCCCATAAGAAGGAGTGATAAGCGAAACCAAACCTTTTTCTGGTTAACAAAGATAATAATCGGGGGCTCTGCACCACCATTTAGTATTTCAACCAACTTCTTCCTGTTAAAAAGTAAGAGGATTTTCTGAGTGGGTGGTATCAAATAAATACTCATTTTGCAAAATTCATAAACGGGATTGATGAAAAGTCTTTGATTCTAGCAAACCGAGGAAACGGTTTATAAAAAAAATGTGTATATGGTATTGGCATTTTTGCGTCTAAACGAAAGTAGATTTTTTAAATAAATGAAATAGCTAGGATAAATACATGCGAATAGTTGCAGATATTTGAGTGTAAGGTGAATCCTAGCTTTTATTGCATCTTATTTGAAAAAAAAATGTTATGCGACGGCTTTATGTCTAGAACTACATTGTGATGATAATGTGAACTTAAGATTATATACATAATTCAGGATATATATGAATCATTACTTTTTCGCATTCTGCTTTATAATCATGATTCGCTGTTCCACTCTTTCTACGGGCTTTCCTGTAAAATATCAAAAGAGAAGTCATAGACCAGCTTACGACATTTCAAATTGTACATGTGAAAATCGTATTTCAGAATGAAATGACACATGAAAACCATATTTTAGGATGAAGTACAGCGTAGTTTTAATGGAAATCGAAACAGCGGCGGTATCGTAAAATTTGCACTTCCCTGTGCAAGGTTAGCTACACCAACAGCTATGGGTAGTCCTCATGTTCCAAAGTTGGTCACATTGTTTGGAAACGGTAAGTTAGTCTGGGTACTATCCGCTATGTAAACCGAGGTTAGCAATCACACTGGCACGGGTATGCAACCGCATCGGAAGCTAAGACGCGATTCCTCCATCTAACATCTTCTTGCTTTTTCTATGACTAATACGAGATATTTCAAATCCTGTTGTTCTCAAGGACTTATAAACACGGGCTTTCAAAGTAATCGAGAAAATATTCTGCAACGTGTACGTACCTGCGGAGCCGATGTAGACAACCGCTGGGCGCCTTGGAAGAAAAAATCATTTAATTGAACAGCAAAAGAGGTTGTATACAAGATGTGGGAATCAACAAGTTGAAGAGATCTTACTGGCAAGCAAAATGTAAAAGGAATCAAGGTTTTATTTGCTCTACTTTTGCAGATATTCTTTAAAGTCTATACTGTAATCTTCAAGTTGATTAATTTTATATTAATGTATTCTGATACTTCTTAGGTATTGTTTGAATTGTTAGTCTAAAAAATCAAATACTGATGCGACGTTTAATAAGCTACCCGGACTTACCTTAAGTAGGCTCTAGCCAGTCTCTCAACCTGAGGTGGCATAGTTGCTGTAAACATGACAGTCTAGAGACAAAAGGCCACATTTTTTTAATTCTAGTTTCCATGCAGATAAAAAGCCCATGCATTGTTTAGCCTTGAAATTATATTGCCTATTGGAAAGACATGAGATGGGCAGTCGTTTTTTCTTGATTCTAATTTAGCAAAACAAAACATGTTACAAAAGAAAATTTAGACGGGGTCAGAAAAGCTTCAGTGGGACCATGATCCAGCCATACCTTGAGGAAAAGTTGGGAAAAACCAATAGAATTTTGGAACTGATTTTATCTTGTTAACTTATAGCACTGTCCGCAAAGCCAGTGCTTGCCTTACAGCAAAGTATATGTTTGACCCGCAGCAAACAGCTACTTGCTTAACATTCAATAGGGTTCTAACATTTATGTCACAATTTGAAAAAACACAGTTGATTCCGTTTTTCCAAAGCAAGTCAGCAAACGTAACGACAACTCAAGGCACAAACCTGTCTGTAACGTCCTTTTGACAACATATTTAACGTCAACTTTTCAACATTTTCAGCATCGTCAGTGTCTGGCTTTATATTTGTGACTGGCAAAAATTCCAGAATCCTTTGCACATCTGGTTCGAAGCCCATGTCAATCATGCGATCAGCTTCGTCAAGCACGACGTAAGAACACTGGCTGAGAACCAAATATCGATTTTCTATAATATAGAAAGCGGCGGCTATAGTGGTTTTTGAAAACATTTAAATCAGTCAGAATAGCAGATGAATAAAACAGATGTCAGACTTGAATTAAAATGGGAAGATGAGAAATGAAAAATGAACTAAACAATTGGAAAGAAGTGATTGGCTCTTACCCAAAACATCAATCAAACGACCCGGAGTTGCAATCACGATCTGAAAATAAACAATTACCAAATAATGATGAGCAAGCACTGAAATTATAGATTTGAAGAATTGATGATTTTTATTTGCAGAAAAATAAAATTTGGGATGAAAATTACCTCACATCCCATCCTCAGCTGGAAACCTTGATCCTCCCTGGAGAGCTTAAAAAATACAAAAACAATTTTAAAACGTTCTGAAACAATCTGCATTGAAAGCATAGGAGATACTCAACGATAAAACTATATAATCTATCAAACATGTTTAAAGCAGACTAGCCTTAAGCAGAGACATAGCTACAATTCTGAAAGAGGACAATTATGTGCTGACAAATAAAATCATTAATATCGATTGCATTAATGCAATTAACTAACATAAATAATCATTTAATACTATTGTATAATCATTAATATACTATCACTTGATCACGGGCTATGCTAGAAACATCCTTATTCAAAAATTTATTATTTATTCCTAATACAAATTACTTACATTCATAGTTACTTTTTAAACAAAATCATTAGTTGCATACTTACACCACCGATGATATTGACTGTCCTTATCCCGAGTTTTTTAGCAAATTTTTGGGTTTCTTCGTCAATCTATGGCAGAGAACGACAATTGGAGAAACAAAAAGGCAAAAGTACGCGACAAAGGCGCTTATCTGTCAAAATGGAAATACACCTAAAACCTTTTAAGGTGCAAAGTTAGTGGAATCTGTTAGAGCCTGCCTGAGATATACCAATGAGTACATGAATTTCAAACAAAATAGTTTTATCTCTTTAATACAAAATCAAAAATACAAAATAATAACATTGCTTCTTTTGGGTCATGAATATTAAAACGCCCCGTTCTGTTATGTTCTTTTGCAGCTCTATGTATGCAAGGGAAAGATACATGAAAACAAGCCAACCTGTTGTGCCAACTCTCTTGTCGGTGCCAGGATTATCGCAAAGGGTCCTTGATCCCCAGTGTCTCTGCGTTAAATCAAACAGTATAAAGCGGTAACAAATCGCAGTTACATTTGTGAACAATACAAACGGCAAGGTTAAAATCTTAACACGAAAAGCAAAAAAGGTAACAGAAAAAGAAATTAGGTAACCAGTTAAAAAGAGCCAGTTATAGAGAACCAGTTACAGCGAACCAGTTATAGAGAACCAGTTAAAAAGAATCAGTTATAGAGAATTAGCTTAAGAGAACCAGTTACAGAGAACCAGTTACAGAGAACCAGTTACAGAGAACCAGTTATATATAAGAAACAGGTTGTAGAGAACCAGTTAAAGAGAACCAGTTATAGAGAACCATTCACAAAGAGCCAGTTACAGAGAACCAGTTACAGATAACCAGTTACAGAGAACCAGCTATAGAGAACCAGTCATGAGAACCAGTTAGATATAGGAAACAAGTTGTAGAGAACCAGTTATAGATAACCAGGTGAGAGAACCAGTTATAGAGAACAAGTTATGGAGAACCAGATAAGAAAACCAATTAGAGAGACTTGCAGTCATCAAATCTGAGAAAACCAAAATTTTACAAATCGTTAAGAAAGGTAGTAAAAAATCATTGAAGATGGTAAAATCCAAAGTCCCCATCTTAATTGAAACAATAAGGTAAAAATTACATGAAATGCAAAAATTTAGAAAGGGTGGATGCCAGCCAACCGAAGCAGAAAGTGATACAAAGTACGCAAAAGCACCACGAGCAAAATGAGAACTTGCCTTTCTGAAGCAGGTAGACCCATGATCCATACAAGCAAAGGGATCACAAAAGCTGCTGTCTTGCCACTTCCTGTTAAAATATACAAGGTTTACCAATAGCATTGAGTTTAATAATCACAACAGTAAAAAAAGAAATTGATGAAGAAGAAAAGTTCACTTACAATTAACATATTTCATCACTCTCTTAACAAAAATAAATTTAGTGCTTCCAATATAAAGTTGTTAAACAATGATAAGATTAAATGATAAGATTCCCTTGATAAAACACAATTAGCTACAATACAGAAGATTAAAAAAGACTGGTAACCTGTTTCTGCAATTCCGATAATGTCCCTGTTTTGAAGGCCAATTGGGATTGCCATCCTTTGAATTGGCGTTGGGTCCTTGAAAAATATCAAGTACAAGGCACTTATTATGGTGAACTGAAAATTACTTTAATAATCTGAGCATAAATTTCCAAGCATGAAGGAAAATAATCAGACATTATATAAAAAATAATACTGGAAGAAACCAAAGACATATATGGTACCTTCTAACTTGGATGGCGAAATTTGTAGTTTTAACCAAATTGAATAACATAAATGTAACAAAACATGAAAAAAGAAATAATTACTTTGTAACTGAGGTCATCAATGATATCTAGAATATCTCTAGGTAAACCAGATTCTTTCCAGTACCGAATTGGTTTCGGAATGTTCCCACCTGTACGAAGCATAGATATATCTTTATGTATGAAGTTATAAAATCAAGCTTATAACAACTCCCGACAGAAACGAAAGTTAAAAATCAAATGACGAAATAAGTAGCAGTTGTCATAAACTAACTATCAAATGGATTGATAATAAATTTATGTGGAAGAGCAAAAACTAAATTTACCATAATCTTTTAAAGTTACCATAATCTGACGAAATTCACTGTAAGCTGGGTGAAGAACGAAATAAAAAATTTGCGAACATTTTAACTTTCGTGCACTTGAGAGAGCGAAATTTCAAGTTTTGGACATCAACATCAACTTAAAACGAGGTTTGTCGCCTAAACACATTGAATTTCAGCTCCGTAGATGAATATTAAAACTAATACATTAATTAAAAATGACGACGATAACCTTTGCATGAGATATGGAAATCCTCTCTGAAAATACGATAATCCCTTGTTGTCATTTCTTCTAAAGGTTTCTTGGTCCAGTGTCTTTCTTTGTATTCTTTTTCCGTCTCTTTTTCGGCCACGGTTTTAAACCGTTTCCTATGAAGCAAACCATCAAATTCGAGTCATACACACACAAAATAATGTACAGAAAACACATCTAGTTACAAAGCGAGTCTTTTAAGCCACGAGTTTACTCACACAGCCTGGGATTTTTCCACCTCTGTTCTTCTCTTTTCAAGAAGATCATCGTAAAACTGAGACTGTGTCTTTTTCTGGCTCTAAATTAGAAATCAGGCCATGTACTTTAAAAGATGAGTATAAATACAAAGACGAGGATAGATGGATTCACGAATTTCAATAGTGCCGCGCTATTTTGATTAAAATTTTTAAAGAGTACTCGCCTTAACATCGATTCCAGCTATGTGCCCCCTGCCAAATAACTGAACTTCATGCTTCTTGCTATAGCTGCAAGATACACAATATAACAGAGTAAGAGAAACATGTATTGCTAAAACTCTTAGACTACAGGCGTTTTAAGTAATAACTAAATATTCAACACTGGTTTGGTCACCTCAAATAAGATCCAAGATATGTCAAAACAACTCACAGGGGATTGTAGTCAGCAGAAGTGTCCTCACCAGCATCCCAGTCAAACACAAATTTCCGATCATTCAATCGTCTTATTTTCCGTTTCTTTTTCACTATTCCCAGATACCTCGCCTTGCAAAAGAATAAAAGCACACATAATTTCATGTATTAATATTAATAACTGATAAACTAAAACCTTGACTTAAATCAAGGCCTAAAGCTGAAGAAAGTGCTTCGTGGAGATGATCAATTATTTTTACACGTATTTAATGTCAGAAAACGGAATCCAAACAGCAGAGTCTGGCTGAGTTTACACGATGCCGGATAACTTTTGATCCGGATAGAAAGTTATACGGATAAATCGCGTTAACACGATGCTGTACAACTTTTGGGACGGATAAACTTTCTGTTTACACGAGTACAGAAACATCAGATTTTTCTCAACGAATGGCTTCAGTTCAAAGCAAAGATTGATGAAACTCTCACATTCTCAAGTTTTCAATCCATTCTTCTGGCATTAAAACATCATTGATAACATTATACCACCAAGTGCTTGTTCTGCCAGACATTTGCCGAAATTTACGCACACCTTTCTTCCTAGATGCTTTTTTAGAGAATTCTTCTGAATCCTTGTGCTGGATCCTTGAAAAACTCTTATCAACAACAGAGAACAACATACCTAAGAGCGATGTGAGCTCTGCTATGAAAAGCGAAGCTTGCCGCGAAAATTTTAGCCATATTGTGTCAAAGTCGCTGCCTTGCTATGAATCCTCAACAGAACGTATCAGGATAGCCCGTTTACACGATGCGAATAACTTTGAGGTCATCTAGCAAGAGGGATCAAAAGTTGTATGGCTAACAGAACCAATTTTGATACGGATAGCTCAGTAGTCGTGTAAATGGAAAGCCTTTCTTTATAACTTTTTATCCGGATCAAAAGTACCCGGCATCCTGCAAACGCAGCCTCAGTTTGAATGGTGCTGCCCCATGCATCAGAAGAAAAGATCCAGGCAATGTCAGAAACTTTTGACTTACCTGGATAGCATCGACTGCTCGTGAGTCCTTCGTGAACTATAACGATAAAAAAAGTAACAAAGTGTTTCAAGATTACAAAAATGAGAAAATGGAACAGTGAGAAGACAAAGTTACTGCAAATATTCTTTACAGCACTTAAAAAAGCCGGTGTATGCTAGAGTCACAAAAAATCATTGCACGGGCGTCGCTAAACTAAAACCACATTAATCCGAAATCATTGACGGGAAATCTCCTCTTCTTCTTCTCGCCAACTTAATGTATTACGATAAACTAAGAAGAAAAAACTACACAGTGTGCACGAATAGATTATTAAGACAAACAATGTGAAACTTAATACCTCGTCATCCTGTACACCAGTGTCTTTTTGGGACTGAAAAATTTGCATACACATAAAGAAGAAAGAAAATTTGCATTGTCAAACTATAAGTGACGTAGAAAATTGTGCAGATAAACGAAGAGCAAGAGCCTTGCATAAAAGAAGTCTAAAATAGGAACATGATTATATCAGGGTTACAAACCTTCTCTTTCTCTGAAGACTTTTCTCTCTCTCTTCTTCTTTCAGAATCTCTACCTCGGTCATAATCTCTGCTTCTCCTTTCTCGTTGCCTATCTCGCTCAGAATCATCTGCAGAATAGGATACGACACAAAAATAAACATTTTGATTCTAACCATCAAAACAACCAGAACAAAACAACCATCAAAACAACCAGAAAATTCAATAAATCAAGAATCATTGGTGCGCATTTGAATGTCGTAGAAATATCACTAACTGATGTTAAAGTGATATAGTAACTTTGTATAAATGGCTCTTGGAGGTATTAAACGCGTCGAAGTAAAGAATAAGATTTGTTTGCTATTTACCCTTTGTCTTATCAAAATCTTTGAAATATTTCTCTCGCGTCTGTCTTGCTTCCTAGAAGACAAAATTCCTCTTGATTAAATAAAAAACCTCAGCTATGGAACGCTTCATGTTTCAAATAAAGGTTTTATGCTAGCAAACGTACCTATTTATTACTTCTGGTTCACCCAGTGTGGCTAGCTGTTATCTTGATGTCTTGATGTAAAAACAAAACCACAAATCAACTACAAAGAAATGATTATAAACTCTCCTTGTTGTACCTCAAGTTTCTTCCGTTGTTCGTCCACTTGTTGCTGTCTTCTTTTCAACGCTTCTGCTGCACGCTCTTCTTTTGTCAAAAACTTTGGCTGTCAAAAAATATCCACAGTTGAAACTAGCTCTACTCATTAAACATTGTCGCATCAACATAATGCTTAATAATATAATTTACCTCCTGGAAGTTCGGTTCCTATGAAACGCAAGTACTAAAAGGGATTTCAAGGCTACCTTTTCTTGTGCTTTTTTCTCTGCCTCCCTCTTAGCGATCAATTGTTCCAATGACAGTGGCTAGAGCAAATGAAATAATAAAAAACGGCATATGAGCAAAAATTTAATTTATTCATTAAAATAAACAAAGACAACTAAAACGTGACATAAACAAAAAAAGAAAATTTGCTTAAAAAGATGCTTAAAGACAGCTATTAGAATTTATAAAACCTTTTCTTGCTGAAAATATCTGCTACTGAAAACACAAGCCGTTAATTTTTGTAAGAAACCGGTGTTGTAAGGAATCTTATCCTAAATCTGTTATATGAAATGAGATCAAATGGAACTGTTATAATTCTGATCTCGTACACAAAGGTTTTAACCACTGTCTCGGCACTTTAACCACTGTTTTCTACCCCTTTGAGCTGATAGGTCTTTTCTAAATGAGCAGGAATAGACTTGAGCACATTAAATAGTATAACCATCATCAATTAATTGGGCATGCAAAGTTCTGACACTTAATATTGATAACCTTAAAGGACTAAACAAAAAGCCAATACGCTAAAAGACTAAGGTGATATCTTCATTATCATTAAAGAAACTTAATACCCATACCTCTCTTTTAACAGGTTGCTTCTCTTCCTCCTCTTCTTGTTCATCGGTTTTTCTAGAAAAGACAACCATTATTAGAATTTGAATTGATACTACAAAAAAGTGTAAATTGTTTTGAAACAAAAAAGAGATGACCCTCACATCCTTTTGGCTGATTCCTGTGCAGTATCATTATCTAGCTTCCTCTTACTGTCCTTGCTTCTTTCTCTTGAAGTAGATCTTGACCTATGCTTATGTTTTTTCTTACTTTTCTTCTCATGTTTGTGCTTACTGTGTCTTGCTTTTCTTTCTTCCTTGTCATCACCCTTTCTTCTATCATCCTTATGTCTATCTTCCTTGTATCTATCCTCATTACTCCTTCTGTCATACATTGATTCTCTCTTTCTTTCATCCCTGTCACGTTCCCCTCGACTTCGCTCTATCTTATCATCTCTTCCTCTATATTCCTTTTCTCTGTCATCTTGCCCGTCTCTGTCTCTGCTGCTTTTCCCTCTGTCACTTTTGTCTTCGTGACTGTCTGTCTCTGATCGCTCGGTAAACCTTCTTCCACTGCTATTTTCATCTCTTCTTTCTGAAGATGATGAGGTTGACGAGGATGGAGCGATCACAACTTGAGAGCTCAAAACCATTTCTACAACGAAGCATGAAACAATTTTAAGAACAAATAGGACCATAAGGTTAAATGTATTTGCTTAATTGATAATCTTTATTTTAAGTGATTTCAACGGCATTCGCTTCAGTTCCCTGAAGATTAAGGAAAATCAGAACTCACGGCATTTCTAAGAAGGCATTAAGTATAGACTAAGATCGAGAATGTCAAGAGAAGGCAAGATATAGAACAAGTAACGATAATGAGAGTGGAAGAGAAACAAGAAAGAAAAAGGCCGAGAAAAGATGGAAAGATTGTACACAACAGGATTGGAAGGAAAGGAACAAGAATTGAGAGGGAAAATTAGGCAAAAGAGGAATTTCTTGAGCAGTTCCATTAAAGACATAAAAGAATAAATGTCGCTGCTGAAAATTAGGACAAATTGTTGCCAGAAGGACACAATAACTAGCATCCTTTGTCAGGTTCAACACAAACTGGTTCCTTTATTTTAAACTTATATGTATGTATCCTTTTATAGAAAATGCCTATAATGATCAAAGACTTATAATGAAAAGGTCGTGAAAATGTTGAGAGCAAGACAACTTCCACATGCATAACTTTGCAAACTTTATTGGGTTCAGGAAATGCAGGCACTGTTCACTGGATACAACATTAGCTGATAAATTTACAATATACAATATAAGACTGCAAACACATCATGTCCTAACACAAGTCCTTGGAAAACATAACAGCGTAATTTCATGTTGTGCAAACAAAAACATCGATGGCTGACAGCAAGATGGCCGACAGGGAGATGGCTGATCATGAGACATGAAGCAGAAACTAGCCGCTATTTTTTCCTTAGCATACCTAAACATAAGAAAATAGAATGCCATAACCATTTTCAAATCAAGATGAAATGTGTTTTGTTCATTATGACTCTTTTGGATGCTGACAAAAAATCTTTCAGCAATTTTCCAAAACCTTTACCCTGCTATTCAATGCCACTTCAGATGGTACTGATGTTTTAGGAATGCTGCATAGAAAAGGGCAAGACATAGAGAGTTTAACTCTAAGGATAATTTTCCTTAATCGCGCACTGATAGAAGATAGGAGAGCATGATAAAAGAGGAAGATGGCTTATAGCACCGTGGCTTAAAGAGGATCAGCCCATTATTATTACATCGATAAATTTAGATATAGTTTTAAAAATGTTTAACTTTTTTATGGTTGAACTATATTGTTTGTTTGCTTTTTATTTAGGAAGTAACTACAAAGCAACTGCAAAATTCAATTTTGACCTGGGGTCAATATGTAGTGACTCTACTTAGGCCTGTTTACGCTAATCTTTCTTTCTCATTCATTCCATCATATTCTCACATCACAGCCCAGGCATCCTCTACGTCACTTTTTTTGTTATCCTTGCCACGCCATTCAATTTGCTCATCACCTTTACTTGCCCTTCCAATCATTTGTTTTTCTCACATTATTTGTGTTAATTTTAGATATTCATTTCTGCATATAATATATGTTAATTTGAAAGTAACTTTAACTCAGTTAGAATCAAGACACGCAATAGGCATATTGTCTCTTCTCTGGCTCTGTGTTCTCCACACTTTAAGTTTGTCAATATAAGTAGAAGATTTCTTAAAACCATAACAGACTTTTCTCGATACCTGTGGAGCAGCAACTCCAACATATATTGCAGGTATCAACCCCTGAAAGTTCATATGGGACTTCTAGTTTTAGTGTAATGAGGATTGCACGTTGTTGTGGATTCTTAGATACCATTTGTTCACTGATAAATCCATCCATCGATTATGTTTGGGTTCCAAACCCAGAGAGTCCTATTTAAATTCCACACTTTAAATAGGACTCTCTGGGTTTGGAACCCAAACATAATCGATGGATGGATTTATCAGTGAACAAATGGTATCTAAGAATCCACAACAACGTGCAATCCTCATTACACTAAAACTAGAAGTCCCATATGAACTTTCAGGGGTTGATACCTGCAATATATGTTGGAGTTGCTGCTCCACAGGTATCGAGAAAAGTCTGTTATGGTTTTAAGAAATCTTCTACTTATATTGACAAACTTATTTTTGGTCAGGTGTGGCACCAGAAATCCAGAAAAAATGATTAGTAAACAGGGGAGCTAAACTTTTTGACATAAAGCTGAGTTCTCAAATAAAAAACTGTTCTTATTGGGCAAAAGTTGAATTTTTTACAATGCTTGTGCTGAAATCTGTGAAGTTCTAGATCACTTTAAGCCAGAACTACAAGCTACACTGAGTCAGACCAATTGCAATTCTAAGGAATCAATTACAGGGCATCTCAAAATTCAGGATGTCAGTTTCTAGAGTCACATTCAATTTCTGTTGCAGCACTACTAACCAGTGGGGAGCACATTACAGCACAACAGCTTGCAGCTGCTGCAAATCAAACTTCCTGACAAAAATTTTTCTTATTTTCATCCTGTTATTAGCTCGTACTTTGTTACCAGTAAGTGTGTGCATGAAAATCCATTTCATTGCTAAATTTTCTATGAGGAAATGGTTGGTCTAAAAACTATAGTTGATTACTTGTTCCAAGCTAAATATATCACCAAGAAGATTCCACACACACTACCACATGCCTGGATGACTTTATGGGTGTGGTGGTTACCATGCCTGCTATATTTTGCCAACAAAGCCTGTGAAGAGTCAACACATTACACTTTCCCTGCTTAAAAAATTTGCAAGTTTAAATTTCCATTATTGTTTCCACAGAGCTCCTTTTCAATACCATTTGAGCTTCAAAATTCATGTAATACCACACCATGCAATTCAAATTCAATTCAAATTGAATTTTTTTAATTAACAGAAATTTGGTAAATATTACTTAAAATATTGAAAAATACAAAGCTAACTGCTAAATACAAGACAAATAACAACAGGAATATTGATTTGATAACAGTAACTATTACAAAATGAAAACTATAAGATGTGTGAAAAAAACTCATTAGTGCTATCTAGCCACATGCCCTTGCTTTTTGATGTGAAATTGTGAAATATCAACATTTGAAACACAAATTTGATTTAAGAACAATATGATATCAAAATTGAGGGGGTTAGTACATATTATGTACTACATTCAAAATTAACTATGATTCATTATAGAGCAAATATTGTCAAATTAAGCCGTTACAATAAAGATTAATGTAAAGATGTGGATGTGATTTCATAGTTTATTCATTCAGAGATGGCTAAAAGCATTTCAACTTGGTCAAGAATAACATTTTAGTTTGTCTTTTGTCAATTCAAGAGGTACCTCATTCCAAATTTCTGAACCACAAAAGATTATCAACTTTCTTTTGAATTCAGTTGACACTGAAGTGAGTGAGATGTTTTTGTTGATGGTGTTTCTGGTCGATAATTATAATAGCTCATTGTTATTGTTATCGAAAATTTTGAAGATAAATTTACATACTTTATAGGTTTTTGAATAGGGTTTTGCTACAAGTTGTTTTCTAAGCAAAGCAAATAGTTTTAACTGCTTTACCTAGTTTACATTTTACAGGTGCAATATCAGAGGCATATGCATCACTGCACTGCCCCAATTTAAAATACCATATATTTAGGATATGTGGTTTAAGGAAAGAATTGTAAAGATTTCTTAGAATTCGTCTAGGGACAAGGTATCGTGTTATGTATAGGATACCTAGGCCTTGGCCAATGTTAGGATTGTTTGTTTAATTGCACACGAGTGGCATCAACAAAGCATAAGACAGAATAAGTGAAAAACAAATAATTTTCCTTGCCGCATGCCGGTCTTCACTCAGAAAAATTACAGAAACGCTAAACAATTTACCTTGTTAAAAAGCAAACTCTAATTTTCACTGGAAACAATTAATTTTGACGAATAGTTTATAAATAAAAACAGACAGACGATCAACAAACTATCATTGCTTCTCTTATTCAAGAAACAAGGACAGTAAAGAAAGAAGTGTGCTTCTTTTTCTATACCTAGACAATATACTATATCTCAAGAAAAAATTGAATGAAGATACCTTATCAGATTTCAGTGTATTCACCCACTTATGATATAATCCAACAGATGATGTAATCAGGATTGAAGCCCCTCCATCGAAAGCAATCGTTGTCTTGTCGATGACAGCTCTCTTAGTTTGGACTCCTTTTCAACTAAGAATCATAAAGAGGTAACGTCTCATTGCTTCTTGTCAGGAGCATGGGTGGGACACTCAGCTGCGGAAATATGGTAAGGTTTGGGACGAAGAAATGCAGACTTAGCTTCAAAGTCAGATAATTTTGTATACATAGCAAGAAGTAAGTAATAAAAGAAAAGGAAACCCAGACAAAAACCCTGCAAAGTCGGCGCCAATATTTTCCAGAGTTAATTTTTCAATTCTTTTAGATTCAAGGAGGGAATTTAAATTCAAGGAGGGAATGTTGTGGGGGAGGGGGGGGGTAGCGATGGCAGATTATGTTGGCGATTTCTTAATTGGTGTGAAAGGAAGCATGCCAAGGCTAGAAGATCGCACCCAGGGCCAGATTGATAATTAAATCGTTTGACACACATTTAAAGAAAAAGCAGCGGATTGGTTTCAAAAAGATATGACCGATATTAAAAGGACTAGACAGGGCCGTCGCTAAGCACTTTCACTTAGGGGGGTGCCAGTCAACAATTTGCCGACAAAATAGGTCGTGGCCTAAGATATTTCAATGTGGGGGTGTGTCATTTTGACGCAATTGATTTTGTTTAGCAAAGAGGATGTTCTCGTTAGTCAATCATCGCTTCAATTTCGAGTGACTGTGGGTACTTAGGTTTTGAAGGTCTTGAGACAAAATCGAAAGACGAGGAAATTTTTGCGACCACGCCCTTAAGATTGTCTTAAAATGCATTTCAGAATATTTCTTGCAGTTATTTCTTGCAATCGTTTAGAACTTTTAACTATTTTTAGGCATACCTACGTTTCATTGATTTCATTCTTAGAATGAAGTTCATTACTTCTTGTGGCCCCCTTGAGCTCATGGCCCTGAGGCACTTTGCCCCCTTTCTCTGCTTACAGTGGCTTCCTGTACCTTCAGGATCAACGTTCAGAGTTTTTTAATAAACTTTGACCCTTCCCTTAACCCCAAACTTTAGGTAGAGATTAGGTCGCCCTGGATATTGGATATTAGAGTCTAGATTCCGGCTTCCGAAAGGGAGTCATTTGAAGTTTTTGGGGGACATTTGCCCCTTCGTGACACCCATAGCACTATCTTTTCTTGTTTTGAATTGCTGATGGCTTTTGGGCAATACTTTTAAGTTCACATCCTCATCTTGTCCCAACTGTTCGCTAAAACTATTGCTTTGGGAACTTTGAAAGCAAAACCCGACAAAACTCTACTTTTAGAAAAATTGCCGACAAGAATTTTCTAGAGGGGGTGCCGCACCCCCCTACTAGCAACAACCCTGGGACTAGACTGAGGCTGGAGCCCCCCAATAATTGTCAAACAGTAGCATGATTCCTTTATAACAGTCTACTGAATAAGAAAAAACAATGGGCAGCTTCCCCAATATAAATTTTGTTGCGACGGCACTGCAACAAGCCTATCATTCTTGCCTGAAGAACACATTTAGGTTTCCACGAATCGGAAGAAAGTTATTCAACAATGTTGTAGTTTTGAGGCAAGTGCATGGCTTTAGAAGAATAAGTAGAAGGAAAGGGTATCTTCCAAATAGGTCTGGATAAAACTGACAGTTAAAGTCTAAACCAAAATAAAAATTAAGGATTTTTTTGCTTTTTCATAGGACCGATCTTTTTATCACTCTACATTCCATTTTTTGTTGCTTTAAAAGAAATAAAAGAAGTCTTAGTGACTCGTAGTGACTTCCATTCATAAATTATTGGTAGAACTAGACTCGTAACCATACAACAACATGTATACAACAACGTGCATGACAACAGACAACTACTTTGACTGCTAATTCACGAAGGCCTTCTTATTCACAGAGAAAGACCTTTAGTTAGTTCTCAGGAGCAATCTACTCCCATGGTTTTGTTCTTATTCTTTTTCTCTTCCTTTCATTTGTTCTCCTTTTGCTCCTTGTCTATTTCTCCGTAGAGTTGTGTACCACTATTCTTCTCAGTCTTCTTTCACACATCCTAATTGCTTCTTTCACGTACTGTTAGGTCACATGATTTATGATCCGTACTGATAATGTCACATCTGGATTTGTAACTGGAATGTCTCACTGAATTTGTCAATTTTTTAATGGATTAGTCGTTCAATTCAATTGAATCAATTATGTTGAAATAGAAATTCAAAAAAAAACTCTTTTTGTTACCGTACTGGTTATTTTCTTTAAGGAAATCTAGAATATAATCGAAGTTACATAACAATGAATATACAAGCTTAACATATCATTTGAAACTAAAGCTGGCAATCTACTCACCTTTAGAACGATTTACTGTTTCTAAATTGATTTGCTGAAATATTTCCCCTTTACATGTGCAATTAAGAGTTGCATTCGAATCAACTTTTTGAAATATGCCCCTGTGGTGGGATATCATTTTAATTTTTGGAAAAATCCCATTTACAGTTACATATCAAACGGATAAATTTTACAAATATGCATATATTTTTCAAAGAAAGACAAAAAATTTCTCTTGAACTGAATAGCAGTTTGCATTTAAGGTTGTTCAATTAAGGCACCATTCACAAAACCTGCCCGAATGGTATGTCTTACTTCATTGCCTAATATTGGAATAGTAATACACTTATTTAGAGGCCCTGATTTATTAGCTCAAGGGAATCGAGGGTAAGACTCTGAGGGTGAGGTGTATATACTGCTCTAAACATGTCTGCGGGAGCAAAAAAGCTTTCAAAAGTCTTTTGGGGGAATATTAACTATTACTTTAAAACGAAGTTAACTAATTGAACATTTACACCATTCTTACAAACTCGGGATGAGTATGATATAATAATCAACAAACTAAAATCTAATAACAATAACAACAGCATTACAGAACAAAACATCAAAAACTCTGCAACAAAAGCGATAACAGAACTACTTATTAATAGCAGGAACATATAACTAATGAAATTACAGTTTAGATTAATCGTTGGTTGCTGCAGTACCAACAGAAAACAGCGTAATGATAATACCGTGCTCGCTATGTTGGCTCACGATGACGTCCTCACGATGACATTATTTAAACGACTCGTATCTTCTGGTCAAACGCATGCAGATCTCCTCTGAAAGCACCTTCCATTTCTCACCATCAGCTTTTACGTCACATCGATCTGGATGGTAGTGCACAATAGCTTTCTTTAGCAGTGTCTTCATATCCGCATTATACTCTGCGATACCTTCCGAAATGTCAGGCAATTTTTCCGGAAGGGTATTTCCTTTCTGCTTTGGTGGATGTCTTGAAAATAGAATATTCACTTATCATCGTCTTTATATTTAAAATATTACATGGACGATGTAGCATATCAATGCACTGATGCTTAGGTTCCGGACAGAGCGTCTTATTTAATGGGAAATCACACAAGCAAACCGGTCACTGACGTTGCCTTTTTGCTAGTAATTTGCTTATAGACGTGACCCTCTCACCTGCTCGGCATCAAACCAAACGAAAGAGGACAGACAAAACATTAGCCGAGTTGATTTTCTCAATATAAACAGGCCCTTAAACTAGGTTGACATTAAAGAGTGTACGGCCACTAAACTAAGAACAGGTTACTATTCTCTCCAATAAGCAGTTATGAAATTGAATAATTTTATCTAGTGTCGAGGACAAAAATTTTCTGTCTCCATACGAGAGCAGTGATGGAATTTTTCGTGGCAGATTTGTGAAGAGAAAAGGATAAAAACTTTGATTAACAAATTACATTTCGTTTTTATGTAGATTGACTCCAAAACTGCTAGATGGAAGGACGACCGGGCTCTGCCAATTATCCGAAACATGTCGTCATTATAGAGTTTTGCACAATCTGGGTTGTTTTAACAGTGTTTCTAGACCTACAAGATCGAGGAGGCTGTTCTCTTTGAGGTTACATTTCTTTGGCGCATTATCGATTACTTACGTTTTGTAAACAAATTTCACCAAAGTGATGTCTCCTTTCTTTGCATGGCTGTCGATCTCTTTGAGTTCGGCTTCCAGTTCCTTGAGATATTTCTGTCTCGCCGTATTCCATATTTCGTCCTCCTTTTTTACTTGTTCTTTTTGATACTTTTCAAGAGTTTCGGTACAAACTTTATACCAGTCTATTGTAGAAAAAAGACGACACTTTTGTCAGATATTTGTTAAGGTAAAAAACAGATTAGCACAAAGGATGTTTCGGGGGAGGGAGGTAGGTGATTACAATCAGAAAAAAACAATTCTGTCATTTAATCTCATTAACATCTACTTTTAGCAAAACAATTTTTCTAGAAATGAAAAAAAATAGTTGGTAGGGTTGGGTCATATTTAAAGAATTGAGACAAAGGCTCAGAGACAAGTCAAGGAAGTTTTGCTGCCCCTGAAGCCTGGTTTCCATCAGGTTTCCATATAGTTTTATCTGTCATTTCTGGGGTATTGTATGAAAAACGTCTTACGACAAATACAAATGTTTTCTTTTTCTGTTGTATCTTTTACAAGAGTCGATTTCATCTGCTACAATAGGTACAACTAGAAATGGGCTATAGGCTACCTACGTCTATGTATAACAACACTATATTCGTCGATACATACCTTGCCAATTGAGTCGCTTCTTACCACGATCGTTACGCCAATTAATACGTCGATACCATATGTCGAAATGTAAGTTGCAAATTACGTCGCTTCTTACCTCGATCCTTACGCCAATTAATACGTCGATACGGTACGTCGATATTTTAGTTGCAAATTACGTCGCTACTTAACTCCAAAATAACATCGATGAAATGTCGAACGTCTTAATTTCTATTTTCGCTAGCCTTTCTCACAATACTTTGAACTTTATAAAATTTGCTCTAATTTTAGTGGCAGTGAAGCCTGCTGTGGAGTGGTGTTAATTGGGGAAAGGGTTAAGGCCTTTGCGACACCCTGTTTAACGTGTTGCTACCATAGGTATATTGTCATTAGTTGCTGCTTAGGTGAACGAACCCTTTTCTTCATCTTTTTGCGCTTTTTTCTTAGCGCGAGGATCTTTAGAATTTTGTACACGTTATGCGTTTGCATTACGGGCTCAATCTACGTTCACTTATAATCAAAGAACAGACAAGAACGCATTACAATGATTAGTCTCATAGCCGAATATATTTATTCTATTCGTGTTCGAATTGCTGTGTTCCAACATGAAATAGCTGCAGCAGGATGTGGGATATATAAACACTTCTCACCTTCATTGTTAAATGTCCTTGGATGCATCGATATAGCCAGTTCAATTGCCCTCTTAAAGTTTTCTCTGGCCTTAGACTTGATTGCAAAAACTTCGTCATATAGTTTCCCAATGCGACTCAGTGCAATCGCTTCCATTTCCACTTCAATTTCGCGCGTCGCCAGAGCAGCTTTCTTATACCAATCCAAAACTTCCCAAGCCATTGTCATATCTACAGCACCATCCTTTTTGCAATATTTTTCCAGAAGGTCATCTCCTGAAACGAAGAGAAAACGAGCCATTGTCAATAAAAGAGTCTTTATTTCATGAAGAGCGAACAAATTCTCAAGGGAATCAAATCAATAATGAATATGAATAGAAAGATCGTATTTTAAAAAACCAGTAAAGTGGAATCCCGATTTAACGAACCCCGATTCAACGAACTCTCGTTATTACGAACCAATTTTTAGATCTCTTCATCGTAATTTCCCTCGATATAACGAACTTTTCATAAATTTTTCATCTGTTATTTTTATTTATTTATTTTCGGTGCCAATGTATCACTTAATCTGGTGGGAAAGCATTTTTATATGCCGATGATACATTTCAAGTACTGGCTGATAGACACAGAGCACGAGATGAAAGTTTGATTGCGTCAAAAATCACTGCGAATGAGTACATTGACAATAACGAATACCTTTTTACATATGAGACATTGGCAATGAGCGACGACAAACATTTATTGAGAGTCCCAGAATCTCTGATGAAGAAGCAGAAGAAGACAAAAAAGAATGTGAAGTAATTGAAGACGTCATTCAGCCGCCAACTAGAAGTGAAGTGATACCAGCTTTGCTAACCTCTTGGTTCAAAATTATAAGAGGAACATAAGGATTTTCATTTTAAATGACTAACCATTAGTAATATTTAAATTCAGCTTGGCTTTTTGGAGAAAAATGTGCACAGAAGTTGGAGATGGCCTATACAAGCCCACCGCAGGTTTTTATGGTGTGAGCGGAGAAAAAACCTAAAGACGTTTTCTCCCGATATAACGAAATATTTTCTGGCTCGCTTTAGAGTTCGTTATATCGAGATTCCACTGTATTTTCACCTACGATAAGCCATACAATGTGTATTCAATTTCCCATGTTTTGCTAGTGTTCTAGTGATGCAAATAAACAAGATTTCACATGGTCCAGCCTCCGCACCGAGACTGGAAATTTGCTGCTTTGAATCTAATGAAGGTATGACAACGAATCTAAAAAGGAAAGCTGAAACATTACCAATGGACATTGCTTGCAGTGATTCGACGGTGCATATGTGAAATCTTAGATCCTCCCTCATGACGTTCACATCTGACATGATAGCTGGGTTGTGTCGCTTAGATTTCACAGCCTCCTCCACAGGGCGGTAGCAGCTATGTATTATTGAAAGGCTTTGCCTGAAATCCTTCTCATTGAGTTTATGAACAGATTCATGAAACATTATTTCAGCGATTTGCAGCCAGTATTGTCCTCTTAAGGACTCGATGCCAACAGAATACACGCATTCTTCCAAAAGAGAAACTCTGCGTTGAAAAGGTATGCTTTCCGCTATATCGATGAGGTCAACCCAGCAATCCTGCAGACATGCGACAAGATCCTGAAGCCATGTGCTTGGTTTTACAGTTTGCCCTAACACGTAGCTTTGTGAGTAGCTATCAATGGCATTTTTGGCATGATATCTCACGAGCTCGATCTCGTGCTCCGTTTGCACTGGCAGGAAGGACACTAACTTGAAGCTGGCCTTTGCTATATTCTTCGATGCAGACGCCTTTTCTTCTGCGTTTTGAGCATGGCTATGTGCTTCATTATACTTCGCTAGCGCTGCCACCAAACGCGACTTCTTCAAAACTGGTGCCAAGCCATCGGTAATTGAACGGTAGATGTTATTTCCTTTTTGACGAAGCTGTTCAGAGACTGATCCAGAGCTCATGACTTTAGGAAGATCACTAGGCTCACCAAAAGAAGTTCAACGATGTTCGATTCCCTGTCTGCTATATACTAAAAGAAAGATAAAACCAGGAATTTCAAATCTGCTTAACCAAAAAACAACAGAAAATTTCAAAGCCTGCAACACTAACGCTGCAACACTAACGCTGCAACACTAAGCAAATATTGTCTATTCATTATCTTGTTTACGTCCTCCGTAAATTTAATGGAGCAGTAGCTAAAGATCACAAAGTAATGAAAACACGGAAAATGGACAAAGTTAACGAGTTAAAATGTTCCTTGCCAGTGTTTGTTGGGAGGGCGCGGTTACTCAAACCAAGTTAAAATAATAGTTCATGATCTATCCATAGTCTATAGTTCTTAATTCATAATATGTTTTTCCTTGAGTGTAATTGTTACTAGCTATGCGTGTCATATTTAGTTCATGTTATTTTCATATTTGATTTGTTTAGGGAGGGTTGCCCTTCAACGGAAGTTGTTTTTCAAGGGGCCCTCCTAATTACAACATATAATTAAAATACTACAAAATAAAAAGCCATAATATTAAAAACCTATTTACAATTACATGGTATTATACTGTATAAAACGAACTAGTCAACCCTGTATTTATTTTTAAAACCAGCCAGGGAGGATGCCGTCTTGGACTCAGCAAGAAGGCTATTCAATAGTTTAGCTCCCCGGAAAGAAAAGCATTTTTGACCATTTGCTGACCTTTTCTTTGGCTACCTTAAATAAGTCTTAGTGTTCCGGAGGCAGCGGGAGGAGCATGCTGAATTCTCGGTGAAGAGGTTAGACAAGTATGGAGGAGCCAAATCATAGAGCGACTTGAAGATCACTGTTTTAGTCTCATTGCCAATGAGCTTTTCAATGGTCTTCCAGCCCAACTCTGCAATAAGTAGTTTGCTTGGGGCATCAAAGCTGCTATTTGTTATGATCCTAGCAGCACGATTTTGAAGTTTTTGCAACTGGTCGATGTCTGTAGACCCAGCACCAAGGGGCAAATCACTGCTTAAAATCGCGTATGCTCTCAAGAATAATCACACTTTAATCACAAAATAATCACATTAAAAAAAAATCAAATTAATCACAAAGTACAACATTAATCACAAAAGTTACTTAAAGCAAATATGCCTTGCCTATATCCTTGCCTACTTTTATCCGGATATGTTATTGAAAAATTCAATATTTAGATTTTCCCTTTCACACATTTCCAATCTTTTCATGAATACGTTGGAAAATCTGCAAACACACGCTAGAGAACAGCAAGTTTTAATGAGTACCCTGTGATGGAGCAAAAATGAAAACCTCGTTATGATGCCAGGGTCAATGAAACAACCATTGCTGTTTTTGTTGCCCAAATGCCACTGAAGTTGAACTGACCGAAAACCACACCCGATAGAAGTCATTTTTTCTTTATTTCTCGTTGATTGCTACAGGGGCGGATCAAGACAGCTCCGGCTGTTGCAGTTGCAACTGTTACATTTATGGGAAATGATTTATGTCATATTCTTATAATTTCCCCAAATAAAGTTTGATAATCAAGTTCCATATTTCCGGAACTTGTAATTTTTTTCCCTCGGTGAAAGTTTCAGGAATGACAGTTTAATTTCCCAATAGCGACATCACTTGCGAGGGCAGAGAACAGAGCACATGCATTTGTATTAATGTCTTTCACGAGGTGTTCAACAACTGTTCACTGTTTTTTTCATCCCAGGCTAATTGCACCCATGTTGCTAAAGCTATTGTTCAAGAAAGTAAGCTTTTTTGATGCATATTCAAATTCTTATGACGAAAGTAGCAGCCCACAGAACAGAAAACATTAATTTGCCTTAATGTCTTTTACAAGGTTCAACACATGTTTACTGTTTTCCATTCAAAGCTATTTGCTTCCATGCTGCTAATGCTAATGCTCGGGAAAGATAGATCTTTCGATGCAAATTCAAATTCTATGACGAAAGTTGACGGCCAACAGAAAAGAGCACATGCACCTGTCTTAGTGTCTCATTCAAAGTGATCAACAACTTTTCACTGTTTTTCACTTCACTGTCACCAACCCATAAGACTGATTCAATCTTTTGCATATGCTGCTGTTCAGAAAAGATAGCTCTGTTTTTAGTTGCTAATGTTATTAAACTTTTGCACCTTTTGTTGCAAAATCGTATGAAAAAATGACTTTTGTTGCATAGTATGTTGCAAAATCGTTGACGACGTTTATTGAGCATGAAATTATTTGAGAGCACTTTTGAATCTATGATTCAGTTTTTAAAGAATCAAAAATTGAGAAAAAAAATTAATCATTTTTATCACTAAAAATCAAATTAATCACACATAAAATTGATTTAATCACAAATTAATCACTAGTGATTATTAATCTCGTTCACCATTTTCAAGAATGATTTGCCCCTCGCCCAGCACAACCCCAGACAGAACAACAGTATCGAAAGTGAGGCTCCACAATACCAGTGTAAATAGTTTTCAAACTTGACATCGGCAGAAAGGATCTAGCATGTATCAAAAAGCCGATCGCCTTGGAGACCTTGGTGGAAGCTGCATTTCCAATTTAATGAGCAATCGATTTGCACTCCAAGGTACTTTGTCTTTGAACTACTTCATTGTCGCGTATCTTCAGTTCCAAGGCTTCATTTCGACTTCTAAGAAAGCTGCCTTTCTGCGTGGTGGATATGAGCATTGAATAAGTTTTTGCCACATTCAATGAAAGCTTATTGCCTCGCAACCAAGTCTCCAATTTCTTGAGATTGCTATTTATAGCCTCATTCAGCTGAGTCAAATCGTGAGACTGGTGACAAAGACTGGTATCATCAGCATACATAGTCACAGAGGATTCTTGGATCGCCCGTGGAAGATGATTGATATAGATAAGGAATAGAAGAGGGCCAAGGCATAACCCTGTGGGACTCCCACTTCTATTTTCCTGACATTTGAATCAACACCATTAACCCTACAGAATTGTTTGTGATTGGATAAGTAGGACCTAAACCAAGACAACTCTCGCTGCTCTTGATATCGCTGTCGATAAAACCCGTTGTTTTGAACGTCGAACAATGATTCCAAAATCGATCACATCGTCACTTTGCCTCCGTAAAGATCATACAAAACACAAAATTTGGTAAAGAAAAAGTGGCTAGAAACCGTACTAAAATATGATAGAATTACAAGAGCAACGGCTCATTCGCCTCGGCAAGGCTCGCTGTTGTTAAAGGCGGTCTTGTTTCGGACAACAGAGCCCCTTTCGCCGAGAACCGGGATGCAAAAAGGGAGGTAAATCAAGGGGTTTTAGTTAGACTAGACGTTGATAAAAGTGTCAAGAACCTGTCTGCCCTTTTCTCTTTGATCTTGGATAAACATGCCCGAAATGTATTGCCCTTTGATAAATCAGGACTTAAACGCTCTGATGCGCAATAGGGACAGGACGAAAATGGTAGCACTTAAAAACAAATCCTCAATAATAATGGATTCATATAGGCAGCTCACAAATAG